ACCCACGATCTAACCAATCAGCACGCTCGAAAAGTAATATTTACACATAGTGATCGTAATCATATACTTAGACCGGTGCTACTTTTTATCATAAAGAAATGATAGCTAGGTATGAAGATAATGCCTTGCTAGATACTAAGAGAACGAGTTATACCAAAGAAGTGCATTTAATCTAAGTTCATGGAATAGTTTAGAGGAAACGTCAGCAATACATGATAAATTGAAAATTAATTGCTCTAGATCTCCAAAAAATGTTTGTAGTTATGTTTTCTATGTGAGCGTTAGCTTCAATATTCTTCAATATTGACATATTGTAAAGGGATATTATTCGAATTAATGTAGTCGCTTTATTACTTATTAACGAATGTTTTGTTTAAGTCTTTTTGATAAGCAGATATAACTATGTAATTAATTACTTCGATGTAACGCGAATAAACTTTGTGTAATCGTGTGTCGTGAAACAGAAGTTGATTTTTTTTTATATATCCATTTTCAGAATTTCAGACATTTTTTTTGAAAACCGTATTTGTTTTGGAAAGCGGGTATAGAGTTATGATGAAAGTATTCACTTTCCTCCCCCTCTCCCCCTTTCCTGATAAATCGTGAATGGAAAAAATGCTATCACGACATCTTCCCCTTTTTGATATGTTGTTCAGTTAAGAGGGCGCGTCCTGAGTGTGTGTCACGCGTGACTATACGACATGGAATCTGGTCATAATTTTTCGTGGACACACACTCAGGATGCAGTCTCTCTAAAAGCAGTCCAGTGTGTTTCGGGTCGAAAAATCAATTTCTTTCAAACTTTGCCTAGGAAACTATCTTAGTCTAAAAGTGATCGAAACCACCCTGGTTTTTTCAAATATAGCAAAATAATATTTTTCTGAGCGAAAATCGATTCAGCGCTCAAACGCCAATTTTTAATAACACCGAATATCAAAAATGGCACAAATAGCCGAGTTTGTTTGTTTTACAAAATTCTAGTTCAGGGTTTGTTTTGCTCCGCATATTTAGATCTACCCTTTCTGTGAACAAAGAGCATAATCTTTTTTTTTGTTTTTTTGGCGGTTTTTGTCACTGCAATTATTTCTTTTTGTATGACACACCACCATGACCTGAAATATGTAACTTTTTATCTCGGCTCAGCGCAAAATTCCAACTTCTATCCCACGATGTTTTTAAATATATACTGACTAAAATAGGGTAGAAGAGCATAGAAATATTAAAACATGTTATGGTTTCGGCGAACTTCTAGAATAGCCAGCCAAGGAGCGGTCTAAAAAATAAACAAAACTTATACGACCAACTTATGTTTGACGAGTGATTTGAGTCCATAAAAGCGTTTTTATGACTTGCAATAGGAGAAAACACCATTAAGTAAAGAAAAATGAAAAGGGCCCCTCTTTTGTGTTCTTAAACTGTAAGTTCTCATAAAATCGTCAGAAAAAAAGATATTTGTCGATAAAAACTAAATAAAACAGAATGATGGAAGATTGATCTATTTACCTACAGGCATAAAGAACGGTACAGAAATTTTCCTGTGAATTTTTTGTCACTCAAATTCAATTACGCAGTTCGTTTGCAATAATTTTACTCCCACGTAGTTGCGTAAATTTAGAAAAACACCTTAACCCGCTACTTTTCAAAATCGTCTGTCATGTAAAAGTAGTCACCATTATAGATCTGTTAGGAAGCATCGTTTAAACTCGGATGGATATTCAATTTTTTAAATTGCTCTAAGAAGCCGCCTTAACCTGAGAAAAGCAATTTAATTTACACGAAATCTTAGTAATGATTTGGTTTACGAGTTTCGAACAACAAGATGGGGACTCCATACTTTTTGTGGTGCTTTTCGAATTATAGAGGAACATGTGGTAGCTCAAGAGGTATCACACAGTCCGTGAGCCTTGGAGATTGCAATAAGTCAATTGTAAGCCATCTGAGCTCTTGTCATTTATTTCGCGAAACGCTAACTGAACATGAACTCATTTTAGCAAGAGTGGGCTTTTTGAATTACCAGTTTCAAAGCTTAACGAAATGATGATATGCCCAAGACATGTTGTGGAGGTACTGGATTCAGGGAAGGCCCTGTCAATACTCCACCCACCAAGGCGGTAGTAAGGTGATAAAAAATTGGGATGCAGTTAATCTCAAAATGGCGAGAGAAATCCTGAAATTTCATGGAATGGTTGTCCCGATTTGATCAGGTGGGTCAGTTACGAAGTTATCCTTGTTGTACTTTTTGGAGAACCAAATTCACATCTCCCGCATTTTCGGTGTTTTCCCTTTGAAAATAGTGTTAGATAATATCTATTAACCCAGTCATGGGCTCGTGCCATAGTATGATATCTCAGACCTTATTAAGACGTACAAAATGCGATTGTGTTGTAAACAAATCCGTTTGTAGAATGATCGCAGCAGAAGAAAGAACGACAACAGGACTAAGTGACGACATTTGCCTAGGGCAGCCTCGTACTCCGTGTTTCGTCAGTCATGCCCCTGGGACGAGAAAAGGGAGAAGACTATGATAAATGAATGAGCTTGCCCCGGGGTGTCTTGAGGAAGTTTTGATAGTGTGGCCAAATACTGTGTATGATTGTTAACAGACATTTCGAAGAAAGCTTTAAATAGTATATTTCTTCTTCCAATGATATGATTTGCAGTAATTGTCGGAAGAGATTTAAAGCTACCTTTAAGGAGTCGGCCTGGGCTTCGGGTGTAGAGGATAAGGCCTGTAGCGACTCAAGCAGCTCACTACACCTGCATAGAGATAAATCCTCATATGTAAACTTGAGATATCGAATGGTACGAGATTGAGCTCGGAGAGAATTAAATTGAAACTTATAGACGGAATGTAGTCGGACATAGACAGATGAAGCCAGAGGGAGATAAGAGAAATGAAGGAGGAATGACCGTGAAAAATTCGAATAAACTGACAAGTAAAGACAAAAAGAGGGGAACATATATGGGTGGACGAGACTGTTTGGAGATAAATTGCTGTAGGAGGGAAAGTAATGGCGGTGACTTCTCGTGAATAACCTCTTCTATCACGTTCTTTTTACGGGGCTCCCAAAGAATTTGCCGTGGCCCACGAGGAAGTGCCGTCAACACCAGGAATCGACGCTATCCATGCTCAGGCAGACACAGTGCAGACTCCTCGGTTAAGTCCACTGGTGAATTAGAAAGTTGTAGAGAAGAAGAAGAATCATACCTGACGGTAAAGAACAATTGCCATTCTTCCGTTCAGGTTTTTAATTCTCCAATGGAAAAGCTTGCAGAGGTATCAGTGCTAAAAAAAAAAAGTATTGACCAGCTGCAACATCAGCTGAAAAGCTGGGATGCTTGTAGTGATGTGGAGCGAGAAGAATTTGTTTGTAAAGTTACAGAGGCATGCAGGTTGGTTTGCAATGTCATAGCACCAAATGATGGAGAGAAGCTGCTCCAAGCTCTCCAGAGAGAAAAAGTGATCGACACGACTGCTGACCCTGGTCTAGGGACGTTAGTCGCGGCCTAGAGGAGCGTGCTAATTAATATGCTAAGGACACAGGTCCTTAGTATATACGCCAATAAGTTTTAAGCAAGCAAGTTGAAGGCTCTTCATCGATCTTTTGAAATTAGCAATGATGGGCAAATAAAAAAAGCGAGAGTGCACAGTTCTTCTGGAGGCCCCGGTATCCCAGTAGCAAAGATACCACAGCATCGAGTTCGATCAGATAAAATTCAGTTGGATCACTTTCTGGAATTTACATCTCGCCCTTACTACCATCAGGATGTGGCATTTGGAGGCCGAAAACTCAAGCTTGAAAGTGGTAAAGAACTAGAGATGCCAAACATAGTGCGTACCATTGCAAGATGTACAATCACTAACCAGTACCTTGATTCGTCGATGAGTCGCGCCTTCTGGAAGTTTAGGAAGCCTCCCAAAGAAAATCTCTTAAAGGTCTTGATAACAAGGCGGCAGATGACGTCGATGGTTTTGAAGCACTTCACAAGATTTCAGACGAATTGAAAGAAGTGGGGGCAAACAAGGATCGAGTAATGTGCGCAAACGTGCACAAGGTTGAAAGAGGCTAATTTATACTTGAAGACGGCCTATCGAGATAACTGCAAAGCGTAAGACAATTGTCCCGACCACTGCACTACATTCGCCCTGAGCGATCCTGCTGACTCTGATTATTGCACGGGTTGTGGCCACGACCTTAATATTTCATGTTACGACTGTAAGGCACTGAAGGAGGCTATTCAGGAAATTCATTCTGCCATTGGAAAGTATTCCTTCAAGATGAATAATAAAGAGGAGGATGATCTTCGATATAATGGACTTGTCGCTGAAAAGAAAGTCAAAGAGTGGAAGGCACACATTCTGCGCGCCCACAATCAGGAACAATACAAGCAAAGCATCCTGCTTTCTCTTCTGGAAGACGAAGTTCTTGTATTATCTGACAGGGCAATGAAATTTTTTTGGAAATAAAGTTTCGCAAGAAGCAAACAGAGTGGTTTGCAAAGAGAGGCATAAATTGGCATATTTGCAATGTCATTTTCAAGAAAGGCGGGAAGCTTGAAGTCTCCCCTTACGCTCACCTGTTGAACAGTTGTAGCCAGGATTGGTTCGCTGTTCTCTCGTTCAAAAGCAACTCATGACTGGCATAAAAAGGCGTAGATTAAGATCAGATGACGCCGGTTGTTGTCACAACAGCAGTCCGTTTAGCGGCCCCCCGAGACGTCGGAAGTAGTCAAGGGAATTGACGTTGTGAGATATGATTTTTCGGAACCACAGCACGGTAAGGATATTTGCCATAGGATTTTATGCCCGATGAAAGCCGCTGTCAAACGTTACTGCAACAAAGGTTATGATATTTTGGCGGATCGAGGCATGCAGACTGCCCCCAAAAAAAGACCAGTTCGAGGAACGACAGCAGGAGTATTCAGCATGAACGACAAGAATATAACTGTAAAGTTAAAGAAGATCCCTAATAACAACGCACAATTTTGGCAGACTTCGAATGTGGAAGGCTTTTAAAATTGGAGCTGGTAAGCTAATTGCATGGAATGAAATCATATTTTGTTCTCAAGAAGCTACCTGCCACAGCGAAGAAAAACTGTTTCTCCCAATCTCAGCGCAAGAGATGGATAAGACGACTATGCACTATGGAAGAGTCGATGATGTCAGTGGCATCTTCAAATATCCCCATCCCCCGTGCTCAAAAGAATTTCTTGGAAACTCTTCGAAGTGTGACTGCAAATCACAGCCCAGTGAAGACGGTATGGAGTGGCGTGTATGACCAGTTACGAATCGATTGCCTTCAGCGCCTCCAGAGGATTTCACTGGATTCTAAAAGAAAGTCATGCCTCCAGTTCAAATTGAAACCACAACGGAACAGGGAGAAAGGAAGATCCCGCACAAGTAGCTAACGATATGCTCAATGCTCGCAACACCGATGACACACGAATGTTTAGTAAAATGAAATGGCTTTCAAAGCTTCAAATCCAGGGATTTTTTTCGCGAGTCTCTGCGAAGAGAAAGCAATCCGATGGTAAGGAAACCTCCAGCCATGGCGACGAGCCTGACGATAATGAAGAGCTAGCTGAAGAGTATGCCTCGCTAACAGATGAAGAAATGCTCGAGAAAGCCAGTGTAGCCATACAGTCTGAAATTGGTGTCAAGAGTCTAGTGATATATGATGTCTACAACCTTTGCGAAATGGCATTTGAAAACAGACTTTCATTTTTCAAGGTTAAGATGCTCAGGGAAATGTGCAAGCATTTTGAAATCCCATCTAACTCAAGAGACACCAAATCAAGTTTGATTAAGAAACTCTCAAATGGTTGAAGACTGTTCATGCACGAAATAATAAAATTACGCAATTCAAGTTTCAAACAATTATTTTGGTAAGTTGAAATTCCTCTAGTTTGTCAATAGTGACATTTGTGACGGTTTGGATTATTTGGATTCTGCACCAAAAAATCGAAAACTATTTTACCTGGTTGATTTACTGTATATTCTAGTTAAATATATTTTACCCTATTTTAGCCAGTCTGGATAAAGATATCGTGGGGAAGAAGTTGGAATTTTGCGCTGAGCTGAGATAAAAAGTTGCATATTTCAGGACATTGCGCCAGTAGCGTCAAAGTAGGTAAAACAAAAAAAATTGAAAAAAACCGTTAAAAGAACTAAATTTATGTTATTTGCTCTCAAAAAGGGTTGATCTAAACATGATATGTGAAGCAAAACATCACCTCGCATGAGAATTTTGTGAAAAGACGAGCTCGGCAATTCGTGCCATATTTGATATTCGGTGTTGTTAAAAACTGGCGTTTGAGCGCTGAAGCAATTTTCGCTCAGAAGAAAATTATTTTGCCATATTGCACTGGACCGCTTTTAGAAAGACTGCGTCTTAGTTTCTCAAACGCACACACAAGGGAGGAAGACAAGCATACGACAAAACTAATGTCGATTTGACGGATTTTACTGTGTATAACACGGGTGTATCATGACGAAGTGGAAGTAGCTCAGTAAATAGCTTCTAGCACAAATAAATTTATATTTGAATCGAGTAAATGCGATACAAAACTCCATCGCGAGAAAAATTTAATTACCTACAATTAAAAGGATGCACGGATCATTTCAAGATCAAAAGCAGTATCTGAAATTTTGAACTCAGTTTATATTTGATATTTATGGTCTGTGCAACTGCTCTAGAAGTGTGCTTATTCGTTTCACTAACACTTGATGGGTCAAATTAAATTTGTTGAAGTTGATGTAAGAGCTATTTTAATGTTTATTTGAAAATTAGTCAGTTGGAAGTTTAAGAAAGGCTAGCCGTTAGGTACTTGAATTTTTCAGAGTCCAAGTCACTACTAAATTACGATAAACGAGCCCTCAGGTCAGGCCCTCACTTTTCAAGCTAGCGGCTGCAGCGCTGGAAAACATATGTTCCTCCTTGTAAACAATAAATCTGAAAAAAAAGTTGAGTTCTCACTTCATTCTATGGTGTGAGCAGACTTTCATTAGCACTGTGAAATCACCGACGAGGCCCGTGGGTTTCGAAACAGCGAGGGATGCAAGCGTCCGAGTGATCTGGAGAGGTTCTCGCACCAGGCCTCTTACAACGCCTATCTCACGATTACCTCGTTCCCCCACGCTTAGCCGCCAGTGTCGACAGTGCAGCCATTGAGAGGCTGCTCGTCGTTACGAGACCAAAACAATACATGATTGATCGGCTATAACAGTGATGCACCTTGAAGAGGAGGACAATAGAGACAACACATTTCAGAGATAACTTTAGAGGCTTGTGCGCAGACTCGTAGCTTAGTCCTTTTAGCGTTTTAAGAATGATTTGACATTTTCCTTAACAACTCGAAAAGAGTTGGAGGTAAATTTTTCGTGTCGTTGTTTTCAGAAATTGGTGTTGTGGTTAGTCTGGAACGCAGACAATGCCTTAAGAAATTTCTGTTTTGGTTTAATCAGCATTTCAATAATATCAAGGTCACACTGGATAAAAGAGTCTGATATAAGCCAAACATCTTCCGTCACATGATTGGTTGACTGAGCTAAACCCATTATGATAATAAGCAGCTAGTTCTAAGAAAAGCTAAAAAAAGATCATCGCAAATTCATTGTTTCAAGCTGATTTCTGCCAAATAGTTACTTTCCTCGCTCACATTTGACGAACAAAATGGATATCAAATCGTTGCTACATGATCTTCGTGAAGAAGTGTCATGTCCTGTGTGTACTAACATATACACGGATCCAAAACAGCTCCAATGTTTACACAGTTTCTGCCTCCAGTGCTTGCAGCAATGGCACAGAACAAGTCATGGCCGAGACATAATCAGATGTCCGAAATGCCAAGCTCTCAACAAAGTGCCGGAAAGTGGCGATCTGAAAGATCTACCAACCAGTTTTTACCTGAACGGCCTGATTGATGTGTTAGCCATTAAAGAATGTGAAAACAGTCAAGTACAGTGTGGAAATTGCGACAAGAAAAGCTCTGAGACATCTTATTGTTTCCAGTGTTGCATATTTTATTGCCAACAATGCGTCATTGGACACAACATCATGCGAATCAACAGAGATCACCGTATTCTAGCGCTTAAAGATTTTCAAGAAAAGGACTTCGAGGATGTGATGACACGACCCATGTACTGCTCGAAACAGCGGCACGAGAAAGAAGAACTGAAATACTTCTGCAAGAATTGTACTACGGCGGCTTGCCAAAGCTGTGTCTTGTTAGATCATGTGGGTCACACTATGGTGCACTTAGACGAAGAAGCTGAAAAACAGAAGATCGAAATGAAATCAATGATAGAAGCAAAGAAGAGTGAATTACAAGCAAAAATCAACACTGCACGACAACTCGATGAGGATTATGCAAAAATGATTAAAATAGGAGAAGACTTGAAGCGAGAAGTACAGGAGTTTGTGGACAATTTGCTTGCAACTGTTGAAGCGAAGAAACAAGCCATGTATGAAGCAGTGGAAAAAGAAACGAGGAAATCGCTCGAAATTATTACAGGGCAAAAAACGGAGATCGAATGTCAAATTGAGTTAATCGAATCATCGCTGAAGAAAGCTGATAAACTGATGATAAGAGGTACAAACGCCGAAGTCGTTCGACTGATGAAACCATTTGAGACAATGTTTCAGCGAGATGATCAAAACCAACAAGTGGACCGCGACCTAAAAAAACCTCCTTTTTTAGCTTTTGTGGAGAATCATAAGCTGCGGAACACTATTGAAGGCGAAGGAATTGGATCTTTGCGAGCAGTAAATCAAACAAAAGCAAACCAGTCCGTTGCTGAAGGTAAAGGACTTGAAGAAGGATTTCTTAATTATAAAGCGCAGTTTACTTTAACTACAAGAGACGCCGAACGAAGACAGTGTTACAATGAAGATGATCACGCAACGGTGGAGATCATGGACGAGCATGGACGAGAATGGGTGACGGAAGTGCAAATAGAGGACAACAAAGATGGACTCTATCAGATCAGTTATTTTCCCAGAGTTTTAGGAAGGTTCAAAGTAATAGTAAAGGTAAACGGAGAACATGTTCAAAACAGCCCTTTTAGTGTAGTAGTGAAACGATTTCAGTTCAAAGCCGTGCTGTCTTTCGGAAAAGAAGGTTCCTCTGTAGGAATGTTTTGCGAGCCTTGGGGGGTAGCAGTGAATGCCAGGGATGAAATAGCTGTAACTGATTTTAAAAACCACAGAGTTCAAATCTTTGACAAATATGGAAATTATTTAAGATCATTTGGTAAGGAGGGTGAGAAGGCGGGAGAGTTTAAATATCCAAGGGGAATAGCATTTCATAATAATGGGAAGATTTTCGTGGCAGACTCAGGTAACCACAGAATCCAGATTTTTAATGGGGAGGGTCAGTCCGTGGGCAGTTTCAGTGGGAAAGAAATCCGTGATAGTGAGCTTAATTCTCCTCGGGGTTTATGGATAGACAGTGATGGAAACATTATTGTCGCTGATGCAGGTAACAAAATGATTAAGATCTTTTCTTCTGATGGCACGTTTCTAATGCAGATAGGTGGACAGGGGGCTTTTACTTGTCCTATCCACTGTGTCCAGTACGATACATATCTCATAGTGTCGGACCAATTTGAACATTGTATTAAAGTTTATGACAGAAATGGAAACTTTCAGTACAAGTTTGGAAAGAGAGGTGGAGGGGACGGGGAGTTAATTCACCCCGTATGTTTGTCAGTGAACAAGTCAGGACACCTAATGGTATGTGACACAAATAATCATAGAGTACAAGAATTTGAACTGAATGGAAGGTTTCTCAGTAAGTTTGGAACTAAAGGTGGTAATTTAGGAGAATTTAATAGTCCAAGGTCTCTGGCGGATCTCTCTACTGGGCAAATTGTTGTCGCTGATGAAGGCAACAATCGTATTCAGATATTTGAGTAACATATAATAACTCAAAAAAAATGGATTGGTTTTGTTTCTGTTTCAAAAATGTATTCGTGAATTGGTAGTATAAATGACAGACGTGGCTCTATCAACGAGTCTATGAAATGAAGTCTATCTCTAAGTAAACTGCATTAGTAATTGAGTCAGATTATTAACAAATCACTGTTTTGATGTGATAATTACATTTTGACTCACTTGTTGTTCAAATCATACCTGCATAATATTCAATGTTTCATTGTTAACTTTATGAATTGAGGGCTCGGTTTCCCTTACAAAATATTATTGTATTTTGATATTTCTCCTTAAAATTTGATGTTAGATAGATTGATAGACTTAACGTTTAATTCTGTAGAAGCAAGTACGGTTTGTGTTCTCGGGTATTGCCTCCTCGTTCATTGAAAAAAATTTCCTCTGCGTAAACGGAGGCTAAAGGGGAAGCCGTCATATCACTTCTATGATAGCTTTGGTGTTTGTATTTATGTTTTCTACGCAAGCGATGGCTTCAACATTCTTCAATAGTAACATATTGTATCGAGATATTATTCCAATTAATATAGTCGCTTTCTTACTTATTAGCATAAGAAATAGATAAGTCTTTTTGATTGCCCGATATAACTATGTAATTACTTCGGTGTAACGAGAATAAACTTTTTGTTATCTGATGTCGTGTGAAAGAAGATAATTTTTTTTATATAATCCATTTTCAGAATTTCAGACATTTTATTGGAAAACCGTATTTGTTTTGGAAAGCGGGTGAAGAGAAATAATCGACAAAAGTACTCACTTTCCTCCCCCTCCCTTCCCCTCATATTTGTTTTGGAAAGCAGGTGTAGAGTAATGATGAGAATAGTCACTTCCCCCCCCTCCCCTCCCCCCCATGTTTGTTTTGGAAAGTTGGCGTAGAGCAATGGTGAGAGCACTCACTTTCTTCCCCCCTCTCCTCCCCATCCCCTTGCAAGAGGGGCCAAAAAGTGATAAGTGCTAAGCTCTCTGTGGAAGAAGCGAGGAACGGGCAATTATTCTTTGCTGGTTATGGTTTTCATGTCAAGGTAACGGTTACTGCTTCAATATCTTTTATATTTAGCCCTTGTTTGAGGTGCGTATTCTGTCTAAGTACAAGAGATCAAATTAATGCATTTACTGGATTTTCAAATCATTCCTCTAAGTTTCCTACGAAGTCTGAAAAGATTAATCTTATCGGTTTTACAGACCGCCCGTAACGGTTGTCAACTCAAATTATTAAAATCCCTAGCGGGAAGGTTCCCTCATGAGTAAAACACTTTTTCTGAATAATGTGCTGAATTTGCAAGGTGAAGTCACATGACTATAAATTCTAAGAGGAAAATCTCTAAAGCGTGAAAGCTTTAAAATATTAAAAGCCGATTTTACTGTTTGACAAAAAAATTAGACTGATAAATTGATTTCTTTCACACTTTGCCTTGTAATCTATCTTAATCTAAAAGCGATCGAAACCACCATGGTTGTATTAAATATAGCAAAATAATTTTCTTCTGAGCGAAAATCGCTTAAGCGCGCGAACGCCAATTTTTAACAACACACCGAATATCTAAAATGGCACAAATTGTCGAGCTCGTCTTTTCACAAAAAAAAATTCAAGTTCAAGGGTTTTGTTTTGCTTCGCATATTTAGTTCAATCCTTTAGGAGAACAAAGCACCTAAAATTTGTCTTTTTAACGGTTTTTGTCACGGGAATTTTTTTTGCTTGACACCTACTTTGACGCTACCGCCATTACTTGAAATATGTAACTTTTTATCTCGGCTCAGCGCAAAATTCCAACTGCCTACCCACGATATTTTTATCCAGACTAGCTAAAAAAGGGTAGAAGAGCATGGAAATATAAAAACATGTTGTGATTTTGGCGAACTTCTAAGATAGCCGGCCAACAAATTGTGTGCACTTTAGAAAATTAGACCTAACAATGCACACGGAGCGGTCTCAAAAATAAACGAAACTTATACAGCAAACCTATGTTTGCCGAGTGATTTGAGTTCATAAAAAGCGTTTTATGACTTGCAATAGGATAACACACCATTAAATGAAGAAAAATCTTTATTTTATTCTTTTTTTTATCACTCAATCAATGAGAAAAGGGGAAAAAAAACTTTCCAGGCCAGGATAGTTTTGACAAGACTCAGGTTTATTCAGAATATTTCATGTTGTTCATTTAGAAACTGTTCATCTTAAAAGCACCTAAAAGGCAGTCCTTTTAATTCGAAAATGTAACCTTCAATCTTAAAAAAATTCGCCACGAGAACTTACTTAATGAAAGGGCCCCTCTTTCGTGTTCTTAAACTACAAGTTCTCATAAAATCGTCAGAAAAAAGATATTTGTCGATAAAAACTAAATAAAACAGGATTGGTGGATATTTGATCTCAACAGCTTTCCTTTCGATCACATAACGAAAACAAAAAATAATTTAAGACCATGCCTGAATATGTTTTCTACTACCTCGTAATACAAGCGTTTCAAATTTAGAATGGATGCAGAATGGAAAATAGAGAATGGGAAAATAAAATGGAAAATTAAAAAAAAAATCGGGAAATTAATGTTTTTCAGATTTTATTTTTATAATGCGGAATCTGTATTTTCAGCATTTATTATCGATATCCACACTTTTTACAAAAATTGTCAGAGGCAAAAAAAAGGTTGTAAAACTAAAGATTATTCGTTTCATTAACCCTTGATTGGTCAAATTCATTCTTTTAAAGAAATAGAGGTTTGCTTAATTAAGAGGATAGTTTTCGATCAGTCAAAGCACTTGCCTCACTTTTCAAGCTGGCGGCTGAAGCGAAACTGAAAAATCATATCAAAGTATAATTCTCCTTTCACAACAAAAACACGCGCCAAGCAGATAACGAATCTAACAGGTCTCAAGAAGTAATTTGCCTGAATATTGGTAGCAAGTGTGCGGCCAACTACGGAACTTATGATGGATTATAACCACAAATACTCTCTTTAATGTAAACTAGATTGAAATAAATAAAGTAATTATTTTTGCTATTCGCTCAGCTTCAGACAGTTACATAACGAAACAAGTCAGGGTAACTTTTTTTCGTATCATCAATTTCATTTATTCCGTTCCTTACTGAACGATTGAATCAAATTTTTTCCTAACAAATCAAGAAGAGTTAGAGGTCAATTTTATTTTCTTATATTTTTCTTGTTGTGCGTAATTTTTAAGAACTGGTGTTGTGAGTGGTCTTAATTGCACACAATGCATGAAAGAGATTTTTCTTTTGGTTTAATCAACGTTTAAACTTGAATGACGGAGTCTGAGACAAACAAATGTCTTCCTGTTACATGATTGGTTGAGTGAGCTGAATCCACTAAGTAATTTGCAGCTAGTTGTAAGGAAAGCTGAGAAAGATTATCTCAAGGCTTCATTGTTTCAAGCTGATTTATGCCAAACAGCTGCTCTCCTCGCTTACATCTGATGAACAAAATGGATATCAAAACATGGCTCCAAGATCTTCGAGAAGAAGTGTCATGTCCTGTGTGTACTAACATCTACACGAACCCAAAACAGCTCCAATGTTTACACAGTTTCTGCCTCCAATGCTTGCAGCAATGGCGCAGAACAAGTCATGGCCGAGACACAATCAGATGTCCGAAATGTCAAGCTCTAAACAAAGTTCCGGAAAGTGGCGATCTGAAAGATCTACCAACCAGTTTTTACTTAAACGGCCTGATTGATGTACTAGCCATTAAAGAATGTAAAAGCAGTCGAGTACCGTGCGGAAATTGCGACAAGAAAAGCTACGAGACATTTTATTGTTTCCAGTGTTGCATATTTTATTGCCAAGAATGCGTCATTGGACACAACATCATGCGAAGTAACAAAGATCACCGTGTTCTTGCGCTCAGAGATTTTCAAGAAAAGGACTTTGAGGATGTAATGAAACGACCCATATACTGCTCGAAACAGCGGCACGAGAAAGAAGAACTGAAATACTTCTGCAAGAATTGTACTGAGGCGGCTTGCCAAAGTTGTGTATTGATAGATCATGCGGGTCACGCTATAGCGCACTTAGACGAAGAAGCTGAAAAACAAAAGATTCAAATGAAATCACTGATAGAAACAAAGAAGAGTGATTTACGAGAAAAAATAAATATTGTGGGACAACTCGACGAGGATTACGCAAAAATAATACAAAGAGGAGAAGACTTGAAGCGAGAAGTACAGGAACTTGTGGACAATTTGTTTACAACTGTTGAAGCAAAAAAACAAGCCATTTATGAAGCAGTGGAGAGAGAAACGAGGAAATCGCTCGAAATTATTGCAGGGCAAAAAACGCAGATCGAACGTCAAATTATGGGAATCGAATCATCGTTGGAGAAAGCTGATAAACTGATGATACGAAGTACGAACGCCCAAGTCGTTCAACTGATGAAATCATTAGGGACAATGTTTCAACGCGTTGATCAAGACCAACTCTTGATCTTCAACCTTATAAAGCCTCCTTTTTCAGCTTTTGTGGAGAATCAAAAACTGTTCAACACTGTTGAAGCCGAAGGAATTGGATCTTTGCGAGTAGTGCACCAAACAAAAGTAAACCAGTCCGTTGCTGAAGGTAAAGGACTTGAAGAAGGATTTGTTAACCATAAAGCGCAGTTTACTTTGACTACAAGAGACGCCGAACGAAGACAGTGTTACAATGAACATGATCACGTAACGGTGGAGATCACGGACGAACATGGACGAGAATGCATGACGGAAGTGCAAATAAATGACAATAAAGATGGACTCTATCAGATCAGCTATTCTCCCAGAGATTTAGGAAGGTTTAAAGTAACTGTAAAGGTAAACGGACATCATGTTCAAAACAGCCCTTTTACTATAGTAGTAAAACAATTTCAATTCAAAGCCGTGTTGTCTTTCGGAAAAGAGGGTTCTTCTGTAGGAATGTTTCGTTGTCCTTGGGGCGTAGCAGTAAATGCCAGGGATGAAATAGCTGTAACTGATTTGGATAACCACAGAGTTCAAATTTTCAACAAGAATGGAGATTACTTGAAATCATTTGGTAGGGAGGGTGACAAAGCGGGAGAGTTTAAATATCCGAGGGGAATAGCATTTCATGAAAATGGAAATATTTTTGTGTCAGACCCGGGTAACAACAGAATCCAGATTTTCAGTGGGGAGGGTCAGTATGTGGGCACTTTTGGTAAGAAAGGAAACCTTGATAGTCGGCTAAATTCTCCTTGGGGTTTATCGATAGACAGTGATGGAAACATTATTGTTGCTGATACAGGTAACAAAATGATAAAGGTCTTTTCTTCTGATGGCATGTTTCTAATGAAGATAGGTGGACAGGGGGCTTTTACTTGTCCTATCCACTGTGTCCAGTACGAAACATATCTCATAGTGTCGGACAGAAATGAACATTGTATTAAAGTTTATGACAGGAATGGAAACTTTAAGTACAAGTTTGGAAAGAGGGGTGGTGGGTACGGGGAGTTTTATAATTCCGGATGTTTGTTAGTGAACAAATCAGGAGACCTGATGGTTTGTGACTCATATAATAATAGAGTACAAGTATTTGAACTGAATGGAAGGTTTTTCAGTAAGTTTGGAACTGAAGGTGGCAATGTAGGAGAATTCTATGGTCCAAGGTCTCTGGCGGATCTTTCTACAGGGCGAATTGTTGTCGCTGATACGGGCAATAATCGTATTCAGATATTTGAGTAACATATAATAAGTAAAAAAAGTATCGATTTCAAAAATGTATTCGTGAAATGGCGATGTAAATGACAGACGTATCTCTACCAAGAAGTGTAAAGAATTAAGTCTTTCAGTTAACCCAATTATCTAGTTGTGTAAATAATTTCGTCTAGCTAGATACTAAAAGAACGAGTCATACCATAGAAGTGCATTTAAGTTCTTTTTGCTAAGAAGCTAAGAAAGTAAATCACAAGTTAGTGAATCAATAAAAAAAAAACCCAAAGAGGAGCGGGAAAAACGCGTATGACCACCAGACGGTTTTCGTAGATGATTGGTTCAGAACTGAAAGCTGAGGAGACTTTTAAACCAATCATGGGAAGTTTAGAGGAAGCGTTAGCAATACATGATAAGTTGAAAAATCCAAACATGATAAGTTGATGGGCTCCTGTTTGTAATTGCTCCAAATTTTCTTCAATATTGACATATATTGTATAGAGGTATTATTCGAATTATTCAGGAGCCCATCAGGTAAAATAAGTCTTTTTGATTGACGGATATAACTAAACCATGAACAAACTTTTTTTTTTTGGTGATTGAAGATGATTTTTTTTAAAATTCATTTAAATTTAAGACATTTTCTTTGAAAACCATATTTTTTTTTGTAGGCGGGTGTAGATTAATTATGGGTGTACTCGCTTCCCTCCCCTCTCCCCTCCCCCCTTCATATTTGTTTTGGAAAGCGAACGTAGAGTAATGGTGAGAGTACTCACTTTCCTTCCTCCTCCCCCCTCCCCTTGGAAGAGGGACCAATAAGTGATAACTGCTAAGCTCTCAGTGGAAGAGGCGAGGAACGGGCTAGCATTCTTTGGTGGTTATGGTTTTCATGTCAAGGAAACGGTTACTGCCCCATTATCTTTTATTTCTAGCCCTTGTTTTAGGTGCGAATCCTACCTAAATACAAGAAATCAAATTAATGCATTTACTGGATTTTCAAATTACCCCTCTAAGTTTCTTACTAAGTCTGAAAAGAGTAATCTTATCGGTTTTACAGAACCGCCCGTAAATTCTAAGAAGAAAATCTCTGAAGCATAAGGCTTTAAAGTCTCAATAGCCTATTTGTACTATTTGACAAACATTTTGTTGATAAATCGTGGATGGAAGGAATTTTATCACGACTTGTTCACCTCTTTGTCATGTTGTTCAGTTAACATCGCGTAACAATACTACATGGAATCTTATTACAACAAAAAATATTTGAATAACTTATCAAATGCATGAGCGGTTATTAAGATTAAAGTCCAGGAATAATAAATATTGTATTTTTGACCGATGATCTGACATCTTTTTTTTATATATACCTTTTTTTTTTTTTAAAGAAGAAGTCATTGGAAAGTCAAAACATGAAATAGAGAAATTTTTAGTACTATTTTTAACTGCACAATTTAAGGAAAGGTTCTTTGATAGCTATTGTTTCCATGGTTAAAGACAAGCGCAATCAGAAAGCAGACGAGTTCGGTTTCGTTATAAGAAACTAGTGTAATAAGGCGTTTTTGTCATGATCATCCACGTCGAAGACGGTTGAAAATACTCATAGAAGCGAGGCCTTCCGAAAGCGACTTCAAAAGTGGAGCGTATTAACATCACATCTTCTTTAAAAGTGCCATTTTTTTGAGTAGACAAGTCAAAACTGGAGCTTTTCAAAACGTTGACAGAAAATGCATCAAATACTGCTGCTTCCATCAGCGTTTTCGAGTGAGAGTATGGTATTAAAGGCGGGAATGTGGAATATGAAGTGCGGAATGGGAAGTGTGGAATGGGAATTATAGAATGAGAGGGAATGGGGAGAGGATTAAGGGAAGTAGTAAATAGAGAATGAAGAATGGAGAATAGGGAATGGGGAATGGGGAATGGAGAGTGGAAAATGGACAACGGACAACAGACAAAGGACAACGGACAATGGACAATGAAGAATGGAGAATGGAGAAAAGAGAAAGGAGAATGAAGAATGGGGAATGGAGAATGGAGAATGGAGAATGGAGAATGGAGAATGGAGAATGGAGAATGGAGAATGGGAAATGGAGAATGGAGAATAGAGAATAGAGAATAGAGAAAAGAGAATGGAGAATGGAGAATGGAGAAAAAAGAAAAGGAGAATGAAAAATGGGGAATGGAGAATGGAGAATGGAGAATGAAGAATGGAGAATGGAGAATGGAGAATGGAGAATGGAGAATGAAGAATGGAGAATGGAGAATGGAGAATGGAGAATGGAGAATGGAGAATGGAGAATGGAGAATGGAGAATGGAGAATGGAGAATAGAGAATGGAGAATGGAGAATGGAGAATGGAGAATGGAGAATGGAGAATGGAGAATGGAGAATGGAGAATGGAGAATGGAGAATGGAGAATGGAGAATGGAGAATGGAGAATGGAGAATGGAGAATGGAGAATGGAGAATGGAGAATGGAGAATGGAGAATGGAGAATGGAGAATGGAGAATGGAGAATGGAGAATGGAGAATGAAGAATGGAGAATGGAGAATGGAGAATGAAGAATGGAGAATGGAGAATGGAGAATGGAGAATGGAGAATGGAGAATGGAGAATGGAGAATGGAGAATGGAGAATGGAGAATGGAGAATGGAGAATGAAGAATGGAGAATGGAGAATGGAGAATGGAGAATGGAGAATGGAGAATGGAGAATGAAGAATGGAGAATGGAGAATGGAGAATGAAGAATGGAGAATGGAGAATGGAGAATGAAGAATGGAGAATGGAGAATGGAGAATGAAGAATGGAGAATGGAGAATGGAGAATGGAGAATGAAGAATGGAGAATGGAGAATGGAGAATGAAGAATGGAGAATGGAGAATGCAGAATGCAGAATGGAGAATGGAGAATGGAGAATGGAGAATGGAGAATGGAGAATGGAGAATGGAGAATGGAGAATGGAGAATGGAGAATGGAGAATGGAGAATGGGAGAAGAGAATGGAGAATGGAGAATGGAGAATGGAGAATGGAGTATGGAGAATGGAGAATGGAGAATGGAGAATGGAGAATGGAGAATGGAGAATGGAGAATGGAGAATGGAGAATGGAGAATGGAGAATGGAGAATGGAGAATGGAGAATGGAGAATGGAGAATGGAGAATGGAGAATGGAGAATGGAGAATGGAGAATGGAGAATGGAGAATGGAGAATGGAGAATGGAGAATGGAGAATGGAGAATGGAGAATGGAGAATGGAGAAAGGAGAATGGAGAATGGAGAATGGAGAATGGAGAATGGAGAATGGAGAATGGAGAATGGAGAATGGAGAAGAATGGAGAATGGAGAATGGAGAATGGAGAATGGAGAATGGAAGAATGGAGAATGGAGAATGGAGAATGGAGAATGGAGAATGGAGAATGGAGAATGGAGAATGGAGAATGGAGAATGGAGAATGGAGAATGGAGAATGGAGAATGGAGAATGGAGAATGGAGAATGGAGAATGGAGAATGGAGAATGGAGAATGGAGAATGGAGAATGGAGAATGGAGAATGGAGAATGGAGAATGGAGAATGGAGAATGGAGAATGGAGAATGGAGAATGGAGAATGGAGAATGGAGAATGGAGAATGGAGAATGGAGAATGGAGAATGGAGAATGGAGAATGGAGAATGGAGAATGGAGAATGGAGAATGGAGAATGGAGAATGGAGAATGGAGAATGGAGAATGGAGAATGGAGAATGGAGAATGGAGAATGGAGAATGAAGAATGGAGAATGGAGAATGGAGAATGGAGAATGGAGAATGGAGAATGGAGAATGGAGAATGGAGAATGGAGAATGGAGAATGAAGAATGGAGAATGAAGAATGGAGAATGGAGAATGAGGAATGGGGAATGGAGAATGGAGAATGGAGAATGGAGAATGGAGAATGGAGAATGGAGAATGGAGAATGGAGAATGGAGAATGGAGAATGGAGAATGAAGAACGGGGAATGGAGAACGGAGAATGGAGAAGGGGGAATGAAGATGAAGAATGGAGAATGGAGAATGCAGAATGGAGAATGGAGAATGAAGAATGGGGAATGGAGAATGGAGAATGGGGAATGGGGAATGGGGAATGAAGAATGGAGAATGGAGAATGGAGAATGGAGAATGGAGAATGGAGAATGGGGAATGGGGAATGGGGAATGGGAATGGAGAATGGAGAATGGAGAATGGAGAATGGAGAATGGAGAATGGAGAATGGAGAATGGAGAATGGAGAATGGAGAATGGAGAATGGAGAATGGAGAATGGAGAATGGGGAATGGAGAATGGAGAATGGAGAATGGAGAATGAAGAATGGAGAATGGAGAATGGAGAATGGAGAATGGAGAATGGAAGAATGGAGAATGGAGAATGGAGAATGGAGAATGGAGAATGGAGAATGGAGAATGGAGAATGGAGAATGGAGAATGGGGAATGGAGAATGGAGAATGGAGAATGGAGAATGGAGAATGGAGAATGGAGAATGGAGAATGGAGAATGGAGAATGGAGAATGGAGAATGGAGAATGGAGAATGGAGAATGGAGAATGGAGAATGGAGAATGAGAATGGAGAATGGAGAATGGAGAATGGAGAATGGAGAATGGAGAATGGAGAATGGAGAATGGAGAATGGAGAATGGAGAATGGAGAATGGAGAATGGAGAATGGAGAATGGAAAATGGAGAATGGAGAATGGAGAATGGAGAATGGAGAATGGAGAATGGAGAATGGAGAATGGAGAATGGAGAATGAAGAATGGAGAATGGAGAATGGAGAATGAAGAATGGAGAATGGAGAATGGAGAATGGAGAATGGAGAATGGAGAATGGAGAATGGAGAATGGAGAATGGAGAATGGAGAATGGAGAATGGAGAATGGAGAATGGAGAATGGAGAATGGAGAATGGAGAATGGAGAATGGAGAATGGAGAATGGAGAATGGAGAATGGAGAATGGAGAATGGAGAATGGAGAGATGGAGAATGGAGAATGGAGAATGGAGAATGGAGAATGGAGAATGGAGAATGGAGAATGGAGAATGGAGAATGGAGAATGAAGAATGGAGAATGGAGAATGGAGAATGGAGAATGGAGAATGGAGAATGGAGAATGGAGAATGGAGAATGGAGAATGGAGAATGGAGAATGGAGAATGGAGAATGGAGAATGGAGAATGGAGAATGGAGAATGGAGAATGGAGAATGGAGAATGGAGAATGGAGAATGGAGAATGGAGAATGGAGAATGGAGAATGGAGAATGGAGAATGGAGAATGGAGAATGGAGAATGGAGAATGGAGAATGGAGAATGGAGAATTGAGAATGGAGAATGGAGAATGGAGAATGGAGAATGGAGAGTGGAGAATGATGAATGGAGAATGGAGAATGAGGAATGGAGAATGGAGAAAGGAAAATGAGGAATGGAGAATGGAGAATGGAGAATGGAGAATGGAGAATGGAGAATGGAGAATGGAGAATGGAGAATGGAGAATGGAGAATGGAGAATGGAGAATGGAGAAGAATGGAGAATGGAGAATGGAGAATGGAGAATGGAGAATGGAGAATGGAGAATGGAGAATGGAGAATGGAGAATGGAGAATGGAGAATGGAGAATGGAGAATGGAGAATGGAGAATGGAGAATGGAGAATGGAGAATGGAGAATGGAGAATGGAGAGAATGAGAATGGAGAATGGAGAATGGAGAATGGAGAATGGAGAATGGAGAATGGAGAATGGAGAATGGAGAATGGAGAATGGAGAATGGAGAATGGAGAATGGAGAATGGAGAATGGAGAATGGAGAATGGAGAATGGAGAATGGAGAATGGAGAATGGAGAATGGAGAATGGAGAATGGAGAATGGAGAATGGAGAAATGGAGAATGGAGAATGGAGAATGGAGCATGGAGAATGGAGAATGGAGAATGGAGAATGGAGAATGGAGAATGGAGAATGGAGAATGGAGAATGGAGAATGGAGAATGAAGAATGGAGAATGGGGAATGGAGAATGGAGAATGGAGAATGGAAATGGAGAATGGAGAATGGAGAATGGAGAATGAAGAATGGAGAATGGAGAATGGAGAATGGAGAATGGAGAATGGAGAATGGAGAATGGAGAATGGAGAATGGAGAATGGAGAATGAAGAATGGAGAATGGAGAATGGAGAATGGAGAATGGAGAATGGAGAATGGAGAATGGAGAATGGAGAATGGAGAATGGAGAATGGAGAATGGAGAATGGAGAATGGAGAATGGAGAATGGAGAATGAAGAATGGAGAATGAAGAATGAAGAATGGAGAATGGAGAATGGAGAATGGAGAATGGAGAATGAAGAATGGGGAATGGAGAATGGAGAATGGAGAATGGAGAATGAAGAATGGAGAATGGAGAATGGAGAATGGGGAATGGAGAATGGAGAATGGAGAATGGAGAATGGAGAATGGGAATGGGGAATGAAGAATGGAGAATGGAGAATGGAGAATGGAGAATGGAGAATGGGGAATGGAGAATGGAGAATGGAGAATGGAGAATGGAGAAAAAATGGAGAATGAAGAATGGAGAATGGGGAATGGAGAATGGAGAATGGAGAATGGAGAATGGAAAATGAAGAATGGAGAATGAAGAATGGAGAATGGAGAATGGAGAATGGGGAATGGGGAATGGGGAATGAAGAATGGAGAATGGAGAATGGAGAATGGAGAATGGAGAATGAGGAATGGGGAATGAAGAATGGAGAATGGAGAATGGAGAATGGAGAATGGAGAATGGAGAATGGAGAATGGAGAATGGAGAATGGAGAATGGAGAATGGAGAATGAAGAACGGGGAATGGAGAATGAGGAATGGGGAATGGGGAATGGAGAATGAGAATGGGGAATGGGGAATGGAGAATAAAGAATGAAAAATGAAGAATGGGGAATGGGGAATGAGGAATGGGGAATGGGGAATGGAGAATGGAGAATGGAGAATGGAGAATGGAGAATGGAGAATGGATAATGGAGAATGGAGAATGGATAATGGAGAATGGAGAATGGAGAATGGAGAATGGAGAACGAAGAATGAAGAATGGGGAATGGCGAATGGGGAATGGAGAATGGAGAATGGAGAATCAAGCTGGTGCCTGCAGTGAAACTGAAAAGTTATATCAAAGAATAATTCTACTTTCACGACAAAAACACGCGCCAAGCAGATAGTGAATCTAACAAGTCTCAAGTTGTAATTTGCATGATGACTGGTAGCGAGAGTGCGGCCAACTCCTAAACATATGATTGATTATAATTTCTAAATTACTCCCTTTAATGTAAACTTGACTGAGAAAAACAAAGTAATTATTTTCGTTACTCGCTCAGCTTCAGATAGTGACATAGCAAAACAAGTCAAGGTAACTTTTTCGGTATCTTTCATTTATTCCGTACCTTAATTAAATTTAGCCTCTGAACGTTTTTGGAGAGAACTTGGATATCGATAATCACCGCTGGAAAATATATGTTCCCCTTTGTAAACAATAAATCTAGAAAAAAGTGAAAAAACCTAAGTTCCCATTTTCAGTGCCTGGCTGATTAGCCTGCTAACATACTTTCATCAGCGCTGAGACATCACCGACGAGGCCCGCGGGCCGGTATCGAGACGGCGAGGGACGAGAGCGGGCGAGAGGTCTAGAAAAGTTCTCGCGCCAGGCCTCTTACACCGCCTATCGCACGATCACTTTGTTCCCCTGCTCGAATCTCTAGGGCTTAGCTACAAGTGTCGACGGTGCAGCCATCCGCCAGTGAGAGGCTGCCCGTCGCTATGGGACCAAAACAACACATGACTGATCGGCTGTAATAGCTACGCACTTTGAAGTGGAGGACAAGCTGACGATAGATTTACATTTGAGAAATAATTTTGAATAGGTTTGTGCGCAGACTCGTAACTTAGCCCCTTTAGTCCTTTGATAATGATTCAACATTTTCCTAAGTAAAGAAAAGTTAGATGTAAATTTTTTGTGTCGCAGTTTTTGAGTTATTTCTCTTTTATTAAAAAAAAAATAATAACGCTATGTTAGCGTATAAAGTGGTTTGTTGCTCGCATCAATTAGATCGCCGCATTAGGGCATGTATCTCGCACCAATTAGGTTGCCGCATTGGAGAATGTATCTCGCACTAATCATATCACAGCATTTGAATATCTTGCAACAATCACAGAGTTCGGGTATTGTTTTCTTGTAAATGATGTCATGGATCAGGGGGCTGTGCACAGAAAATGACACAGACCACAAATTTTGGGCTAATTTCGATAAGTGTTATGTTTTGCGGCCTTCGCGAGAGCTTCGTCGATTAAGGTCGAGATTTATCGGGATATAAAAAGGTCCGCAGTTGACCTTTTTGTTTTTAAGTGAAAACGTTTTTTTTTCCGCTCCTTTACTCACAACTCACACACAACTCTTTCGCAACCGTTGTTTGGTCTCATCATGGAACGCACTCTCTCTCCAACGGGACGGGGAATGTATTGCGTTGTGTGACGAGACAGGAAACAACAGTAAGTGTGGCACTGATGCATTTTGTTTTCGCTTAGAAGTAATTAGACAATAGAGACAATAACCACAAAATACCTGTGTGAGTTCAGAAAAATTGGTTTTTTTCTTTCTCTTAAGGTAAAGTAATGCGATATTTTCGTCCGTTTGAAAGTTATGCTCTTTTCTTTCTTTTCTTATGCTCTTTTTTCCTATTACAAAACAATTGGTACACACAGTGTCCCACCTCAACCCACCCAGCCGAAGAAATAACTCTTACATGCTACGCATGCCTAAGTTTATGTAGAATTATCTGGACAGATGAGACAGTAGATGGCATAATATCTGTGTGAGTTCAGATAAAGTAGGTTTTTTCTGTCTTTCTTCATTTTTTCGTTTTTTGAAATTTATGCTCTTTTCGGTGACAAAAATGAAAACAGTAAGCGCACAAACTGTCCCATCTCAACCCATCCAGCCGAAAAGATAACCCTTGCACGCTATGCATACCTATGTCTAAGAATTGTTGTTTTGGTTAGCCTGGAACGCAGACAATGCATGCAGAGATTTTTTACTTTGGTTTAATCAGCGTTTCAGTAATGTCAAGATCACATCACTGGATAAGAGTAATAGAAAAACAAATATCTCTCCGTCATATGATAGGTAAATCCATCATAATAATCGGCAGCTGCCTCTAGAGAAGCTAAAAAAATAAAGATTATCACAAGGCTTCATTGTTTCAAGCTGATTTCCGCGAAATAGTTACTCTCCTCGCTTACATTTGCTGAACAAAATGGATATCAAAACGTTGCTACACGATCTTCGTGAAGAAGTGTCATGTCCTGTGTGTACTAACATATACACGGATCCAAAACAGCTCCAATGTTTACACAGTTTCTGCCTCCAATGCTTGAAGCAGTGGCACAGGACAAGCCATGGCGGAGACAAAATAAGATGTCCGAAATGCCAAGCTCTAAACAAAGTTCCAAAAAGCGGCGATCTGAAAGATCTACCAACCAGTTTTTACCTGAACGGCCTGATTGATGTGTTAGCCATTAAAGAATGTAAAAACAGTGAAGTACCGTGTGGAAATTGCGACAAGAAAAGCTCCGAGACATCTTATTGTTTCCAGTGTTGCATATTTTATTGCCAAGAATGCGTCATTGGACACAACATTATGCGAAGCAACAATGATCATCGTGTTCTGGTGCTCAAGGATTTTCAAGAAAAGGACTTCGAGGATGTAATGAAACGACCCATGTACTGTTCGAAACAGCGGCACGAGAAAGAAGAACTAAGATACTTCTGCAAGAATTGTACTACGGCAGCTTGCCAAAGCTGTGTTTTGATAGATCATGCGGGTCACGCTATAGTGCACCTGGACGAAGAAGCTGAAAAACAAAAGATGCAACTTAAATCACTGATAGAAACAAAGAAGAGTGATTTACAAGCAAAAATAAACATTCTAGGACAACTCGACGAGGATTACGCAAAAACGATACAAGGAGGAGAAGACTTGAAGCGAGAAGTACAGGAGTTTGTGGACAATTTGTTTGCAACTGTTGAAGCGAAGAAACAAGCCATTTATGAAGTAGTGGAGAGAGAAACGAGGAAATCGCTTGAAATTATTGCAGGGCAGAAAACGCAGATCGAACGTCAAATTATGGTAATCGAATCATCGTTGGAGAGAGCTGATAAACTAATGATACGAAGTACGAACGCCGAGATCGTTCACTTGATGAAATCATTAGAGACAATATTTCAGCGAGATGATCAAAACCAAGTATTGGACCTCGACCTAAAAAAGCCTCCTTTTTCAGCTTTTGTGGAAAATCAAAAGCTGTTGAACACTATTGAAGCCGAAGAAATTGGATCTTTGCGAGTACTACACCAAACAAAAGCAAGTCAGTCAGTTGCTGAAGGCATGGGACTTGATGAAGGATTTGTTAACCATATAGCGCAGTTTAACTTAATTACAAGAGACGCCGAACGAAGTCAGTGTTACAATGAACACGATGACGTAACGGTGGAGATCATGGACGAACTAGGACAAGAATGTGTGGCAGGAGTGCAAATAAAAGACAATGAAGATGGGCTCTATCAGATCAGCTATTTTCCCAGAGATGTAGGAAAGTTAAAAGTAACAGTAAAGGTAGACGGAGAACATGTTCAAAACAGCCCTTTTACTATAATAGTAAAACCATTTCAGTTCAAAGTTGTGTCGTCTTTCGGCAAAGAAGGTTCTACTGTAGGAATGTTTCGTAGTCCTTGGGGGGTGGCGGTAAATGCCAGGGATGAAATAGCTGTGACTGATTCTTTAAACCACAGAGTTCAAATTTTTAACAGAAATGGAAATCATTTAAGATCATTTGGTAGGGAGGGTGACAAGGCGGGACATTTTAAATATCCGAGGGGAATAGCATTTCATAATAATGGGACGATTTTCGTGGCAGACTCTGGTAACCACAGAATCCAGATTTTTAGCGGGGAGGGTCAGTACTTGGGCAGTTTTGGTGAGAAAGGAAACCCTTTTAGACGGCTCAATTATCCTTGGGGTTTATCGGTAGACAATGATGGAAACATTATTGTTGCTGATACAGGTGACAAAATGATTAAGATCTTTTCCTCTGATGGCATGTTTCTAAGGAAGATTGGTGGACAAGGGGCTTTTACCTGTCCTATACACTGTGTACAGTACGATACATATCTCATAGTGTCGGATAAAAATGAACATTGTATTAAAGTTTATGACAGGAATAGAAACTTTCAGTACAAGTTTGGAAAGGAGGGTGAAGGGGACGGGGAGTTGATTCACCCCGCATTTTTGTCAGTGGACAAGTCAGGACACCTGATGGTATGTGACTCATTTAATGATAGACTGCAAGTATTTGAACTGAATGGACGGTTTCTCAGTAAGTTTGGAACTAAAGGTAGTAATTTAGGAGAATTGAATGGTCCAAGATCTCTGGCGGATCTCTCTACTGGGGAAATTGTTGTCGCTGATATGGACAACAATCGTATTCAGATATTTGAGTGAGATATAATAACTAAAAAAAAAATTGATCGGTTTTGTTTCTGTTTCAAAAATGTATCTGTGAAATGGTAGTATAAATGACAGACGTGGCTCTATCAACAAGTGTGTGAAATGAAGTCTGTCTTTAAGTAAACCGCAGTAGTAATTTAGTCAGTATTAACAAATCACTGTTTTGATGTGATAACTACATTTTGAATTGCTTGTTGTTCAAATCATAGCTGCATAATATTCAATGTTTCATTGTTAACTTTATGTATTGAGGGTTCCTCAGTTTCCCTAACAAAAAATTATTGTATTTTGATATTTCCCTTAAAACTTGATGTTAGATAGGTTGATAGACTTAACGTTTAATTCTGTAGAAGCAAGTACTGTTTGTGTTCTTGGGTATTGCCTCCTCGTTCATTGGAAAAATGAAAAAACGGAGGCTAAAGGGGAAGCCGTCATATCACTTCTAGGATAGCTTGGTGTTTGTATTTATGTTTTCTACGTAAGCGATGGCTTCAACAGTCTTCAATAGTGACATATTGTATCGAGATATTATTCCAATTAATATAGTCGCTTTCTTACTTATTAACATAAGTAATAGATGTCTTTTTGATTGCCAGATATAACTATGTAATTACTTCGGTGTAACGAGAATAAACTTTGTGTAATCTGATGTCGTGTGAAAGAAGATAATTTTTTTATATAATCCATTTTCAGAATTTCAGACACTTTTTTGAAAACCGTATTTGTTTTGGAAAGCGGGTGAAGAGAAATAATCGATAAAAGTACTCATTTTCCTCCCCCTCCCCAACCCTCATATTTGTTTTGGAAAGCAGGTGTAGAGTAATGATGAGAGTGGTCACTTTCCTCCCCCCTACCTTCGCCCCCAAAATAAACGAAGCTTATACGGCCAACTTATGTTTGCCGAGTGATTTGAGTCCATAAAAAGCGTTTTATGACTTGCAATAGGATAACACACCATTAAGTGAAGAAAAATCTTTATTTTATTCTTTTGTTTATCACTCAATCAATGAGAAAAGGGGAAAAAAACTTAAGAGGCTAGGACAGTTTTGACAAGACTCAGGTTTATTCAGAATATTTCATGTTGTTCATTTAAAAACTGTTCATCTTAAAAGCACTTAAAAGGCAGTCCTTTTAACTCGAAAATGTAATCTCTAATCTTAAAAAAACTTCGCCACGAGAACTTACTTAATGAAAGGGCCCCTCTTTCGTGTTCTTAAACAATAAGCTCTCATAAAATCGTCAGAAAAAAGATATTTGTCGATAAAAACTAAATATAACAGAATGATGGATGATTGATCTATTTCCCTGTAGGTATAGGTATAGAGAACGGTACGGAACTTTTCCCACGTTCGCGAGTTTTTTTTCACTCAAATTCAATTACGCAGTTCGTTTGCAATAATTTTACTCCCATGTAGTTGCGTAAAGTTAGAAAAACTCATGTACCCGCTACTTTTCAAAATCGTCTGTCATGTAAAGGTAGTCACCATTACAAATCTGCTAGGTGGCATCGTTTAAACTCGGACAGATATGTAATTTTTCAAATTGTTCTAGGAAGCTGCCTTAGCCTGAAAAAAACGATTTAATTTACAAATAATTTGAGCTTGGAGAGAATTAAATTGAAACTCATAAACGAAACGTAGTCGGACATAGACAGATGCAGCCGGGGGGAGATCAGAGAAATTAGGGAGGAATGACTGAAAGATTGGAATAAACGGAGAAGTAAAGACAGAAAGAGGGGAACATGTATGTGGAGATAAATTACTGGAGGAGGGAAAGTAATGACGGTGACTCCTCGTGATTAACCTCTTCTATCACGTTCTTTTTACAGGGCTCCAACGGAGGTTGCCGCGGCAACTCTTTACGCCCCTCGAGGTGTTGTCAACAACAGAAATCGACGTTATCCATGCTAAGGCAGACACAGTACAGACTCCTCGGTTAAGTCCACTGATGAATTAGAAAGTAGTCCTGAAGAAGAAGAAGAAGTAGAAGAAGAAGAAGAAGAAAAATCATACCTGACGGTAAAGAGCAATTGCCATTCTTCCGTTCAGGTTTTTAAAACAGAGGTATCAGGGCGAAAAAAACCTTGATCAGCCGCAATATCAGCTGAAAAGCTGGGATGCTAGCAGTGATGTGGAGCGAGAAAAGTTTGTTTGTAGCGCTACCGAGGCATGCATGTTGGTTTGCAATGTCATGGCACCAAATGATGGAGAGAAGCTGCCCCAAGCTCTCCAGGGAGAAAAAGTGAACGGCACGACTGCTGACCCTGGTCCAGAGGCGTTAGTCGTGGCCTATAGGAGAGCGCCATCTGAGATGCTAAGGACACAGATCCTTAGTATATACGCGAATAATTTTAAAGTTAGTGATTTGAAGGCTCTTCATCGACCTTTTGAAAATCTCAGTGATAGGCGAATAAAAGAAGCCAGAGTGCACAGTTCTCCTGGAGGCCCTGGTATCCCAGTAACAAAGATACCAGAGCATCGAGTCCGATTAGATAAACGTCAGCCTGATGCCAAACATAGTGCGTACCATTTCTGCAAAGAAGAAAATTTCAGTCCTATGAGTCGCACCACTTTGTGGAGGATTCTTGAAGTTTAGGAAGCCTCCAAAAGAAAATCCCTTAAAGGTCTTGATAACACGGCGGCAGATGACGTCGATGGTTTTGAAGCACTTCACAAGATTTTAGACGAATTGAAAGAAGATGGGGGCGAACAAGGAGTGGTGTGCGCAAACGTGCACAAGGCTGAAATAGGTCAAGTTATACTTGAAGACGGCCTATCGAGATAACTGCAAAGCGTAAGACAAGTGTTCCGAGCACTGTACTGCATTCGCCCTGAGCGATCCCGCTGACGCTGATTATTGCACAGATTGTGGCCACAACCATAATATTTCATGTAACAGAAGTAAGGTACTGAAGGAGGCTATTCAGGAAATTCATTCTGCCATTGAAAAGTATTCATCCAGGATTAATAATAAAGAGAAGGAGGATGATCTTCAACATGATGGACTTGTCGCTGAAGAGAAAGTCAAAGAGTGAAAGGCACACATTCTGCGCGCCCACAATCAGGAACAATGCAAGCAAAGCATCCTGCTTTCTCTTTTGGAAGACGAAGTTTTTATATCATCTGACTGGGCAATGAAGTTTTTGGAAGTAAAGTTTCGCGAAAAGCAAACAGAATGGTTTGCAAAGAGAGGCATAAATTGGAATATTTGCAGTGTCGTTTTCAAGAAAGGCGGGAAGCTAAAAGTTTCCTCTTTCGCTCACCTGTTGAAAAGTTGTAGCCAGGATTGGTTCGCTGTTCTCTCGATCCTAGAGCAACTCATGACTGCCATAAAAAGGCGTAGCTTAAGATCAGACGAAGCGGGTTGTCGACATAACAGCAGTCTCTTAGCGGCCCTCCGAGATGTCGGAAGTTGTCAGGGAATTGACGTTGTGAGATATGATTTTTCAGAATCATAGCACGGTAAGGATATTATTATGATTATGCCCAATGAAAGCCGTCGTCAAAAGCTACTGCAACGAAGGTCTTGATATTTTGACGGCTCGAGACCTGCAGACCGCCCCCAAAAAAAGACCAGTTCGAGGAACGACAGCTGGAGTATTCTGCATGAACGACAAGAATATAACTCTGAAGTTAAAGGAGATCCCTAATTTCAGCACAATGTACAATTTTGAGTTTACCCCTGGCGGATTTCGAATGTGGAAGGCTTTTAAAATTGGAACTGGTAGGCTAATTGCATGGAATGAATTCATATTCAGTCATATTCAGTCCTCAAGAAGCTACCTGCCTCAGCGAAAAACTCCATTAAGAAATGCTCGAAGAGTGCTCATGCACGAAATAATAAAATTACGCAATGCAAGTTTCAAACAATTATTTTGGTAAATTGAAATTCAACAACTTTGTCAATAGTGACATTTGTGACGGTCTGGATTATTTGGATTCTGGATTATGCGTGGCAGACCTTTAGGAGGGAACACTTGGAGGAAGTGAGAAAAAGCAGAAGACTCGAAAGATTTACATTTATTTAATATCTGAAATGCCAGGACCGAAAAAAAAAAGGTACTGAATGAAATATAAGTCCTTCTTTGAGGTATAGGGTCTGGGACTGCCTAAGGTTGTGTGACAAAAAATTAATTGATACACAACATACCCGTGTATATTTTGGTGCGGGAAAGAACAAAAAAAACGGAAACTATTCTACCTGGTTGATTTACTATATGTTCTGATCAAATATATTCTACCCTATTTTAACCAGTCTGGATAAAGATATCGTGGGGAAGAAGTTGGAATTTTGCGCTGAGCTGAGATAAAAGGTTTCATATTTCAGGACATGGTGCCAGTAGCGTCAAAGTAGGTGAAACAAAAAAAATTGAGAAAACCCGTTAAAAGAACAAAATTTATGTTATTTGTTCTCAAAAAGGGTTATCTAAATATGTGAAGCAAAACAACACCTCGCACGAGAATTTTGTGAAAAGACGAACTCGGTAATTCGTGCCATATTTGATATTCGGTGTTGTTAAAAACTGGCGTTTGAGCGCTGAAGCGATTTTCGCTCAGAAGAAAATTATTATGCCATATTTGAAAAAACCATGGTGGTTTCGATTACAATTAGATTAAGATAGATTCTGGACAAAGTTTGAAAGAATTCGACCCAACACGCACCGGACCACTTTTAGAAAGACTGCGTCTTAGTTTCTCAGACGTGCACGCAAGGAAGGAAGACAAGCAAACGACAAAACTAATGTCGACTTGACGGACTCTACTGTGTATAGCACGGGGGTATCATGACGAGGTGGAATTAGCTCAGTAAATAGCTTCTAACACAGATAAATTCATATGATTTGAATCGTGTAAATGCGATGCAAAACTCCATCGCGAGAAAAATTTAATTACTTACAATTTAAAGGATGCACGGATCATTTCAAGATCAAAAGCAGTATCTGAAATTTTGAACTCAGTTTGTATTTAATATTTATGATCCGTGCAACTGTTCTAGAAGTGTGTGTTTACTCGTTTCATTAACACTTGATGGGTCAAATTAAATTTGTTGAAGTTGATGAAAGGGATATTTTAATGTTTATTTGAAAATTAGTCAGTTGGAAGTTTAAAAAAGGTTAGCCGTTAGGTACTTGAATTTTTCAGAGTCCAAGTCACTACTAAACTCCAAACGATAAACAAGCCCACAGGTTTGTTTAATGAGAAATTTCAATCAGACAAAGCACTTGCCTCACTTTTCAAACTGGCGGCTGCAGCGCTGGAAAACATATGTTCCTCCTTGTAAACAATAAATCTGAAAAAAAAGTTGAGTTGCCATTTTCACTGCATGGTGTGAGCAGACTTTCATCAGCGCTGTGACATTACCGGCGAAGCCCGCGGCGAGGGATGCGAGCGTGCGAGTCATCCGGAGGGGTTCTCGCACCAGGCCTCTTACACCGCCTGTCGCACGATTACTTCGTTCCCCCACGCTTAGCCGCCAGTGTCGACAGTGCAGCCATCGAGAGGCTTCTCGTCGCTACGAGACCAAAACAACACATAATTGATCGGCTTTAACAGTTATGCTCCTTGAAGAGAGAGAAAATTTTAAAGAGACTTGTGCGCAAACTCGTACTTAGTCCCTTTAGCGCTTTAGGAATGATTCGACATTTTCCATAACAACTCAAAAAGAGTTAGAAGTAAATTTTTCGTGACGTTGTTTTTAAAAGTTGATGTTGTGGTTAGTCTGGAACGCAAACAATGCATGTGTGTTTTGATTTAATCAGCGGTTCAATAATGTCAAGGTCACAACACTGGATTAAAGAGTCTGAGATAACACAAGCATCTTCCGTTACATGATTGGTTGACTCAGCTGAGCCCATTATGATAATTGGCAGCTAGTTCTTTGAAAAGCTAAAAAAAGATTCTCACAAGGCGTCATCGTTTCAAGCTGATTTCTGCCAAATAATTGCTCTCCTCGCTCACATCTGATGAACAAAATGGATATCAAAACAGTGCTCCAAGATCTTCGTGAAGAAGTGTCATGTCCTTTGTGCACTAGCATATACACGGATCCAAAACAGCTTCAATGTTTACACAATTTCTGTCTGCAATGCTTGAAGCAGTGGCACGGAACAAGCCGTGGCCAAGACACAATCAAATGTCCGAAATGTCAAGCACTAAACAAACTGCCGGAAAGTGGTGATTTGAAAGATCTACCGACCAGTTTTTACCTGAACGGCCTGATTGATGTGTTTGCCATTAAAGAATGTAAAAAAAGCCGAGTACCGTGTGGAAATTGTGAAAATAAAAGCTCTAAGACATCTTATTGTTTCCAATGTTGCATATTTTTTTGCAAAGAATGCGTCATTGGACACAACAGCATGCAAATCAACAAAGATCACCGCGTTCTGGCGCTTAAAGATTTTAAAGAAAAGGACTTTGAGGATGTGATTAAACGACCCATGTACTGCTCGAAACAGTGGCATGAGAAAGAAGAACTGAAATACTTCTGCAAGAATTGTACTACGGCAGCTTGCCAAAGCTGTTCCTTGATAGATCATGCGGGTCACGCCCTAGTGCACCTTGACGAAGAAGCTGAAAAACAAAAGATGGAAATGAAATCACTGATAGAAACAAAGATGAGTGATTTACAAAAAAAACTAAATATTTTAGGACAACTCGACAAGGATTACGCAAAAGTGATACAAAGAGGAGAAGACTTGAAGCGAGAAGTACAGGAGTTTGTGGACAATTTGCTTGAAACTGTTGAAGCGAAGAAACAAGCCATTTTTGAAGCAGTGGAGAGAGAAACGAGAAAATCGCTCGAAATTATTATGGGGCAAAAGACGGAGTTCGAACGTCAAATTGAGTTAATCGAATCATCGTTGGAGAAAGCTAATAAATTGATGATACGAAGCACAAACGCCGAAGTCGTTCGACTAATAAAATCACTGAAGACAATATTTCAGCGGGATGATCGAGAGCAACGGGTGGTCCACCCCCTTAACAAGCCTCCTTTGCCAGCTTTTGTGAAAAATCAAGAGCTGTTGAACTCTTTTGAGGGCGAAGGAATTGGATCTTTGCGAGTAAGACACCAAACAAAAGCAAGTCAGTCGGTTACTGTGGGTAAAGGGCTTGAAGAAGAAACTGCTAACCATATAGCGCAGTTTACTTTGATTACAAGAGACGCCGAAGGAAGACAGTGTTACAATGAACATGATCACGTAACGGTGGAGATCATGGACGAACAAGGACGAGAATGCATGACGGAAGTGCAAATAAATGACAATAAAGATGGACTCTATCAGATCAGCTGTTCTCCCAGAGATTTAGAAAGGTTTAAAGTAACAGTAAAGGTAAACGGAGAACATGTTGAAAACGGCCCCTTTACTAAAATAGAAAAACGATTTCAGTTCAAAGCTGTGTCGTCTTTCGGCGAAGAAGGTTCTTCCGTAGGAAAGTGTAGTTCTCCTTGGGGGGTAGCAGTTAATTCCAGGGATGAAATAGCTGTAACTGATTTTAACAACCACAGAGTTCAAATTTTTGATAAGAATGGAAATTACTTAAAGTCATTTGGTAGGGAAGGTGACAAGGTGGGAGGGTTTAAATATCCGATAGGAATAGCATTTCATAATAATGGTAATATTCTCGTGGTAGACCATGGTAACCACAGAATCAGGATTTATAATGAGACGGGTCAGTACGTGAGCAGTTTTGGTGAGAAAGGAATCCGTGATAGTCAGCTTAATTCTCCTATGGGCTTATCGGTAGACAGTGATGGAAACATTATTGTTGCTGATACAGGCAACAAAATAATTAAGGTCTTTTCTTCTAATGGCACGTTTTTAATGAAGATAGGTGGACAAGGGGCTTTTACTTGTCCTATCCACTGTGTCCAGTACAAAACATATCTCATAGTGTCGGACCAAAATGAACATTGTATTAAAGTTTATGACAGGAATGGAAACTTTAAGTACAAGTTTGGAAAGAGGGGTGGAGGGGATGGGGAGTTAAATCATCCCGCATTTTTGTCTGTGAACAAGTCAGGACACCTGATGGTATGTGACGCAAATAATAACAGGGTACAGGAGTTTGAACCGAATGGAAGATTTTTCAGTAAGTTTGGAACTATAGGTGGCGATTTAGGAGAATTCAATCATCCAACTTCTTCAGCGGTTCTTGCTACTGGGCAAATTGTTATCGCTGATATGGGTAACAATCGCATTCAGATATTTGAGTAAACTATAATATTTATAAAAAATAGGCATGCGTAGCAGGGAAGAGTTTTTTGTTTGGCTGGGAAGGTTGAGATAGGACACTTTGTGTACCTAGTGTTTTTATTTCTGTAACAGAAAAAGAGCATATTTTTGAAACGGACGAAAATATCGCATTACTTCACTTTAAAAGAAAAAAAAACCTAATGTATTTGAACTCACACAGGTATTTTGTGGTCTATTATCTCTATTGTCTAAATATTCTAAGCAAAAATAAAATGAATCGGTGCCACAATTGCTGTTGTCTACTTCGCGGTATTGGAGATAGAGTGCGTTGCGTGACGAGACCAAATAGCGGTTGCCAAAAGGCCCACGCTTACTGCCGTTCCTCTAACGGAGAGAACATCAAAATTATTCGTCTACAGTTAGTTATCTCAAAGATAAAATTCCTGAAAATTTTACTACGGAAAGCAAACTGAAACTCTGTTTTATCTCCAATAGACCCTAACCAAAGATAAATTGCGATTTAGACATAAGTGAAGATACATTAAACAAGAGAAAAGGATAATATTTCGAAGAGGGCTCGTTGATTGTTGTTGCCTATCTGGACTTTGCCCTCTGTGAAATACGTGATAAAAGGCAGGTTGTTTACAGGGAATTAATACGCGATTGGGTCCAAGCCCAAGGTCGCTAGAAGCGAATTGTATTCGTAGAAAAATACAAAACGCGAGAGAATTGCGTGGAAAATTCACTATCAGTAGCATTTAGTTCCATGTGAATCTATCTCAGTAAGGTTGGACAATGCGGATAGAAAACATAATAAAATGCAGGTTTTTTTTGCAAGGAAATGACACGTAGTAGGGCGAAGGCTGATGTGGCAAAATGGAATTTGATAAGGGGAATACAAATTGCGTAATGTCTATGTAGTGAAATGATCGGGTATGTTCTGATTGGACTTCGGACGTTGTTTTCAAGGAACGTAATGGAATGTAAGTTGTTTGGCGTGTGCGTTGTGAGTTAAGGAGCCAAAAAAACACGCTGGAAGATATCCAAATGCTGTGATATGATTGGTGCGAGATACATACCCTAATGCAGCAATCTGATTGGCGCGAGATACGCACTCTATAAAAAACAAATATATACTATATAAACAAAGCCAGAATTTTTCATTGCAACCCATAGATTACATCAAAACAACGAAAAATAGATGGTAAAAACCTCCATCCTTTAGTGTCTTAATTGGTTTCTATATCCAGCCCTTACATCGTAAAAAAAAAATGGTAAAACGTAACCAAGCTCTATATAAAAAAAAAACACCAAACAAGGGAAAGAATTCTCTTGAAAAAGAATACAGATGGCCGGACATGACGAACATTAACACAGATTCTGAACGACAAACCTCGAAAACTTAGTTGAAAGATGAATGAGCAATAATATCACTCCCTTTACATTTAGTGGTTTTGATTCTTACCTGCCAATTTCAATAAGAGATGCTAACTAACGCAAAGTGTTGAAAGTCTCTGCAAACCTCCAGGGCCACCCTGAGATTGCAGCAATTGGTTAGAAGTATCCTCAATTATGGCGTGAGTGGCGGCTCTGGGCCAGCAGCGAAAAAAGGCTCTTAAATCCACGATAGTTATCTCCCAGCCTTGGGTTTTCGCAATTTTTTCCGTTACACTGCGTCACCTCTGCCTTAATCCGTACATCTGCCTTTGCACGATGACTCTGAGCGCATCGGGATTTTCTAGTTTGTTCAAACACTCAACAATTTTAATAACAGTGTTCTTGCACCGCGTCAGCAGGATGGAAAATTGTCTCATACCTCACCATCCTCAACCTTGATTGCTGGTCCAGTTGACAACTTTTCCACGTAGTAACTAGCTATCTCAAAGCTTAACTCATATAGTTCCTGTAGTAGGACACCTACTGTCCGATGGCCAATTTCCTTCTTACTGAGAGGCAGCTGTTCACCAGCTTTGTACTTTAACAGAGGTATACAGCAAAAGGAAGTAAAGTTGAGTGTTCTGACCCGCAATTTTCTTGACTATTGAATTCTCGAGCGCTCTAATGAACGCCCAGTATTCGACTGCGTTTCCACTGATGCCAAAATCATTTGGCTTAGCAAGAGTTAGCACCATTGTGATGTCGGTGGATCAAAGCTTGCAGTCTTGGTTGTTTAAGAACTGAGCTTTTCACAATTGCTGAGTTAGTGCGTCATTCCGTGTAGGATCTGCGCAAAAAGAACCATAAACAAACCCATAACACTCTGATTTCACAACGGTTGGAGGAAAGGTGGGTAATTTTGCAATCAGCGAGTTACAGTGAAGCGGAGCAACTGCATTTGCATCTGATCTGGAAAAGCCTGTAGCACCCGGAAAATTAGGCGGGGTTAAATTTTTCTCTGCGGCACTTTCTTGTTGAGCGCCTTCGTCTGTATTGCCTTTGTCATTTGGCAAAGCATCGGTAGTTAGGTGTCGCTGCACCTTAAATCTGAATGAAACAGTATTGTTACATTCGGCTGCCGAATCTTCAAAAGTGTTTCCGGCTACGATGTACACACGTTCTTCAGCTTGGGCTTTAGCGATTTCTATTTTGAGCTCTGAAGCTCTTTTTTTTAACTTTAGGAACGAGATCTTCCATCTGTAACGCTTGACGATTTTCCAGGCTTGTGGCCTCTACTTCTCTTCTTAGAGCTCGCAGAGGTGATTTATAATGGTAATAGGACCAAGTGGAGTCCAATCTGGTCTGTAATCATGAGAGTTATTTACAAAATCGGACGACTGCAAAGCGGGAGTCTGATTTGTCAATCACGAGTCCTGTTACCAATTTATTATAACCGTTACAACTTCGAAAAAAAAAATTTAGGACAAACATCTCCGGTAGAAAGAAAGTCTCCAGCAAAATATTTCCTCCATTTTGGAAATTCCCCATTTAATTTCAGGATTATTGGTTGTTGCTATGGTTATTAATTCTGTGATTGGTGGATTTAGCTGATATATGATTGGCTGCTTCAACTGTTCGACTACAGGTGTCCAATAACAGTCAACTGTCCGACTACGCTGCCTGATTACAACTGTACAGAATGATTAGTGTATAATAAAGCCGCAAACGCAACAATCACGTTGAGGAAATTGTAATGGTTATGATTAGTCCAATAATAATATACATGCAAAAATTTCAGCTTGTTTATTGGCCCTGCTCATTGCTCAAACATAAGGATCCGACTACTGGCGACTCATTCATTACAGCGATAGAAATACTGATCTGCTGATTGCGATATGACAAACTTATTATGCCATAACCATTAAATAACCGAGCATAAACCAAAACAAAGCATTAATACAAAGTAAACAGATAAAATGTTTCGACACTAAAAGAAGGTATCAGCTTGCAAAATCCTTCCCAAAGATATACATTTCCTTTCTCCTGTTAAATGTTAATGAATTTTTTTCGTTAGTGCAGTCCACTTAATTTATTGTCAAAGAAAGACACGAAGACAAAATCACTGCTGATCAATTCACATGCACGCTTCAATTAATGTAAGACACGAGCCTCAAAAACGGGTCAAAGAGCAAGGTCGCCTGAATAAATCTCAGCTTGCCAATTTAAGATCTTCTTTTTGACAAATAAGTTCAAACGAAACGATGGTGGAATGCAATCGTCGGCACAGTCCTTGGCAACTAGTTCCTGTCTTTCAAAATACGATGGATATTGGATTAAGGAGACAACAAAATTTGCTACCGGAGCGTCGAAGCAATGTATGAAATCTGGCCCTAGAAACTTTCCTTCGTTGGAAGGCATCGTAGGAAAGAAATTACATCTAAACAAAAGGCCTTCCTTTAGTAAACATTAGCGGGCTTCAATGGCAAATGTGCTTCTTTAACCGAAACTTTCAAGGAAATAGCTTGACTAGTAACGATCAATTCTGCGGATCCATACTTGTTAAAGAAGTTCTGTGGATTATTTTACATTTTTTAGCTGTTTGAGAAGATTTCTGCGTTTGAAATATCACTCCTTTTGATCTTGTAAGGCAAACATTTTTTTTTTAATATGGACACAGCCGAAAACTTCTCTGAAGTACTACTATTTATACTTCTGTCAAATTTTACAATAAAGTGATAGATATTTTGGCATTTGACAAATCAGTGAGTATTGTGAAACTGGCGCGTTTTTAATAAAAAAAAAAATGAAAAAGACGACAGGCTGTCGATCTGATGTATTTGTCGATGCAAGAATAAACATGAACGTGAGATAGAAATTATTACTTGTGCTTTTCATTCCTTATAACTGAAGAATTCTCAACGTGACTTTTTCATCATCGTAAATTGATGACTGGTGAGTTCATTTGGTGACATCGAATCGATTTAAGGCGATGTGAAATTCCATTGCGAGGAAAATATAATCATGATATGATCATTTCAAGATCAAAAACAATGTTTTAAGTTTTGAATTCAGTTCAAATTTGACTTTTGTCGTCAGTGCGACCAGTCTAGTAGTGTGTTACAGTTAGAGTTATTAACTTTGTTTTTTGCTAACTGCTCGAAAGTACTTCGTGCTTAAAGGGAAAAAAGGGGAAAATGAGCATTGAGTTCCCACTACAGATAACATTTTGTTGCGTATTTAGGCGAGACCTGCCGTGAATAAATTGTTTTCGATCGGGGAACCTGCCGTAAATGATTCGTTTTACGGGGGCGAACGCCAGAGACCATGTGCAAAAACAACGCTGCATGAATTTGTTTGTTACTACCTTATGATACCAGCTTTTCCTTCGATTACATTACGAAAAAAATTAATTAAAGATCACAAGGCCTTTTTCTGTTGCAATTACTGTTCTCTTTGGAAATAGGAGTGAAAAGGATCTTCTCGATATTACTTCGATAGAGTTCGAGTGAAAAAAACTTATTATAACGGAAAATATTTGGGTAACTTTTCTAACGCATAAGCAGTTATCAAAATTAAAACCCAGGCATGACAAATATCGTTCTTCTGACGGACGGTCTGACCTATTATTTTTATTTTATTTTATTTTTTGGTTTTTTTTTCGGTTTTTTGTTATTTTAAAGGAGTCATTAAAAAGTTATTTTTTCAAATACAGAAAAGAAAAAAAAATTTCTAGCTTCATTTGAATGCTGCGGAAATTCATTATTATTTTAACCTGCTCAATTTAATAAAATGTTCTTAGATAGCTATTGTTATCAAAGTTATATTTCGCTGTTTATTTTTGAAGGTTAAAAAATAGTAGAATTACCCTCGTCATGTTTCTGCCGGAATCAACCCGACTGCCCCAGTTTTAGAGACGACTGCAACGATTCCACGATCGAAAAGACAAACACAATCTGAAACCAGACGAGTTCGGTTTCGTTACCAGAAATCAATGTCTTTATGCGTTTTTTTTGTCATGATCATTCACGTCAAAGACAGCCGAAGACAGTCGAAGACAGCCGAAGACAGTCGAAAATACTCATAGTAGCGAAGCCTTTCGAAAACGATTTCAAAATTAAGGTCGCATTTAGACGATACATTGTCTTTAAAAGGGTCCGTTTTTTGAGTAGAAAATTGAAAACTGAGGCTTTTGAAAACGTTGACGAGAGGTGCATCACATACTGCCGCTTTGATCATTGATTTCGAGTTTTTCGATGGTGGGGAAAGTTTCGGATGTTACTAAAGGCAGGAATGTGGAATGTGGAATGTAGAGTGTGGAATGGAAAATGAAGAATGGGAAATATAGAATGAGGAACTGGGAATGCGGAATGGAGAGTGGAAAAAAGAGTGGGGAATGGAGAAAAGGAAGAGGTAAATGGAGAATGAAGAAAAAGGAATATGGAATGAGGAATGGAGAGTGGAGAGCAGATTATCAAAAGTGGAAAATGTCGAGTGGAGAATGAAGAATGGAGAATGAGAAAAGGAAAATGAAAAATTGAAAAACGGAAAATGGAGGGTGGAGAATGGAGAATGGAGAATGGGAGAATAAAATGGGAAATTGAAAATGGGAAATTAATGTTTTTTTTTAGATTTTATGTTTATAACGCCGATTAGCCTGCGAGCATAATTTCATTAGCACGGTGACATCATCAGCGAGGCCCGCGATTTTCGAGACGGCGAGGGATGCGAGCGTGCGAGAGGTCTGTAAAGGTTCTCTTGCCAGGCCTTCTACACCGTCAGTCGCACAATCACTTCTTATCCCCTCACGAATCTCTGGCTCTTAACCACCAGCGTCGACGGTGCAGCCAGTGAGAGGCTTCTCGTCGCTACGAGACCAAAACAACACATGATTGATCGGCTATAATAGCTTTTCTCTTTAAAGTGGATTACAATCTAACAAAGCATTAGCATTTAAGAGATAATTTTGAATACGCTTGTGCGCAGACTCGTATCTTAGCCCATTTAGCGCATGGAGAATGATTTGACATTTTCCTAAACAAGTCAAGAAAAGCTTGAAGTATGTTTTTCGTGTTGTGCATAATTTTTGAGAACTAGCGTATGGTTAGTCTGGAACGCAGACTATGTTTAAGGTTAATCGGCGTTTCAGTAATGTCGAGGTCACAACACTGGATAACAGAGTTTTAGATAAAACAAATATTTTCCGTTACATGATTGGTTGAGTTAGCTAAATCCATGTTGATAAAGGATAATTAGCAGCTAATACAAAGGAAAGCTAAAAATAAACTCCCAAGGCTCCATTGTTTTAAGCCGATTTCTGCCAAATAGTTTCTCTCCTCTCTCACATCTGACGAACAAAATGGATATCACAACGTTGCTCCGAGATCTTCGCGAAGAAGTGTCATGTCCTGTTTGTACTAACATCTACACGGATCCAAAACAGCTCCAATGTTTACACAGTTTCTGCCTGCAGTGCTTGAAGCAGTGGCACAGAACCAGCCATGGCGGAGACACAATAAGATGTCCGAAATGCCAAGCTCTCAACAAAGTGCCGGAAAGTGGCGATATGAAAGATCTACCAACCAGTTTTTACCTGAACGGCCTGATTGATGTGTTAGCCATTAAAGAATGTAAAAACAGTCAAGTACCGTGTGGAAATTGCAACAAGAAAAGCTCTGAGACATTTTATTGTTTCCAATGTTGCACATTTTTTTGCCAAGAATGCGTCATTGGACACAACATCATGCGAAGTAACAAAGATCACCGCGTTCTGGCGCTCAAGGATTTTCAAGAGAGGGACTTTGAGGATGTAATGAAACGACCCATGTACTGCTCGAAGCAGCGGCACGAGAAAGAGGAACTGAAATACTTCTGCACGAATTGTACTACGGCAGCTTGCCAAAGCTGTGTCTTAATATCTCATGTGGGTCACGCCATAGTGCACCTCGACGAAGAAGCTGAAAAACAAAAGATCCAAATGAAATCACTGATAGAAACAAAGAAGAGTGATTTACAAGCAAGAATAAACATTGTACGACAACTCGACGAGGACTACGAAAAAATGATACAAAGAGAAGAAGACTTAAAGCGAGAAATACAGGAGTTTGTGGACAATTTGTTTGCAACTGTTGAAGCGAAGAAACAAGCAATATACGAAGCAGTAGAGAGAGAGACGAGAAAATCGCTCGAAATTATTGCAGGACGAAAAACGGAGATCGAACGTCAAATTGACTTAATCGAATCATCGTTGGAGAAAGCTGATAAACTGATGATACGAAGTACAAACGCCGAAGTCGTGCGACTGATGAAATCATTAGAGACAATATTTCAGCGAAATGATCAAAACCAACTAGTGGACCTCGACCTGAAAAAGCCTCCTTCTTCAGCTTTTGTGGAGAATCAAAAGCTGTTAAACACTATTGAAGCCGAAGAAATTGGATCTTTGCGAGTGGTACACGACACAAAAGCAAGCCAGTCGTCCGTTGCTGAAGGAAAAGGACTTGAAGAAGGGATTGTTAACCATATAGCGCAGTTTACTTTGACTGCAAGAGACGCGGAAGGAAGATATTGTCACAATGAAGATGATCACGTAACGATGGAGATCATGGACGAACAAGGACGAGAATGCATGACGGAAGTGCAAATAGAGGACAATAAAAATGGACTCTATCAGATCAGCTGTTCTCCCAGAGGAAGGTTTAAAGTAACAGTAAAGGTAAACGGACAACATGTTCAAAACAGCCCTTTTACTCTAATAGGAAAACGATACCAGTTCAGAGCTGTGTCGTCTTTCGGCGAAGAAGGTTCTTCTGTGGGATTGTTTAGTTTTCCATGGGGGATAGCAGTGAATGCCAGGGATGAAATAGCTGTAACTGATTTTAACAACCACAGAGTACAAATTTTTAACAAGAATGGTAATTACTTGAGATCATTCGGTAGGGAAGGTGACAAGGCGGGAGAATTTAAATATCCGACTGGGTTAGCATTTCATGATAATGGGAATATTCTTGTGGTAGACCAGTGGAACCACAGAATCCAGATTTTTAGTGGGGAGGGTCAGTACGTGGGCAGTTTTGGTGGAAAAGGAAACCTCGATAGTCAGCTCAATTTTCCTCGAGGTTTATCGGTAGACAGTGATGGAAACATTATTGTTGCTGATACAGATAACAAAGTGATTAAGATCTTTTCTCCTGATGGCACATTTCTAATGAAGATAGGTGGACAGGGGGCTTTTACTTTTCCTGTCCACTGTGTCCAGTACGGTACATACCTCATAGTGTCAGACCAAAATGAGCATTGTATTAAAGTTTATGACAGGAATGGGAACTTTCAGTACAAGTTTGGAGAGCACGGTGAAGGGGACGGGGAGTTTAATCGTCCCAAATGTTTGTCTATGAACAAGACAGGACTCCTGATGGTATGTGACTCATATAATTATAGAATACAAGTATTTGAACTAAATGGAAAGTTTCTCAGTAATTTTGGAACTAGAGGTGGTAATTTAGGCGAACTCAGTTGTCCAATGTCTCTGGCGGTTCTTGCTTCAGGGGAAATTGTTGTCGCTGATATGGTCAACAATCGTATTCAGATATTTGAGTAAAGTATAATCTATATAAAACATAAGCATGTGTTGCATGCAAGAGTTACTCTTTGGCCTGGCAGGCTGACATGGGACTCTTTCTGTACCTAGTGTTTTCATTTCTGTAACAGAAAAAGAGCATAACTTTCAAACGAACGAAAATATCGCATTACCTCACTTAAAAAGAAAGAAAGAAAGAAATACCCAATTAATCTGAACTCACACAGGTATTTTGTGGACTATTGTCTCTATTTTCTAAATACCTCTAAGCAAGAATACAATGCATCGGTGCCACATTTACTGCTGTCTCCTTCGCGGGCGTCGTTTGGTCTTGACACAACGCACTCTACTCCCATTGGAGAGAGAGTGCGTTACTTGACTAGACCAAAGAGCGGTTGCGAAAGGGACTACGCTTACTGCCGTTGCTCTAATGGAGAGAAAATCAAAATTATTCGTCCATAGTTAGTTGCCTCAAAGATATAGTTCCTGGTAATTTTACTACGAAAATCAAACTGAAACTCTGTTGTATCTCCAATAGACCCTAACCAAAGATATATTGCGATCTAGACAAAAGTGAAGATACATTTAACGAGAGAAGAGAATAACATTTTAAAGACGGTTCCTTGATTGGTTGTTGCCTATCTGGACTTTGCCCTCTGTGTGTGAAATACGTGATAAAATGCAGGTTGTTTACAAGGAATTAACAGGCGATTGGGTTAAGTCCAAGGTGGCTGAAAACGAATTTTATTTGTAGATAAAGACAAAACGCGAGAGAATTGAGTGGAAAATTCACCATTCGTAGCATTTAGGAAACGGACAGGCATCTTTTCAGTTCCTTTCGGCTGTTCGAAGGCGAGCATCACTTGGGTAAATCACTTACGAGCAAGCCAATAGCTAGCTTAAGCAATATTTACTTCTGTGGCATCTTCAAGTCGTTATTATATGCTTAAAAAACTTATTTTTATTATCATCAAAACTAGTCATTTAGATCGAGTATAGGTATTAGAAAGAGACATCATTTAATCAAGGAAGAGTAAAGAAACCAGAGCCTCCAGGTTAAGAAACGACGTCTGAGATTATTGAACCAATAAGAATCTCAGGCAAGCCTGGTTCTATAAGAGAGTTTTTACACCTAATTGGTTCAGACTTGAAATCTCCGATTTTTTATCCAGTCATTGAGTAGTTAAAAAGGGACATCGGAAATATATATTAAGCTGAATATTGCTCTAGATCTGTAAAAAAAGCTTGTTTTTATGTTTTCTAAATAAAGGATACTTTCAATATTCTTTAATAGCGACATTTTGAGTCTAACTTTTATTGACAGTTTATTCGAATTAACTCTTTCACACCCAAGATCGCAATATGAATTCTCTTTACTGTCTGCCACTCAATTCTTATGATGATAGCTCAGAGAAATTGATGTTAGATCAAATTTTAATTCCCTAATTTATAGCTGTCTTATTGTCATCACTTGTCTGCTTGATATTGTATTGATATAGTAAGGAGAAATTCTCTCTTGGTCACTCATGGGAGTTTCAGAGTTAGCCAATTTTTTTTGTATGAGTGACAGATATAATATATTTCTGATAAATGGATGCAATTATGTGATTACTTAGATAATTTTGATTTCATCAACTGAGTTGATAATGTAAATTAGCCACCATAAAGAGTTTCAAAGCAAGCTTTAACTCACCGTCTTTGTTCATTAATAATTCCTTACATCGATAAATTGAGATTAAAGTTTGTGTAAGCTCTCATATAATTTGAGAGTTTGAGAGAATTTCTGCCCTGTTGATTTTCCAGCCTCATAGCCTTTATTTCTAAAATTGCTCTGATAAGAGCAATCAGGAGTAAGGTTACAGACAGAATTGGACGACGCAAAGTTCTGTTACCAATTAATCATAACTGTAACAATTTCCAAAAATAAACACATTTTTCTCGAGCAGAAAATTCCTCCAGTTTGGAAATTCCCCTTTTTTTTCAGGATTAGTGGTTGTTGCTCTTCGATCAATTCTGTGATTGGTGGATTTAGCTGATTTATGATTGGCTGCTTCAACTGTCCGATTACACGAGTCCAATTATTGCCAACTGCCCGATTACATTGTCCAATTACAACTGCACAAAATCATTAGTGAAATTAAAGCAGCAAATGCAATAGTCACATTAAGGTAATTGTAACGGTTAGGATTTATCCAATATCGATATATTTTAATAAATTTGAGCTTATTTATTGGCCATGCGGATACACAAGGATCCGATTACTGGCGACTCATTTATTGAAGCTATAGAAAAAACTGATTTGTTGATGAGGATGTAGGAAACTTATTACGTCATGACCATTAGCTGACCAAGCATAAATCAGAACACAACATCAATACAAAATGGTTCCAAAATGAAGAGATAAACTTTCCTTTATCTGTGAAATGTTGGGATCTAAACAGGAGATCAAACTGTTTGGGAAAAAAACATCGTCTTTTTAAAATTAACGATTTAAAAATAGATTAAGGGAATTTAGCAAAGGTTGAAGAGTGCAAATCCACGATACAACGTAGAGAATAAAATAGTCCTTTTTTCACATTAACCCCTAAAAATCTTCATTGTTGTTTATTTTACAAGTAAGGGAGTCGCAAAATGTGCATGAAACTATTGAAATTTGAAGAAACTAGAGAAATGATAAAAAATTGGTTCCAGATTCTGGGAAATCAATTTAAATTATGTAATTCGACACATCACAATCAGATCACTATAGTCAATTTTTATATTCTACCAACATATCACTCGGAGACATTTTGTGCGACATTTGCAAAACTTTTTAGTGCTTGTCACACGAGGTGGTTTTTGAAGATGGCACCCACTTCTAAGTCGCCTAAGGCCCTGTTGTAAACTCGATATTCATCCAGAGTTCCCTTAGTTTTCCAGCCGTGGAGGTAACCAAATGCGAGTGGTCTGTCGTTGTTAACGCTGCCTCGTACTGCTGAGATGTCGAGGGAATCCGACTGCTTTTTGCCATTGATGTAAAGGAAGACTTTCTCCTGCTGTTGGCGATCAAAGACAACTGCATAATGAGCCCACTGATTAAGAAGATGATGTTGCTGAAAGCCATCATCAAATTCGATTCTTTTTTGAGCCATTCTGTTTTTCCTGTCTCGTATACAAACGTAAAGTCCTTTGGCACTATAAGCATGCCCTATTTCCCAACCGGCTTTCCAGCCCTCTTGGCCTGGGGGAAATAAACAGCCATAACCCTTCTGGACAGCGAAGGTTGTCAGGGGGTAAGAGACATCCAAAATCTTAATCCATCCAGCCACGGTGAAGCTTGACATCCCCGAATTTAATACCGGGGAGTCTGGAACCAAGATGACTCCATTGGAGTCAAAATAGCGACCACGTGTGAACTTGGATAACTTAGGCACCGGGCCAGTAGCCAAGCCGTGGTTCTCATAACCCGAGTCATCAGCCACCTCTTCTCCAGTCTGCTCGTTCATGCGCCAATGACCAATCAGACCAGGAATACAGATGTCATAGCAAGTCGGAACAGGGCTTCCTTGGGGGTAATATGGCTTCCATCGGTTGTTGAGGCAAAGGCTTAAAAATTTTTGACCTTCAGTGGAGCGTACCATTCCTGTCCTAACCGCAGTGCAAGGTGCTTTTTCAAACGGTGAGTCATCATCCTGGATTGAAGAAATCGTAGAACATGCATGTTTACAGAACTTTACAATTGCTTATAAACTGAAATTCTTCTGTTTAATTTTAACATTTTATTCCCACGATCTAACTGCGAAGCACTCAAATATTATTTAAAATTATTTTCAAATTTCTCTGCCTGCTCATGATAGATTTTAGCGTGCAGCCATTATTCATCACCATGCAGGGGCAGTCAACCCTCTATATACGTCTTTATGCTCTGCTGATGGCGACTGATCCCTCTCTGTTCCAACTGAAAGCCGTTTAATTCCCCCAAAAGTCATCGGACTCCTTCTTCCCCCTCTCTTACGTGCACCCCAGCCGGTAAATAAGGACCGACTCCTGACATGAACGCGATTTTAAATATTTCTGCATCCACGATATTTGCATGATAGTTTCTCAATTTTATGAAATTTTTCTGGATGCTGTAAAGTAAGTAAGATTAAGGTCGGAGCTTGTTCAAGGCTACGGAAATACGTCATTGCGATAGAAAAAACGAATTACTCAGATTGTCACTGTCCTCTGTTAGAGAACTTAAAACTTTCTTACAAAAAAATTGTCAACATCATTGTAAAATCAAAATTTACCTGGTTAGAAAAAATCTTTTCCAATTACACTTTGCAGCATCCCGTCGAAAAAGGAGGTTAACAAAATCACGGCGACACAGAATCTTTTCATTGTAAGAAAGGCCCAGCTTTAAACGCACAGGTTCAGTTATAAGAGATCGTCTGAGAAACCTTTTCTCGCGTTCCTATTTTTGTCGCATATTTAGCTCCTTTAGGATTGGTGCGGCATAAATTCAATGGAAAAAAAATTTAAAAAAACATTAAAAAATTAAGAAAATTATTTAAAAAAAATAATTAAAAAATTAATTTAAAAAATTGATTAAAAAAATTAATTAAAAAAATTAATTTAAAAAATTGATTAAAAAAATTAATTTAAAAAATTGATTAAAAAAATTAATTTAAAAAATTGATTAAAAAAATTAATTTAAAAAATTGATTAAAAAAATTAATTTAAAAAATTGATTAAAAAAATTAATTTAAAAAATTTTAAAATTCTTTAAAAAAATTAAGAAAATGTAAAAAATCCTTTAAAAATAAATTGAAAAAATTTGTAAAAAATTTAGTAAAAAAATATTTAAAAAAATAATTTAAAAAATATTTAAAAAAATAATTTAAAAAATATTTAAAAAAATAATTTAAAAAATATTTAAAAAAATAATTTAAAAAATATTGAAAAATTAGTTAAAAAATTATCAAAAATTTCAAAAAATTAAAAAGTAATTTAAAAATAATTAAAAATGGATTAAAATTTCTGAAGAAAATAATTAAGAAAACTTAAAAAAATCAATTAAAAAATAATTATAATTTTTTAAGAAAATAATTAAGAAAATTAAAAAAATCAATTAAGTAGAATTTTTTAAAAATTAAAAATTTAATTAAAAAATAATTTTAAAAAATATAAAAATTATTTAAAATTTCTATAAAATCTTATTAAAAAATTAATTTGAAAATTAAAAAATATTGAAAAATAATTTTAAAAATTAAATGGAAAATTAAAACTGAAAAATGAAAAATTGAAAAATTGGAAAAGTGCTTGAAGCAGTAGCACAGAACAAGCCATGACTGAGACACAAGCAGATGTCCGAAATGCCAAGCTCTCAACAAAGCGCCGGAAAGTACCGATCTGAAAGATCTACCAACCAGTTTTTACCTGTACGGCCTGGTTGATGTGTTGGCCATTAAAGAATTTTAAAACAGTCAAGTACTGTGAGGAAATTGCGACTAGAAAAGCTCCAAGGCGTCTTATTGTTTCCAGTGTTGCATATTTTACTGCCAAGAATGCACCATTAGACACGACATCATGCGAAGTAACAAAGATCACTGTGTTCTGGCACCTAAATAAAGATTTTCAAGAAAAGGACTTTTAGAATGTCATAAGACGACCCATACGCTGCTCGAAACAACGGCACGAAAAAGAAGAGCTGAAATACTTCTGCAACAATTGTACCACAGCAGCTTGCCAAAACTGTGTCTCGATAGATCACGCGGGTCACGCCATAGTGTACCTCGACGAAGAAGCTGAAAAACAAAAGATCCAAATGAAATCACTGATAGAAACAAAGAAGAGTGATTTACATGTACAAGGAAAAATAAACGTTTTACGACAGCTCGACGAGGATTACGTAAAAATGATACAAAGAGGAGAAGACTTGAAGCTAGAAGTACACGAGTTTGTTAGCAAGAGGAGAAAGCGGAGAAACAAGCCATTTACAAAGCAGTGAAGAGAGAAATGAGGAAATTGCTCGAATTTTTTTGCAGGGCAAAAAATGGAGATCGAACGTCAAATGATGGTAATCAAATCATCGCTGGAGAAAGCTGATAAACTGATGATACGAGATACAAACGGCGAAGTCGTTCAGCTGATGAAATCATTCGAGAAAATATTTCAGCGAGATGATCAAGACCAACTAGTGGATCTCGAACTTAAGAAGTCTCCTTTTTTAACTTTTGAGAAGAATCAAAGGCTGTTGAACACTGTTGAAGGCAAAGGAATTGGATGTTTGTGAGTAGTACACTAAACAAAAGCAAGCCAGTCTGTTGCTGAAGGGAAAGGACTTGAAAAAGAAAGGTTACTCAGTAAGTTTGGAACTAAAGGTGGCAATTAAGAAGAATTGTATGGTCTAAGGTCTCTGGCGGATCTTTCTATTGGGCAAATTGTTGTCGCTGGTGATGGGACGATCGTATGGAATTTCTCTTCTCGTGTTCAATTCGACATCTCACTCGTTCACTGCGCTCACCCGTTCGCTATCGAGTTAAACACTCGAAGAGAAATTCCATATCTACGCGCGCCCATGTATTATTCCCTATTTATCATATGCTCGAGCAGTAATTCAAATCAACACCAAGGCATAACAAAAATTGCCTTTTTAATGGCCTATCTGACTTCGTTTTGAAACCCTTTTTTCGCTTTTTATTGAAGTCATTGAAAAGCCAGAATATCAAATAGAGAAAGGAAATTGCTCCATTTGAAAGTTGCGGAAATTTGTTGTTATTTAAACCTGCACAATTTAACGAAACGTTCTAAGAAAGCGATTATTATCATGATTATGTGTCCCTGTTTGTTTCTTTGTTGTTTTTTTTTAAGGTTCATAAAATGAGTTATGTCAAGAGAATGTATCACTTTTTACTAAGAATCGCCCTGGTCGAGTCTCAGCCCGAGTCGACCCGATTGCCCCAGTTTCCAAAAAGACTGGGACAGTCTGAGCTTCCCAAAGTTATAGGCGATATCAGGATACAAACGAATTCGGTTTTGTTCGAAACTCCTTCCTTTTTCATGTGTTTTTATTTATCATCCAAACTAAATCGCCCGAAAATACTCATGGTAAAGAAGCCTTTCGAAACCTATTTGAAAAGCACAGCGTTATGACAATCGCGGCATCGTTTTTAAAGGGGCTCTTTTTTTTCGCGTTTTCGGGGTCCTGCCGTGAATTATTCGTTTTACGGAAATGAACGCCAAAGACTACGCGCCTTCACAAACATGCTTGAACATATAAAGGGGGTAAGTTTCTAAATAAACTGTGGTGCTGTGTTGGTGGGAGAGTATAACAGGGAACAAGTATGATCAACTGAGTTGATAACGTAAATTGGCCACCGTAAAGAGGTTTAAAGCTGATGTTAAATTAGAGCGTTAGCCCTTCGTCAGAGCGATAGCCTGAAAATGTTCTTTGTGATAACAGCTTTCCTTTCGATCACATAACGAAAACAAAAAATAATTTAAGACCATGCCTGAATATGTTTACTACTACTTCGTGGTACAAGCGTTTCAAATTTAGAATGGATGCAGAATGGAAAATAGAGAATGGGAAAATCTAAATGGAAAATTAAAAAAAAAAATTGGGAAATTAATGTTTTTCAGATTTTATTTTTATAATGCGGAATATATATTTTCAGCGTTTATTATCGATATCCACACTTTTTACAAAAATTGTCAGAGGCAAAAAAGGTTGTAAAACTAAAGATTATTCATTAATTCGTTTCATTAACCCTTGATTGGTCAAATTAAATTGGTTGAAATTAATGAAAGAGATATTTTAACGTTTAGTTGAAAATTGGTCGATTGGAACAGGTTAGCCGTTAAAAGGTTAAATTTTTCAGAGTCTACGTCACTACTCAAATCCGGGTCCACAGTTGAAAATCCTCTTCAAAAAGCCTGTCATTTCATTCTTCGAAAGCAATAGAGGTTTGCTTAATTAAGAGGATAATTTTCGATCAGTCAAAGCACTTGCCTCACTTTTCAAGTTGGTGGCTGAAGCGAAACTGAAAAATCATATCAAAGAATAATTCTCCTTTCACGACAAAAACACGCGCCAAGCAGATAACGAATCTAACAGGTCTCAAGAAGTAATTTGCCTGAATATTGATAGCAAGTGTGCAGCCAACTCCTGAACTTATCATGCATTATAATCACAAATACTCTCTTTAATGTAAATTAGATTGACATAAATAAAGCAATTATTTTTGCTATTCGCTCAGCTTCAGATAGTAACATAATGAAACAAGTCAGGGTAACTTTTTTTCGTATCATCAATTTAATTTATTCCGTTCCTTAAATTTTGCCACTTTAGGATTGAATCAAATTTTTTCTTAACAGATCAAGAAGAGTTAGAGGTCAATTTTATTTTCTTATATTTTTCTTGTTGTATGTAATTTTTAAGAACTGGTGTTATGAGTGGTCTTAATTGCACACAATGCATGAAAGAGATTTTTCTTTTGGTTTAATCAACGTTTAAACTTGAATAACAGAGTCTGAGACAAACAAATGTCTTCCTGTTTCATGATTGGTTGAGTGAGCTGAATCCACTAAGGTAATTTGCAACTAGATGTAAGGAAAGCCGAAAAAGATTATCACAAGGCTTCATTATTTCAAGCTGATTTATGCCAAACAGTTGCTCTCCTCGCTTACATCTGACGAACAAAATGGATATCAAAACATTGCTCCAAGATCTCCGAGAAGAAGTGTCATGTCCTGTGTGTACTAACATCTACACGAATCCAAAACAGCTCCAATGTTTACACAGTTTCTGCCTCCAATACTTGCAGCAATGGCGCAGAACAAGTCATGGCCGAGACACAATCAGATGTCCGAAATGCCAAGCTCTAAACAAAGTGCCGGAAAGTGGCGATCTGAAAGATCTACCAACCAGTTTTTACTTGAACGGCCTGATTGATGTATTAGCCATTAAAGAATGTAAAAACAGTCAAGTACAGTGTGGAAATTGCGACAGGAAAAGCTACGAGACATTTTATTGTTTTCAGTGTTGCACATTTTATTGCCAAGAATGCGTCATTGGACACAACATCATGCGAAGTAACAAAGCTCACCGTGTTCTGGCGCTCAGAGATTTTCAAGAAAAGGACTTTGAAGATGTAATGAAACGACCCATGTACTGCTCAAAACAGCGGCACGAGAAAGAAAAACTGAAATACTTCTGCAAGAATTGTACTGAGGCAGCTTGCCAAAGTTGTGTATTGATAGATCATGCGGGTCACGCTATAGTGCTCCTAAACGAAGAAGCTGAAAAGCAAAAGATTCAAATGAAATCACTTATAGAAACAAAGAAGAATGATTTACGAGAAAAAATAAATATTGTACGACAACTCGACGAAGATTACGCAAAACTGATACAAAGAGAAGAAGACTTGAAGCGAGAAATACAGGAGTTTGTGGACGATTTGTTTGCAACTGTTGAAGTGAAGAAACAAGCCATGTATGAAGCAATGGAGAAAGAAACGAGGAAATCGCTCGAAATTAATGCAGGGCAGAAAACGAAAATCGAACGACAAATTAAGTTAATCAAGTCATCGTTGGAGAAAGCTGATAAACTGATGATACGAAGTACAAACGCCGAAGTCGTTCAACTGATGATTTCATTAGAGACAATATTTCACCGAGATGATCAAAACCAACCAGACGACCTCGACCTAAAAAAGCCCTCCTCTTTAGCTTATGTGGGGAATCAAAAGCTGTTGAACACTGTTGAAGGCCAAGGAATTGGATCTTTGCGAGTAGTGCACCAAACAAAAGCAAGTCAATCCGTTGCTGAAGGCAAAGGACTTGAAGAAGGGATTGTTAACCATACAGCACACTTTACTTTAACTACAAGAGACGCGGAAGGAAGACAGTGCTTCAATGCAGATGATCACATAACGGTGGAGATAAAGGACGAACAAGGACGAGAATGCGTGACGGAAGTGCAAATAGATGAAAATAGAGACGGACCCTATCAGATCAGCTACTCTCCCGGAGAAGTAGGAAGGTTTAAAGTAAGCGTAAAGGTAAACGGAGAACATGTTCAAAACAGCCCTTTTACTATAATAGTAAAAGGCTTTCAGTTCAAAGCCGTGTTGGCTTTCGGAAAAGAAGGTTCTTCTGTAGGAATGTTTAGAGGTCCTTACGGGGTAGCAGTGAATGCCAAGGATGAGATAGCTGTAACTGATTTTTTCAACCACAGAGTTCAAATTTTTAACAAGAATGGATACTACTTGAGATCATTTGGTAGGGAGGGTAACAAGGCGGGAGAATTTAAATATCCCATAGACATAGCATTTCATGATAACGGGAATATTTTCGTGGCAGACCAGTGGAACCACAGAATCCAGATTTTTACGGGGGAGGGTCGATACGTGAACAGTTTTGGTAGGAAAGGAAACCGGGATAGTCAGCTCAGATCACCTTGGGGCTTATCGGTAGACAGTGATGGAAACATTATTGTTGCTGATTCAGATAACAAAATGATTAAGATCTTTTCTTCTGATGGCATGTTTCTGATGAAGATAGGTGGACATGGGGCTTTCACTTTTCCTATCCACTGTGTTCAGTACGATACATATCTCATAGTGTCGGACCACGATGAACATTGTATCAAAGTTTATGACAGGTATGGAAAATTTCAGTACAAGTTTGGAAAGGAGGGTGGAGGGGACGGGGAGTTTAATAATCCTGCATGTTTGTCAGTGAACAAGTCAGGACACCTGGTGGTATGTGACACAAATAATCATAGAGTACAAGTATTTGAACTGAATGGAGGGTTTCTCAATAAGTTTGGAACTAAAGGTGGAAATTTAGGAAAATTCCATTATCCACAGTCTCTGGCGGTTCTTGCTTCAGGGCAAATTGTTGTCACTGATAGGGGCAATGATCGTATTCAGATATTTAAGTAAACTATAATCTATATAAAAAATTGATTTCCGTATTTCAGATATGTATTATTGAAATGGTGACTTAAAAGACAAATGGTAAAATAAACAAGTTAAAAAATGAAGTTTATCGGGGAATAGTGGGGTGACCGCTTAATACACGTTCAACTTTAGACATTATATTTTAATATTTCTCTTTGAAATTTGAGGTCGAAAAGGTTGATTAACCAAATATTTATTAATGTTGAGCCAAGAGAGTTTGTAGCAATTTGGTGTTCTGGCTGTGGCCTCCTCTCTCTGCTCTGCGGAAACTGGCTTGGAAGCGAAACGGAAAGCTATCTTTTTAGCTCTTTTCGGCTGCTCGTAGGCGAGCATTAACCGAGTGAGTCACCTACGAGCAAGCCGATAGTTAGCCTGAGGAATATTTAATTCTGTGGCAAAAATAAACCGTTATTATATGCTTAGAGAACCTCGTTTTTATTATCACAAAAACTGGTTATTTAGATCGAATTTAGGTATTTGAACGAGAAATTACCAAGGAAGAGCAATGAAACCAGAGCCTCTAGGTTAAGAATCAACGTCTAAGATTACTGAACCAATGAAATCTCTGACAAGCCTGGTAGTACAAGAGGGTTTTACATCGAGTTGGTTCAGACTTGAAATCTCAGATTTTTTAACCAGCCATTGAGTAGTTAAAAGGAAACATCGGAAATATATATTAAGCTGAAAATTGCTCTAGATCTGTAGGGTCAAGTGTATTTTAATGTTTTCTATGTAAAGGATACTTTCAATATTCTTTAATAGCGACATTTTTAGTTTAAGTTTTTATTGACAGCTTATTCGAATTAACCCTTTCACTTTCAATATCTCATTAGTAATTCTCCTTACTGTCTGCCCCACAATTGTTATGATGTTAGCTCAGAGAATTTGGTATTGGATCAACTATTAATTCCCTAATTGATATTTTCCTTATTCTCATCTCATGTCTGCTTAATATTGGTCACTCATGGGAGTTAAAAGGTTAGCGAAGTTTTGTATGAGTATAGCTATTCGATATTTATGATAACTGGATGTAACTATGTTTATTCGTATGTAATTAGTTATTTCGATAAAATGAGAATAAAATTTTTGTTATCTCTCAATAATTGTTACAGAGTTTGTGAGAGTTTCTTTCTATTTAGGAGCTAGCATGGTGTAATTGTGATAATATTCACTTATCAGAGCGTTGACCTGGTTTCTATTCTTGTTGATACCTCATTTGGGCTGAGTTTGTTGATGGTTCACGCCCTTTCTTTAAGTTTATTTCTTTGTCTGTTCATGTTCAGCGGGTTTTCTGGTTCTTGTTCATTCACAAAACCCAGAATTCCAAATTTAGATCGGATCTCAAGGGCACTTGAATTGAAGTAAGTAAAGGTGACGCCCTATAGATTCAAACTTGGATTTTCGATATAATTTTAAAATAACTTCCATGTCAAACCATTTTTTGAGTAGTTTGAGACTAAGTGGCATTCAATTGTAACTAAATGGAACATGTTCCCTACCAGAACAACCGAAATTATTATTCGCAATCCAACCCCAGAAGGAATTAAGTGTCATTTCTGAGAACCGAGGTTACAAAAGCTTTCCAGGGGAGCTACCTCTGCAAAACCTCCCCTCTCTCCTTAGAGGGAGTGCCAATAAGCGCTTGCAAAGTTCCAGGCCCTCAGTTAGTGGAGTAGGAAAAATGATTGTTAAAAACTTCTCCATCTTTGATTACATATCAAAATTGTACTTAATATGCAAAGCCACTATTTTTCATTGCAACCTTTAGATTACGATGAAAATTAATACAAAGTAAGATGGATATTGGATTGGAAAGACAACAAAGGGGCGTCAAAGTAATGCATGAAATCTGGCCCCAGAAAATTTATTTCGTAGGAAGGCTTCGTAGGAAAGAAATGACATCTAAACAAAAGGACTTCCTCTTGTAAAAATTTGTGGGCTTCAATGGGAAATGTACTTCTTTAACCGTAACTTTGAAGGAAATAGTTAGATGAACGACGATCAATTCTGCGGATCCATGTTTGTTCAGAAATTCTGTGGATTATCTATCATCTCTCAGCTGTTCGAAAAGAATTTTGCGTTTGAAATATCAGCAAATGAACGCGTGGATGAATTCGTGCAAACTATCGCTGTAACAGGTGATTTAGAAGGGCTTCAAACAGAATATGCGACGTCATTTAAGGGAAGACATCGTCGAAAAACCTTTCTCCTCGTCTTGAAAATTTGAGTTAGTTAAGTGGAAATAATGGTATGGAGTTGTGGAAAAAGTACTTGATTCGGTGGGATTTATCTTTAGGTCGTCTTCTGTTAGGGCTTTAGGTTTTTTTATTATTTTACGTTAGTGCGACCTCTGTGTTTGGAAAAGCCATTTAAACGCGCGACGCAATAAAATTCGAACGAATGATCGACGTGAATGTGTGATAAATATTACTAGATAAGGCACGCGATTACAAAACTGTGTGATATTAGTATAATTATTCACATCTCGAAAGCCTCTCTTAAAGTTCTTTACAGAACGACTGTGGTTCACTCCTTTTGATCTAAAGTACTGTTATTTGTACTTGTGTCAAATTTTACAGTAACATGATAGATTTTTAGGCATTGAACAAATGTTAAGTATTGAGAAGTTGACGCTTTTTTAATAGATAATAAATATAGGAAAAGAAAAAAGACGACAAACTGTCGCACTGATGTGTTTGTAGATGTATGAACAAACATTAACGTGAGATAAAAGATATTACTTGTGCGTCCTGCCGTGAATAAATTATTTTCGATTGGAGACCCTGCCGTAAATCGTTTTACAGGGAAGTGAACTCCAGAGACCATGTGCATTCCAAACGATGCCTGAATATGTTTATTACTACCTTATGATACCAGCTTTCCTTGCGATTACATAACGAAAAAAAAAAATTATGATGAAAGATCACAAGGCCTTTTTCTTTTGCGATAACTGTTCTCTTTGGAAATGGGAGCGAAAAGGATCTTCTAGACTGTCATGTTTTTTAAAAGCATGCAATCGATATTACTTCGATAGAGTTCAAGTAAAAAACACTTATTATAACGGAATATATTTGGGTAACTTTTCTAATGCATAAGCAGTTATCAAAATCAAAATCCAGACACATCAAATATCGTTCTTCTGATGGATGATCGGACTTCTTTGTTTCATACCTTTTCTGTCTTTTTTTTTTCCTTAGGTGTCATTAAGAATTCAGAACATTAAACACAGAAAAGAAAAATAATCTCTTGCTTCATTTGAATGCTGCGAAGACTTATTATAATTTTAACTTGCACAATTTAATAAAATGTTCTTAGATAGCTATTGTTATCGTGGTTTTATTTCGCTGTTTGTTTTTTAATGGTTTGAAAAATAATTTACATAGAGCCACCTAAATCATGTTTCAGCCCGAATCAACCCGAGACGACTCCACGATCGAAAAGACAAGCACAACGTGGAACCAGACGAGTTCGGTTTCGTCAGTACTAGAAACTAATGTTCTTATGCGTTTTTTCGTGATCATTCACGGCGAAGACGGTCAAAAATCAGTACTTATGGTAGCGAAACCTGTCGAAAACGATTTCAAAATTAAGGCCGCATTTTGTCAATACATCGTCTTTAAAAAGGTCAGTTTTTTGCGTAGACAAGTGAAAACTGGGGCTTTTGAAAAGGTTGACGGAAAATGCGTTACATACTGCCGCTTCCATCTGCGTTTGCGTGTGTTTTGGCGGTGGCCGGGGAAAGTTTCGTGTGTTACTAAAGGCAGGAATGTGGAATACGGACTGTGGACTATGGAATGGGAAATGTGGAATGGGAAATATAAAACGAGGAACTCGGAAAGAGAAATGTAGAATTGGAAAAAGCAAATAAAAAATGAAAAAATTTAAATATTTAATGGAGAAGGGTAAATGGAGAGAAAGAGTTGGGAATAGGGAAGGGAGAGTGGAGAGTGAAGAATGGAGAAAGGGAAACGGAAAATGGAAAATGATGAGTGGAGAATGGAGAATGGGAAAAGGAAATGAAAAAATGGAAAATGAACAATGGACAAAGGACAATGGAAAATGGAAAATGGAGAGTGGAGAATGGACAATGGAGAATGGGAAAAGGAAATAAAAAAATGGAAAATGGTAAATTAAAAATGGAGAATGAAAATGGAAAATGAAAAATTTAGAGTGGAAAACGAGAATGGAGAGTGGAAAAAGGAAAATGAAAAATGTGAAATGGAGAGCGGAGAGTGAAGAATAGAGATTAGAGAATGAGAAAATAAAATGGGAAATTGAAAATGGAAAATTGATGTTTTCATTTTTAGATTAAATATTTATAACGCAGAATAGATATTTCAGGAGCCCATCACTTGGAGCCTTCAACTGCCCTGTATTTTTGTCATGGTGTTTTGACAGACGAGTCTATTTTTAGTTTGAATTTACCGCGAACTAGGACTCCCCACGAGAGCACATCGACCAATCAAGATTAGCGCCTGGTTAATTTCTAACTTTACTCGTTAATATATCGAAAGAAAAACAGCAGAGAGATGCAAGCTTCTTCGTTCCAGAGTGGCTTGTGTCCGGTGTTGTGGGCGGCATGTTCTGAAACGGCGGAGTTCTCCTTACGGGCGAGTCGGATGTCTCGTTCGTGCTCCTTAATTCTTTCTTGGGCCATCTCATCTTAGCGTAGTCTCCGACTTGAAAACAGCGCGTACGCCACAAACTACTCCCTTTAATGAAAACTTGACTGACAAAAACAAAAAAGTGATTATTATTGTTACTCGGTCAGCTTCAGATAGTGACAAAGAAAAGAAATCAGGTCAACTTTTTTTCCGTATAATCAATTTATTCCGTTCCTTAAATTTTGCTTCTAAACGTTTTGAAGAGAACCTTGATATCGATAATCACCGCTGGAAAATATATGTGTCTCTCTGAAAACAAAAAATTTTAAAACGTGAAAAAACTTAAGTTCCCATTTTCAGTGCATAGCCGTCAAGCCTGCTAGCAGACTTTCATTGGCGCTGTGAAATCACCGGCGAGGCCGGCGGATGTCGAGACGGCGAGGGATGAGAGCGGGCGAGAGGTCTGGAAAGGTTCTCGAGCCAAGCCTCTAACACCGCTGTCACAAGATCACTTTGTTCTCCTGCTCGAATATCTGGGGTTTAGGCGCTAGTGTCGACTAGGCTTAAGTCGATTGTGCTCGTAAAACTGGCGAAATAAAGGCAGGGTATCTTTACCAGGGTAAACACAAAACAAACAGCAAATGATTACTTATCTGGTTACTGCAGCTCATCATTTTAATAAACCGATTATCAAACAATGTGTCGTAACACGTTTCCCCTGCATTTGTTCCTCAGAATTGATAAACACACCACTCCTCATTTTTCAATCAATGGAGTTTCGTAAGTCAAAGTAAGGATGCAGAGTAATACGCTTATCAACGTTTATTGTACTAAAGCATAACACAGACTGAACATAATCTATTGAAGCATGGCCTTGCGAGTCTTTAAAAGAGCAGTTAATTATTGAGAATACTCTTTCTGCAGCAGCAGATGAGGGTTGTACTTGGAGAAACTTTCATGACTGCAGACGACCAATGTGGCAATCGATCTGAGTGCTGTCGCCACTACTTCACTTTGTCCTCCAGGCCATTGTGACGTTATGGGCCGCAGCAACATATTTAGGCAGTTCCGTGATTAAGCCGTTTTATTACATGGTTCCTGTCCAAAAACGGAAATAATCGTAAGCCTTGTGCAGTTGCTGGCGTCGGTCGCAGCGATTGCACAGCTTCCGGGCACATTACTCTAGCAGCCTTGAATGCGCTCAACGTGTTGTACACTTCTGCATTGAATTTTCGCAAAAACCACTGAATTCCAGGCTCGACACTCCTTTTGGTTTCCTGTTCCAATGCTGCAACATTTTTTGTGGATCTCCGGCCGCTATAGCGACAGCTACTGCGTGGACATTTCGGAAATGTGGCACCTGACATGCATTCGCAACCGTTTGTAATCTCTCGATGCACGAGAAGACTAGTAGGCCATCTCCCTTTAAAACGTAAATGGCTTTGACGAAAGGTTCACCCACATGAACGATAGCTGCTAGCTCAAGCTTAAGGCTCAGAACTTTATCTAGACCAGACAGGAAGTCGATTAGTTGACGTGAAATTTGGGGAGCAACATTTCCTCTTTCAGCATTAGCCACGAATTCTTGTAAGTCACCAAACTGCTCCGTGAGTTGTTTGTAGACTTCCCACCCCGACCACCAACCAGTCTCGCAATACCTCTTCGATTTAAGTCCGGTCTCTTCCTGCTACATAAGCCTCACTTTGTGGCTATGCCCAAGTAGGCAGATCCACAGATTGCCAAATTCACTTAAGTTCAGAGCAAAGAAACAAGCCATTTATGACGCAGTGAAGAAAGAAACGAGGAAATCGCTCAAAATTATTGCAGGACAGAAAAAGGAGATCGATGGTCAAATTATGGTAATCGTATGATCGTTGGAGAAAGCTGATAAACTGATGATACGAAGTACAAACGCCGGTGTCGTTCAACTGATGAAATCAATAGAGACAATTTTTCAGAGAGATGATCAAAACCAACCGGTGGACCTCGATCTAATAAAGCCTCCGTTTTTAGCTTTTGTGAAGAATGAAAAGCTGTTGAACAATGTTGAAGGCGAAGTAATTGGAACTTTAAGAATAGTAAACCAAACAAAAGCAAGAAAGTTGGTTGTTGAAGGACTCGAAGAAGGATTTGTTAACCAAATAGCGCAGTTTACCTTGACTACGAGAGACGCAGAAGGAAGGCAATGTTACAATGAAGATGATCACGCAACGGTGGAGATCATGAACGAACAAGGACGAGAATGCGTGACGGAAGTGCAAATAGTTGACAATAGAGTTGGACTCTATCACATCAGCTATTCTCCCAGAGATTTAGGAAGGTTTAACATGCTAAAAACAGCCCTTTTACCATAATGGTAAAACGATTTCAGTTTACAGCTGTGTTGTCTTTCGGAAAAGAAGATTCTGTAGGAATGTTTCGTTGTCCTTGGGGGGTAGCAGTGAATGCCACGGATTGTCACAACCACAGAATTCAAATATTTGACAGAAATGGAGATTATTTACGATCATTTTGTAGGGAAAGTAGAAAGACCGGAGAATTTAACTATCCGAGGGGAATAGCATCTCATAACAATGGGAATATTTTTGTGGCGAACCCGGATAACCACAGAATCCAAATTTTTACGGGGGAGGGTCAGAATGTGGACAGTTTTGGTGGGAAAGGAAACCTTGATAATCAGCTCAATTTTCCTTGAGGTTTATCGGTAGACAGCGACGGAAACGTTATTGTTGCTGATACAGGTAACAAAATGATTAAGATCTTTTCTTCTGATGGCACGTTTCTAATAAAGATAGGTGAACATGGCGCTTTTACTTTCCCTATCCACTGTGTCCAGTACGATAAATATCTCATAGTGTCGGACCAATATCAACATTGTATTAAAGTTTATGACAGGAGTGGAAACCTTCAGTACAAGTTTGGAAAGGAGGGTGAAGGGAATGGGGAGTTTAATTATCCCACATGTTTGTCAGTGAACAAATCAGGACACCTGATGGTATGTGACTCATATAATCATAGAATACAAGTATTTGAACTGAATGGAAAGTTTTTTCAGTAATATTGGAACTCGAGGTGGTAATATAGGAGAATTCAGTTATCCAATTTCTCTGGCTGTTCTTGCTTCTGGGCGAATTGTTGTCACCGATATGGGCAACAATCGTATTCAGATATTTGAGTAAACTATAATAACTATAAAAATTGATAAGTTAGATTTCCGTATTTCAAATATATATTCGTAAAATGGCAACTTAAAGGACAAATGTGGCTATATAATCAAGTAAAAAAATGAAGTTTACTGGGGAATGGTGGGGCAGAGCCTCTTGGTTAAGGTGAAAATCTCAGGCAAGCCTGGTACTTCAAAACGGTTTTTACATCCAATTAGTTCAGACTTGAAATCTCAGATTTTTGTACCAGTCATTGAGAAGTTAAAAGGAAATCGCTCTAGTTCTGTAAGAAAAGGTTTATATTTATGTTTTCTATGTAAAGGATACCTTCAATATTCTTTAATAGCCACATTTTGAGTTTAAGTTTTTATTTACAGTTTATTGGAATTAACCCTTTACCTCCCAAGATCTCATTTGTAATTCTTTTTACTGCTTGCTACTCAATTCTTATGATGTTAGCACAGAGAATTTGATATTGGATCAAATTTTCAGTCCCTAATTGACATTTTTCCTATTCTCATCACTTGTCTGCTTGATATTGTATTGATATAGTAAGGAGAAACTCTCTCTTGGTCACTCATGGGAGTTTCAGAGTTAGCGAAGCTTTATATGAGTGACAGATATTAAATATTACTAATAACTGGATGTAATTTTGTAATTACTTACTAGATAATTCTGATTGTATCAACTGAGTTGATAATGTAAATTAGCCACCGTAAAGAGTTTCAAAGTTAACTTTAACTAACCCTCTTTATTCATGTGTAATTTCGTGCATCGATAAAATGAGAATACAATTTGTGTAATCTCTCATATAATTGGAGAGTTTGAGAGAATTTCTTTGTATTGAGGAGTCAGCATGGTTAATAGTGACAACACCCACTCATTACAGTGTCGATACCGCCGAATCTTCAATAGTGTTTCCGGCTTGGATGTACACAGATTCTTCTGCTTGGGCTTTCGCCATTTCTGTTTTAAGCTCTAGACTGCTCTCTTTTTCATTCGAACAGCGAGATCTTCCATCTGCAACGCCTGTCGATTTTCCAGGCTCGTAGCCTTTCTTTATAAAATTGCTATTATCGCTGTAGGTTTTACTCGTGCAGATAAAGCTGAACTGGCGGCCTATTTATTTTGAACGATTGGAATAGACTGGACTTTGACCGACGGGAGTGCTTAGAGCCAGCATAGCTGATTAATAATGGTAATAGAACCAAGTGGATTCCAATTTGGTCTGTAATCGTACGATTGATTAACAAAATCGGACGACACGAAGTCTTGTTACAAATTAATCACAACCGTTACAATTTCCGAAAAAAGAGAAAGAAAAACTACATTTAGGACAAATATCTCCGGTAGAGACAATGTCTCAAGCAAAAAATTCCTCCACTTTGGAAATTCCCCTTTTTTTGCAGGATTTTGCAGTGGTTGTTGCTATGGTTATTGTGATTAATTCAATTATTGGTGGATTTCGCTGATTTATGATTGGCTACTTCAATTGTCCGATTACACGTGTCCAATTACAGCCAACTGTCCGATTACAACTGTACACAGTGATTAGTGAAAAATAATGCAGCAAATACACCAATCGCATTGAGGAAATTGTAACGGTTACGATGAATCCAATGTTAACATATATGCTAATTGTCCATGCTCATTGCGGAAACACAAAGATCCGATTACTGGCGACTCTTTGATTGAAGCTATACAAATACTGATCTGCTGATAGAGATTTGACACATTTGTTAAGACATAACCATTAACTAACAAGGCATGAACCAAAACAAAGCATTAATACGAAGTTATTATTATCTGCGCAGACTCGTAGCTTGGTCCCCTTAGTGCTTTGAGATTTGTTCGACATTTTCCCTTACAGGTCAAGAAAAACAAAACATTAATACAAAGTAAGAAAATGAAGTGTTCCGAAACTTAGAAAAGGAAGGTATCAGCTTGCAAAATCCTTCACAAAGAGATACCTTTTCCTTTCTCCTATAAAATGTCGATGAACTTGCAGCAGCATTTGTTCCTCCATCATCTTTTTCGTGAGTTCAGTCCACACTTGTTATGGAAAAACACGGACAAAATCGCTGCTGGTGAATTCTTATGCACGCTTGAATTGTCACAACAGAGGAGCTTCATCAAGAGCGGGGTCATCTGAGTAGATCAAGGCTTGCCAGTTTAAGAATTTCACTGTCGGCAAATAAGTTCGAAAACTAATTGATCGTGGAATGGTATCGTCAGCAAATGGTTCGTTCCTATATTCCTAAATAGGATCGATATTGGATCCGAAAGGTTCGAAAGGGGCCCAACTAACGAGAATGAGCCAGAATGATCATATTGCTTGTTCGAAGCCACCTGTGAAACTTGAACGGAAAATAGCCGTGTCCTTTAAAGATTCCTTCAGAAAGTTTAACGATTTCATCAAAGTCGTTTCGCTCAGCCAAGCGGAATGTTATGTCCTTTATTGAAGAGACGATTTACACATGTACATTCTTAAATTCCGTGAATTCCAGTGACTGTTGAGTGACGAATAGCCCATTTCCGAGTTCTCTCCTGATTGGATCACTCTGCTTCGAATATTTTGATATTTATAAAGTGGTCTATCACTCAGTCGCCCGTTGCAATAACGGGAATCACAATCGAAGTGATGTCATATTTTATTTTTTTCTTCTAGCAGTAGGCTTGAAAGTTGGGTGAAATTCTGTCGCCGGGCACAAAAAACAGTTAGCAGCGGAGGCAGGAAAGAGCGAAAATTTGAAGATTTGCAGCGCCTAGAGAAACCTATAGACAAAATTTAAACGGTTTGCGAGAAATATGCGAAACTGCTCCGCCAACTACATTTCCACTGATGAAAAAAGGGAAAACTTTTTAAAGAAACTGTTAATTCAAATTTTGGAGCACTGTTTCGCCATTTAAAAGTACTCCATGTAGAGGCTCAAATTTTATGGGGAAAAAACATCTTTTTAAAATTCATGATTTAAAAACAAATTACGTCTTCACATTTTCCATTCCCGCTCCGACAAAATTTGGCGAAACATGTCCGAAATATTTAGGAAAAGCGTTTCGTAGAGCAGCTGTTAAAATGAAATTCAGTCCCTGTCTTTTCTTCCCTCACCAAGAACCACCCCTTCATAAGTTGGTGGTGTCGTTACTTCACCGTTAAATTGGCAAGTGCGTTTGAGATTGTGACGCAAGTAAGGGAGTCGCACAAAAAAATGTGCGTATGGCATTTCCTATTGAAGGTGCGGCTCGAGTGAAGAAACTAGAGAAGTGATAGACAATTTGGTTTCAGACGAATCAGCTGGGATCTAAACAGGAGATCATGAAGAAGAAGACGAAGGGGAAGTTAGAGTGTGGAGAGGCAGCATCCACGATACAACGTGGAATAAAATAGTTCTTGAAATTAGCCTTACAATCATCCTTCTGTATATTTCCTACAATTTGATGCAAATTTCGAAATTAATTTGAATTAAACAATTCGATGCATCACAATCAGATCACTATCATCAATTTTTTCTATTCTGCCAACATATCACGCTGGGGCAGTTTGTCTCATTTGCAAAACTTTTAGTGCTTGTTACACGAGGTGGTTCTTGAAGATGGTCCCCACCTCGAAGTCGTCTAAAGCCTTGTTGTAAACTCGATATTCATCCAGAGTTCCCTTAGTTTTCCATCCGTATAGGTAACCGAATATGAGAGGTCTGGTGTTGTCAACGCTGCCTTGTACTGCTGAGATGTCGAGGTACTTGGACTGCTTTTTGCCGTTGATGTAAAGGAAGACTTTCTTCTGCTGTTGGCGATCAAAGACAACTGCATAATGAACCCACTGATCAAGAAGATGATGTTGCTGAAAGTCATCGTCAAACTCGATATTCTTTCGAGTCATTCTGAATTCTTTGTCTCGTATACAAACGTCAAGTCCTTTGGCATTGTAACCGTGTCCTATTTCCCAACCGGCTTTCGCGCCCGGACGGTCTGGGGCAAAATAACAGCCATAACCTTTCTGGACAGCGAAGGTTGTCAGAGGGTAGGTGACGTCCAAAATCTTTATCCATCCAGTCACAGTGAAGCTTGACACCCCCAAATTTAATACCGGGGAGTTTGGGACGGAGATGAGTCCACTGGAGTCAAAATGGCGACCACGTGTGAACTTGGATAACTTAGGCACTGGGACAGCAGCCGAGCCATGGTTCTCATAACCCGAGTCATCAGCCACCTCGTCTCCAGTCTGCTCGTTCATGCGCCAATGACCAATCAGACCAGGAATACGGTTGTTATAGCAACCCTGAACGGGGCTTCCTAGGGGGTAATATGGCTTCCATTGGTTGTTGAGGCAAAGGCTTAGAAATTTTTGACCTTCAGTGGAGCGCACCATTCCTGTCCTAACCGCAGTACAAGGTATTGTTTCAAACGATAAGTCTTCATCCTGGATTGAAGAAAAAAGTGGAACATGCATGTCTATAAAACTCAAGAATTGCTTTAAAACTGAAATTCTACTGTTTAATTTTAACATTTCTTTACCAAGATCTAACTGTGAACCACTCAAATATCAACTAAAATTATTTTCAAATTTCTCTGCCTGCTCATGATAGATTTGAGCGAGTGGTCATTATATATTCATCACCTTACTGTAGTCTAGTCTGTACTTATAGTCCCCTTTATACTCTGCTGATGACGACTGATCCCCCACTGTTCCAACTGAAACCCGTGCAAATCCCGCCAGAAGTCTTCCGACTCCTTCTTCCCCTCTCTTACGTGTACCTCAGCTGCTAAATAACGACGGACTCCTAACATGAATTTGATTTATATCATCTCTACATCCACGATATCTGCATGATAGTTTCTCAATTTTATTAAACTTTTCTGGATGCTGACAAGCAAGATTAAGAGAGTGTCTCAGTAAGAGCGGTCCGGTCGATTTTGCTTGAGACACGGATTTCGCTCGTTTCTCGTGTGTTGTAAGACATTCATGTACCTATACTAAAACCACAATCAGTTTGATCGGATCTCTTTATTTTTCAGACTTTTACGGAAATTAAATTTCACTCGAGCGAAGGCTTGTCGTGACACTTTTCAAGACTTTAATTTCATACAACTTTGGAGGACAATTTACAAAAAACTACGGAACTCAGCAAAAAACAAATACCACAGCCATGTATATTAACTCTATCCTATCTATCGAGGCGACTTTCGTAAACATCACGTTTCAATCAAGGAAACAAGGAGACTTGAATGACACCTTATCGGTTCGCCTAAATCAAACACGCCAAAACCGATCAAATTCAAGGTAAATCTTTGAAAAAGTGAGGCGTTCTTAACTGATTCAACTAACATAGCTAGGAAGTAGGTGCCATAGAAAAGGTAACTACAGAAAATAACTTTGCGGCCCGACCTTTACGAGAACTTTATAGCTCCGTGAACTTACCTAATTTTCGGCAATCTCCAAGTTTGGCCGCCATTTTGAGGGACTTGTCAACATGAAGCGTAACCGATATAAATCAAGCAGGTAAATCTAAAACCGTCAGAAATACATACGAAAGCAATTCAAATGAACTTTACTTTCAATTCAAGCGGCAAAATTTGAAATTGTTTGTTAAACTTACCATCCCCATGCGACCATTTATTCCAACAATTCAAACACAACAACTTTCTGAATTCCCCTCGTCGATTCCACCACAGAAATAACCTGTGCCACCCAAGCTTCGACTTGAATGTGAAGTACGAATAACATAGCTGCTTCATCTTCGCGGAAATATCACGCTGGTATTTTGATTTTCCGATCGACAAGAACGGTGATCAAGAATCGATCGGTTTGTTTACCTCATAAACGTGACCGCTGACCAGCTGCTGAGTGAAAACAGTACGGTTCAGTGGCGAGGGGCGGGGTGAGGGGTGGGTGCGGGCAGATTCTCAGAAGATTTTTGGGAACATTCGAACTTATGCATTAAAGTATCATGATAAACATTAGGATTCTCAGTCTTAATGCGAAGGCATGCTTTGTGTTGCAGACAACTTTTGTTTTACTCAGTATTCTTTTTTTATTTCAAATACATTTCGTTCCAAATAGGACTAGCATCAGTTCATAGATTTAAAAACAAATCTTTACCACGTAAATAAATGTGGTTAGATAATCGAGATAACCATTGAACCTCTTGTATCACACCGGAAATAACGTGTCTTGTCTTTGCCCAACTCTGAGAGCGTGGAGCGGCGAAGACGCGAGATACCAGTATCGCGTGGAGCGGCTTCACCATGCTCACAGGATACGCGTGACCTCACTATCTTTAAGAAAAATAAGAGACTGCTCGAAGTCTGTATTCCGTTCAACCATTTCATAAGAGTGACGTGAGTCTTTCAATTGAGTGCGAAAGTCACAAACCCATTCTTTACCTCACGAGCGTAACCACTGACCACTCACGAATTACATTGGGCTTCTCCTTTGACGCGGAAATTGAAATCGTATCGAATATACAAAGTTATAGTGAGTTCCTTTAGATCTCCCGAACTTGTATCGCGTTGGAAACAATTACAAGTACAGGAAGAAGTCGTTCATTAGCGAGACGTTCATTATGTCTCAGGACTGCTTTTTGAATAGCAAAGATGGAAAAAACTTTGGTTCATCGTGTGGCTTAAGTGGTTTAGTACGACTGTCTGAATGCAATGACGAAGTAAAACATCATTTGATAAGCTGCCACCTGTCTAAGAGGTTTTTAAGTGAAAATGAGCTAATCTTGGCGAGGATTGGCCTATTTCACCTCGCTCAGGAGGATAAACAAAAAATGTGGATTTCCTATAGGCATCGCCACACTCTGGGGAAGTTTTGGAGAAGTGCAAAGGTAACATGTCAGTATCCGGTCATGATGGTGCCAGGAAGCGTATCCAAGGCAGAGATGTAATTACCTTGCATATGTCTCAGGACATTCAAAAGCTGTTTGGAGTTATTATTCCAGTTGAATCAGGTAGTCTTCAATAACATTTTCTGTTATCTATTTTTGTCACGTGACATATCTGCTCGAAAAGAGAAGAAATTCTTTATTAGATGAAGGGTACTTAAGTGCACATCACGTTCAAAAAAATAGATCTATGTGTAAGTGCTTTTAATCACAGATGGAAATATGTATAATGTTGCTCGGTTGATAATCAATAATGTTTTGTAGAAGATCAAATCACCTGACAACGCAATATACTTATTCATGCGTACGGTTCACAATTATTTGCGGTCAGTTTTCCTCAGTTTGTATGATTCTCATTAACCAATATGATTAAATTTGTAGACTAAAACACCCCTTATTTGATTAAGAATAATAAAAGTAAACAGTGCATGTCGATTTTTAATTCCTGATAGATGCTACTGGGCTTTACTTTAACCGAGAAATTTGCAATCGCTTACCTCAGCTCTCTGTGTCCCATGCCGTAAGAAGCACAAGAAAAAAGTTGATGATAGTGAGTCTTGGCTGAGACAAGAAGAATCAAAGAAGAATCTACGGTCCCCAGAAACGCCACTTTTAAACACGAGACAACTAAGGTAAATTGAATGAATTGTTATTTCTTTTATTTAAAAGTATCGTTCCGATTATAAGATACGCGAAAAACTCTCCCCACCGATTTTTTTCCTACATTCTGTTAATCAAAAGTTTCAATAATTATAAAGGCTTTCTTGTTGATCGTCTTAATAGTAACAGTTTCCAGGATCCAAGGGGAGCAAAAGAGAGAACAATTTTCTGTGTAGTTAGTTAAGGCGACATGCCAGCTTTATACTTCTTCCGGCGTGATAACGATACTGATGACAACCATGGGCAAAAAGCACCGTCCGCTAATGATGACGATTATCATAGTTATTAACAAATCTCAGTTATAGTCCTGAAAAAAATCTCAGGGGGTCCTTTGAACCATCCACTTAATCTCGCCAGAAGTCAAAGTTGCCTACACTCATTCTAAGGTTCGTGCGATTTTACGGCGCGACTTTTGATAGAAAAACCTACACGCGCCATAACTTAAAAGAACGTGTCAGCGGAATGATTCAAATCTCTATCACTTTGCGTACATTCTTGGGAACAGAAAAAATTACTTAGAGCAAACACTCTAAGTACAGTGTTCATTCCGTGCAATGGGGCATAAATAAAAGGTTCTGGTGGAAAAGACATTTTATTTTATACCACTGATGACAAGCAAAAAGGTTATATGGGTACACGGTTAAAAATATATTGATAACTCTATTAATTAATACCAGTTCTAATTTAAAGGAAAAAGTTATGAGAATAAAATAGAAGTTGCCTGTACCACGAAGCATGCCTTCACTGTTTAGACTGATAGTCCTAGAGCTTTTGGAGCATGTATTCGAATATCTTATGACGATAAGCCCGCCAACCACCCCACCCCGCGCTATGCTGTTTTCACTTAGCGGCTGGTCAGCGGTCACGTTTATGAGGTAAACAAACCGATCGATTCCTGATCACCGTTCTTGTCGATCGGAAAATCAAAATACCAGCGTGATATTGCCACAAAGATGAAGCAGTTATGTTACTTGATTCGTACTTCATATTCGAGTCGAAGCTTGGGTGGCACAGGTTATTTCTTGCGGTGGAATCGACGAGGGGAATTCGAACACTAGTTGTAGTGTTTGAATTGTTGAAAGAAATGGTCGCATGGGGATTGTAAGTTTAACAAACAATTTCAAATTTTGCCGCTTGAATTGAAAGTAAATTTCATTTGAATTGCTTTCGTATGTATTTCTGACGGTTTTAGATTTACCTGCTTGATTTATATCGGTTACGCCTCATGTTGACAAGTCTCTCAAAATGGCGGCCAAACTTGGAGATTGCCGAAAATTAGGTAAGTTCACGGAGCTATAAAGTTCTCGTAAAGGTCGGGCCGCAAAGTTATTTTCTGTAGTTACCTTTTCTATGGCACCTACTTCCTAGCTATGTTAGTTGAATCAGTTAAGAACGCCTCACTTTTTCAAAGATTTACCTTGAATTTGATCGGTTTTGGCGTGTTTGATTTAGGCGAACCGATAAGGTGTCATTCAAGTCTCCTTGTTTCCTTGATTGAAACGTGATGTTTACGAAAGTCGCCTCGATAGATAGGATAGAGTTAATATACATGGCTGTGGTATTTGTTTTTTGCTGAGTTCCGTAGTTTTTTGTAAATTGTCCTCCAAAGTTGTATGAAATTAAAGTCTTGAAAAGTGTCACGACAAGCCTTCGCTCGAGTGAAATTTAATTTCCGTAAAAGTCTGAAAAATAAAGAGATCCGATCAAACTGATTGTGGTTTTAGTATAGGTACATGAATGTCTTACAACACACGAGAAACGAGCGAAATCCGTGTCTCAAGCAAAATCGACCGGACCGCTCTTACTGAGACACTCTCTTAAGCTTAGAGCCTGTTCAAGGCCACGGCAATACATCATTGCGGTAGAAAAAGAGAATTACTCAGATAATCACTGTCCTCTGTTAGAGAACTTGAAGCTTTCTTACTAAAAATTGTCAACATAATTGTAAAATCAAATTTTACCTCGTTAGAACAAAAATCTTCACCAGCTACACTTCGCAGTATTCCGTAGAAAAAGGAGATTAAAAAAATCACAGCGACACAGAATCTTCTCATTGTGAAAAAGACTCAACTTCAAACGAATCGGACTACTTATAAGAGATCGTTTAAAAACTTTATCTCACGTTCGCAATTTTGTTGCCATGACGAGCCAGGCAAACCGGATGTTAAATTGAAAAGGTCATAGACAGGCCTACACAGACTCCCCAGTGTGGTTTTACGTTTGCGACGCAAAAGCCTTTAATTAAAGTTTCGCTCTGACGAGTATGTCTTTGAGCGATTTACCTCTTTTGTATGATATAATCGGAGGCGTTTTGTAAATTGTTTTCAGCAGTGGCTGATTTTGGATGAGGTTGAAAAGGTCATAGACAGGCCTACACAGATTCCCTGTGTGGTTTTACGTTTGCGACGCAAAAGCCTTTAATTAAAGCTTCGCTCTGACGAGTATGTCTTTGAGCGATTTACCTCTTTTGTATGATATAATCGGAGGCGTTTTGTAAATTGTTTTCAGCAGTGGCTGATTTTGGATGAGGTTCCATTCTTGCATCAGTATTTGTTGTAAATTTTTAACCCCTGGGTGGTATGCTGTCACAAAAGGCAATATTTTGCTTTTAGTTTTTTTGGTTTGTTTTTTAAGTGTCGACTGCCTTGCGGCAAACGAGACCTCAGATAACGTTTTTTCAATTAGGCTTTTTGGGTAACCACGATTGAAAAGGTCATAGACAGGCCTACACAGACTCCCCTGTGTGGTTTTACGTTTCGTGGGGTTTGGTTGCTATGGTGTGACGTCATGATCCGTAGCTATCATCAGTAGCCTCAGTAGCTATCATCGCTTTCGATTTGTGATTTCAACAGGGGAGCGTTCGGTGATTACATTAACACCGTTGTGCACAACCTCCAATGGCGTATTTTTCATTTGTTCTTACATGTCCTGTTAAGGACAAGTAATAATAAGTAATCATAGTGTCAGATAATATTCCTGTTCTTGCATCCTTCTACAGGTAGGCAGCAAGTCATGATAGGTGTGGTTCCTATCAATGTCAGTCATGCATCAAGTGAGAGCTGTAAAAGTGTCTACCCTATAGCAATTGCAAATTGTGAGGAAAACAGGTGATAATAATAATATTTAGGTCTTCAATGGCTAAAATATCACTTTAAGAAATGCATTTAGCAGACTGCTAAATGCACTATTATGATTTCATAATTCAATGCCCATCATTAAGTTAGGAGTTCAATTAAATGAGTTTAAACTGGTTTTTTTTTTCTGTAGGATCAATGTTGAAGCCCTAATAAAGGAAATCATTGCCCAAAAAATGCCATCAAGAAAAATGGAATAACTATTCATGGAAGACACTTTAAAGTCAAATTTAAAGGTGATTAAATATACTTTCCTAGGCCACTGTAGGGCCAAGGGAAAATATCCAGCTTATTTCTGGAGTTCCTTTATATATTGAAGTTATATTTATTTTCAGAATTACATGTATTTCTTTCTTCTGTTTGCTATTAAAACATATAGTATAATAATAATATTGTAGAATACCTCCATCTGCTGAATTTGTAAGTGCCTAATGTTTCACGTGAGCACTGGACTCCAGATCAAGCAGTCCGGGTTGAGACCCTAGCAGAGGCCATTGTGTTGTGTTCCTGGGCAAGACATTCAACTTTCACAGTGCTTCTCTCCACCCACAAATAATATAAATGTATATGAATGTGTATCAATTGGCAAATTTAATGCTGGGCAGGGATAACCCTTTTATTGACTAGCATCCCATCCAGGGTGAAGTAGAAATACTCCTAGTCCCTTAGTGCTACTGAAATCTGGATAAGCTTCGACGCTGGTGGGTGACTTCTGGGCCCAAACCCAGACCTTACCTTACTTAATAAGGGAGACATAGTGATCTGCATTGTAATTATCAGTGGTGAGTGTACTGAACTTGAGATCTAGTGATCTGGGTTTCAAGTCCTGGCCAGAGTAATTGTGTTGTATTCATAGGCAATACTCACAGTGTCTGAGCTCAGGGGATTGAAAAAGTACCAGTGAACTTAATCCTGGCATGTACAACCCTTTGATGGGCTAGCGCCCCATCCAGGTGCGCATAGAAATACTCTTGTCACTTTATGCTCCTGAATCCAAGGTAAGGCTACAAAGCCTGATGGGCCACTATAGGCTTGAATGGCCCTTTACCTACTGCTAAATTACTGACTCCATCACCTTAAAAAAAACAAGACTTAAGAATCAATTTCCTCATTCTCTTCTTGGATGTGTTCCTAAAGATTGTAACCATCTGCATTTCTAAGTCAGGCTGTAGAAATGCTGATGACAGCAAATACAGACTGATTAATTAAAATAAAAGGCATTTTGGGATGTGATCCCAGAAGAAGCCTGTTAATGGACATTAAAATCATATTTGTTAATGTCGGGATGTGACATTCAAGAAAATTTAATTATTCATCTTGTTTTTTTATGACAGTTATGCTTGATTACAAGGCATTGATAATACTTATCAAACGAAAGAGTGAAAATAATGAGTCAGATGAAGAAATGGAAGGTCTATGTCAGAGAGGGTTGGACACAGAGTGCTGTGTGTTCTGTAAAGTTATACGGGTAAGTTATCACAGAAGTAGCCATTAAATGTAGTTCCTATGTCACTGGATGTGCACAAGTCATTTTATAATAGTGTTTTCACTGTAAGTTTTGGTAAATGGGTAATTAAAATTCATACTCAACTTCAACTTCTTCTTCACAGTTTTTAATTGTATCAAGCTTGTTAAGGATACTATTATAGACAAAGGATTCAATTTCAATCCGATCAATTATCAATTACTTTGATTGTGTACCTATTTATGGACGTAGTTACAATGTTTTTTCTGTTTTCCTATTGGTTTGTAATCAGATCCTTTAGTGTCACCTCACATTTTCCATAAGATTTTGACATATTGTCCATTGTTTGCCTTGTTTGTTGTCTTGATTCATAATCTTTGGCACGAGTGGGACCGATATTTTATGATCGTTTATAAATCGTTGTTAACCGTAATCCTTGGTTTCCTTGTTTTGTGGTTCCTTGATGACGACCTGTAAAACAGTCCTGTTACCTAGCAAACACACCTTAGTGATACCCCTTGAATTTTTGTCTTGTCTTGTTGCAAGCTGTCACTATCTGGTAAACAATAAAATATCGTTCTCTATTTTATTGCAGGGATGTGCATGTCCAGGGGTTGAACGTGGTGAATCCTGTGCAGAATGCTTTATCAAGAGCAAGGCAAATGTTGGAGGGTCAGTAAGCCCATTTAATTTTTTAATGCAATCATTTTACAAGGGCAGCTGTATGTTATTTATGTGTTTTTGGTTATGTGATTAATTTTTTTGTACACACCTCAGACTTTAGACATGCATCTGTGTATTAAATTTTGATTACAAAATTATTTTCAGTAAACAAGTATTTTATTAATCCCTGTTTAGCCTTCTCCATTATGCCTTACATTAAATTTCTATGGTTCTAGATATAAGCGTTATTGTCCTTAGAGAAACTGCAGACAACTTCCCAGGAATTGGCTTGATTGTAATTGTGCATAATTACAATCTGGCATAATTGTAATTACATTGTATACACAGGAGAAACTGATAAATACCTAAGCTTGATAATGTTTAGGTATAAAATAAAAGGTCAACTTTCAGTAATTTTTGATATTACTCCTCCTTTGCTAGTATTTTAGATGGAAGGGTGTTAGGGATGACTTGCTGTTTCTCCTTGAAGAAGAGTTGTGTGATGTAAACCTATGCACTCTTCATTGCGAGCTGCGGAATACAGGGCAGTTGCTATGTTCACTGGGAATGTTTGCGTATGAGTGTGAGAGCCTTAAAAATTGCAATGCTGTTTTAGCCGAGTATGGACCAGACAGTATGAAGGGAAGGGACAGAATCGTAGTAAAGACAAAGCCTGGCCAGGAAAGTGGTATTGAGCGGCACAACATTCAAGTGTTGTCATTCTCAGGTATACAGTCATACATCAGATTGGTATCCAGTTACCTCGCCACCAAGCAGACTCGCCACCAGCGAACTCGCCACCAAGGAACGATCTCGCCACCAACGTACTCGCCACCAAGCGAAGTCTTCTCGCCACCAACCACCAATAAAGAGATTAGTCGAGGAGAGTGGGATGTTCGGCTGATAAGTTTGTTCGCAAAAGTCATGATCAACATATGAGCTGCTCTTCTAGATTTAATATTCAATAAAGTTTGTTGTTATTTTGCCGCGGGGAAACTGGGTAATATAATTCGACCGAATATTGAATAAGTTCCCTTGACAACATCACAGACGTCGAAATTTGCATACAGATAAGTAAACAAACTCGTGAGTCGATTCGTTCGAACTGTTAACTCTCCTTGGGAAACAACTGTAGTTGCCTTAGGAAAGCTTCAGGCCATCGACGCTTACAATTTCTCGCACCGACTTGACAATTTCTCGCATCTAGTTTTAATACAACTGCTATCGAGTTTCATTTCATCACTTATTTCTTCCCATGAAGTTTCATTTTCTCTCAAGTAAGTTTTTATTCCTCGCATCGAGTTTTGCAATTTCTCCTCGCTTACGTGCAAAAGACAAACACGATACGTTTCGATGTCAATGAGTTAGGAACGGAACACATCTAACACGTCGCTGAAGGTCATAATTTAAATACAGACAAGCGCACAAACGTATCGGCCGATTTGAATTGTGCGCGTTCGAACATCCTACTCTCCTCGACTACTTTATTCTAGTTTATCTCTTTATTGGTGGAGTACAAGTATTTGAACTGAATGGAGGGTTTCTCAATAAGTTTGGAACTAAAGGTGGAAATTTAGGAAAATTCCATTATCCACAGTCTCTGGCGGTTCTTGCTTCAGGGCAAATTGTTGTCACTGATAGGGGCAACGATCGTATTCAGATATTTAAGTAAACTATAATCTATATAAAAAATTGATTTCCGTATTTCAGATATGTATTATTGAAATGGTGACTTAAAAGACAAATGGTAAAATAAACAAGTTAAAAAATGAAGTTCATCGGGGAATAGTGGGGTGACCGCTTAATACACGTTCAACTTTAGACATTATATTTTAATATTTCTCTTTGAAATTTGAGGTCGAAAAGGTTGATTAACCAACTATTTATTAATGTTGAGCCAAGAGAGTTTGTAGCAATTTGGTGTTCTGGCTGTGGCCTCCACTCTCTGCTCTGCGGAAACTGGCTTGGAAGCGAAACGGAAAGCTATCTTTTCAGCTCTTTCCGGCTGCTCGTAGGCGAGCATTAACCGGGTGAGTCACCTACGAGCAAGCTGATAGTTAGCCAGAGGAATATTTACTTCTGTGGCAAAAATAAACCGTTATTATATGCTTAGAGAACCTCTTTTTTATTATCACAAAAACTGGTTATTTAGATCGAATTTAGGTATTGGAACGAGAAATTACCAAGGAAGAGTAATGAAACCAGAGCCTCTAGGTTAAGAATCAACGTCTAAGATTACTGAACCAGCGAAATCTCTGACAAGCCTAGTACTACAAGAGGGTTTTACATCGAGTTGGTTTAGACTTGAAATCTCAGATTTTTTAACCAGCCATTGAGTAGTTAAAGGAAACATCGGAAATATATATTAAGTTGAAAATTGCTCTAGATCTGTAGGGAGAAGTTTATTTTAATTTTTTCTATGTAAAGGATACTTTCAATATTCTTTAATAGCGACATTTTGAGTTTAAGTTTTTATTGACAGTTTATTCGAATTAACCCTTTCACTTTCAGTATCTCATTAGTAATTCTCCTTACTGTCTGCCCCACAATTGTTATGATGTTAGCTCAGAGAATTTGGTATTGGATCAACTATTAATTCCCTAATTGACATGTTTCTTATTCTTATCACTTGTCTGCTTAATATTGCTCAATCATGGGAGTTAAAAGGTTAGCGAAGTTTTGTATGAGTATAGCTATTCGATATTTATGATAACTGGATGTAACTATGTTTTTTCATATGTAATTAGTTATTTTGATAAAATGAGAATAAAATTTTTGTTATCTCTCAATAATTGTTTCAGAGTTTGTGAGAGTTTCTTTCTATTTAGGAGCTAGCATGGTGTAATTGTGATAATATTCACTTATCAGAGCGTTGACCTGGTTTCTATTCTTGTTGATACCTCATTTAGGCTGAGTTTGTTGATCGTTCACGCCCTTTCTTTAAGTTTGTTTGTTTGTCTGTTCATGTTCAGCGGGTTTTCTGGTTCTCGTTCATCCACAAACCCAGAATTCCAAATTTAGATCGGATCTCAAGGGCACTTGAATTGAAGTAAGTAAAGGTGACGCCCTATAGATTCAAACTTGGATTTTCGATATAATCTTAAAATAACTTCCATGTCAAACCATTTTTTGAGTAGTTTGAGACTAAGTGGCATTCAATTGTAACTAAATGGAACATATTCCCTACCAGAACAACCGAAATTGTTATTCGCAATCCAACCCCAGAAGGAAGTAAGTGTCATTTCTGAGAACCGAGGTTACAAAAGCTTTCTAGGGGAGCTACCTCTGCAAAACCTCCCCTCTCTCCTTAGAGGGAGTACCAGTAAGCGCTTGCAAAATTCCAGGCCCTCAGTTAGTGGAGTAGGAAAAATGATTGTTAAAAACTCCTCCATCTTTGATTACATATCAAAATTGTACTTAATATGCAAAGACATTATTTTTCATTGCACCCTTTAGATTGCATCAAAACGATGAAAATTAATACAAAGTAAGATGGATATTGGATTGGAAAGACAACAAAATTTACTACAGGAGCGTCAAAGTAATGCATGAAATCTGGCCCCAGAAAATTTATTTCGTAGGAAGGCATCGTAGTAAAGAAATGACATCTAAACAAAAGGACTTCCTCTTGTAAAAATTTGTGGGCTTCAATGGGAAATGTACTTCTTTAACCGAAACTTTGAAGGAAATAGTTAGATGAACGACGATCAATTCTGCGGATCCATGTTTGTTCAGAAATTCTGTGGATTATCTATCATCTCTCAGCTGTTCGAGAAGAATTTTGCGTTTGAAATATCAACAAATGAACGCGTGGATGAATTCGTGCAAACTATCGCTATAACAGGTGATTTGGAAGGGCTTCAAACAGAATATGCGACGTCATTTGAGGGAAGACATCGTCGAAAAACCTTTCTCCTCGTCTTGAAAATTTGAGTTAGTTAAGTGGAAATAATGGTATGGAGTTGTGGAAAAAGTACTTGATTCGGTGGGATTTATCTTTAGGTCGTCTTCTGTTAGGGCTTTAGATTTTTTTATTATTTTACGTTAGTGCGACCTCTGTGTTTGGAAAAGCCATTTAAACGCGCGACGCAATAAAATTCGAACGAATGATCGACGTGAATGTGTGATAAATATTACTAGATAAGGCACGCGATTACAAAACTGTGTCATATCAGTATAATTATTCACATCTCGAAAGCCTCTCTTAAAGTTCTTTACAGAACGACGGTGGTTCACTCCTTTTGATCTAAAGTACTGTTATTTGTACTTGTGTCAAATTTTACAGTAACATGATAGATTTTTAGGCATTGAACAAATGTTAAGTATTGAGAAGTTGACGCTTTTTTAATAGATAATAAATATAGGAAAAGAAAAAAGACGACAAACTGTCGCACTGATGTGTTTGTAGATGTATGAACAAACATTAACGTGAGATAAAAGATATTACTTGTGCGTCCTGCCGTGAATAAATTATTTTCGATTGGAGACCCTGCCGTAAATCGTTTTACAGGGAAGTGAACTCCAGAGACCATGTGCATTCCAAACGATGCCTGAATATGTTTATTACTACCTTATGATACCAGCTTTCCTTGCGATTACATAACGAAAAAAAAAATAGTGATGAAAGATCACAAGGCCTTTTTCTTTTGCGATAACTGTTCTCTTTGGAAATGGGAGCGAAAAGGATCTTCTAGACTGTCATGTTTTTTAAAAGCACGCAATCGATATTACTTCGATAGAGTTCAAGTAAAAAACACTTATTATAACGGAATATATTTGGGTAACTTTTCTAATGCATAAGCAGTTATCAAAATCAAAATCCAGACACATCAAATATCGTTCTTCTGATGGATGATCGGACTTCTTTGTTTCATACCTTTTTTGTCTTTTTTTTTTCCTTAGGTGTCATTAAGAATTCAGAACATTAAACACAGAAAAGAAAAATAATCTCTTGCTTCATTTGAATGCTGCGAAGACTTATTATAATTTTAACTTGCACAATTTAATAAAATGTTCTTAGATAGCTATTGTTATCGTGGTTTTATTTCGCTGTTTGTTTTTTAATGGTGAATGAAAAATGATTTACATAGAGCCACCTAAATCATGTTTCAGCCCGAATCAACCCGAGACATACTGCCGCTTCCATCTACGTTTGCGAGTGTTTTGGCGGTGGCCGGGGAAAGTTTCGTGTGTTACTAAAGGCAGGAATGTGGAATACGGACTGTGGACTATGGAATGGGAAATATGGAATAGGAAATATAAAATGAGGAACTCGGAATGAGAAATGTAGAATTGGAAAAAGCAAATAAAAAATGAAAAAATTTAAATATTTAATGGAGAAGGGTAAATGGAGAGAAAGAGTTGGGAATAGGGAAGGGAGAGTGGAGAGTGAAGAATGGAGAAAGGGAAACGGAAAATGGAAAATGATGAGTGGAGAATGGAGAATGGAAAAAGGAAATGAAAAAATGGAAAATGAACAATGGACAATGGACAATGGAAAATGGAAAATGGAGAGTGGAGAATGGACAATGGAGAATGGGAAAAGGAAATAAAAAAATGGAAAATGGTAAATTAAAAATGGAGAATGAAAATGGAAAATGAAAAATTTAGAGTGGAAAACGAGAATGGAGAGTGGAAAAAGGAAAATGAAAAATGTGAAATGGAGAGCGGAGAGTGAAGAATAGAGATTAGAGAATGAGAAAATAAAATGGGAAATTGAAAATGGAGAATTGATGTTTTCATTTTTAGATTAAATATTTATAATGCAGAATAGATATTTCAGGAGCCCATTACTTGGAGCCTTCAACTGCCCTGTATTTTTGTCACGGTGTTTTCACAGACGAGTCTATTTTTAGTTTGAATTTACCGCGAACTAGGACTCCCCACACACATATATATATATATACAAATAAAAATACAACGATGATCCACACTCCTGCGAATTTTTGCGCAAGTGTGAAAAATTTGTAAAGGAAAGTGAGATATATAAGGAAAGGAAGGACTGGAATACTGGAATACAGCAAAAGGCGGAATTTGGGTAGTTTTGATATGAAGACGTCCCCGCATAGGGCCGCCATTTGTTTTTTCTCCGCGTTTCATCGATCGTATTACCCAACTGAGCTCGAGTAGCCTATTTCCCGCGAAAAGATGGTCTAAAAATAAACCGTTTTGTGAAAACGCCGTGACATAGGTCCAGTATGGGACTTTCACGCTCCCAGTAATGGGCTCCTGATATTTTCAGCGTTGATTATCGATATCCACGCTTTCTTACAAAGACGCTCACAGACAAAATTAAGAAACAGAATAAATTGACGATAAGGAAAGAAATTCTTAAAAAAAGGTTGTGGTTATCCATCGTGGTGAATAACAATAAAAGCTAAGTTTTTTCGTAGTCTCACGATGTAGTCACGTGTGATGTAGATCGCAACGTTTCGCCTGCATACTGCTAGTCTTCTTCAGGCGATGAGGTCGACTGGTCATCCGTGATCTTCTAAAGCAATATGCTCTTTTGTGATAAGCTGTTTTTCAACAGCTCTGATTGGTGCTTTTCGATCATTGCTGTTTCACTCAGTGATTTGCTCCCGCGGCACGGCTCTCTTGTTGTTCTTTTTTTTTGATTGTGGGCATCTACGCTTCTGGAATTTCTATTCCTCTATCCCTGTTGATGTTGTTAGGGTGAAGTCATGTGAATTGCCTTTTTGACCCTGCGTGTGTAGTAATAAGGGTCACGATCAATAACTTTCACTTCGTTCCAGAGTGGCTTGTGTCCGGTGTTGTGGGCGGCATGTTCTGAAACGGCGGAGTTCTCCTTACAGGCGAGTCGGATGTCTCGTTCGTGCTCCTTAATTCTTTCTTGGGCCATCTCATCTTAGCGTAGTCTCCGACTTGAAAACAGCGCGTACGCCACAAACTACTCCCTTTAATGAAAACTTGACTGACAAAAACAAAAAAGTGATTATTATTGTTACTCGGTCAGCTTCAGATAGTGACAAGGAAAAGAAATCAGGTCAACTTTTTTTTCCTTATAATCAATTTATTCCGTTCCCTAAATTTTGCTTCTAAACGTTTTGAAGAGAACGTTGATATTGATAATCAACGCTGGGAAATGTATGTTTCTCTCTGAAAACAGCAACTTTTAAAAAGTGAAAAAACTTAAGCTCCCATTTTCAGTGCATAGCCGTCAAGCCTGCTTGCAGACTTTCATTGGCGCTGTAAAATCACCGGCGAGGCCGGCGGATGTCGAGACGGCGAGGGATGAGAGCGGGCGAGAGGTCTGGAAAGGTTCTCGAGCCGGGCCTCTAACACCGCTGTCACACGATCACTTTGTTCTCCTGCTCGAATCTCTGGGGTTTAGCCGCTAGTGTCGACTAGGCTTGAGTCGATTGTGCTCGTAAAACTGGCATATTATGCTCCTAGCCCTGCTCAAATTTTTTTAAATTTATGCCCGAGTTATGCTCGTTTCTCTAAATTATGTTCCTCGCATCAAAATTATGCTACTTGATTTTTAAGCAAAATAAAGGCAAGGTATCTTTACCAGGGTAAACACAAAACAAACAGCAAATGATTACTTATCTAGTGACTGTAGCTCATCATTTTAATAAACCGATTATCAAACAATGTGTCGTAACACGTTTCCCCTGCATTTGTTCCTCAGAATTGATAAACACACCGCTCATCATTTTTCAATCAATGGAGCTTCGTAAGTCAAAGTAAGGATGCAGAGTAACACGCTTATCAGCGTTTATTGTACTGAAGCATAACACAGCCTGAACATAATCTACTAAAGCATGGTCTTGCGAGTCGTTAAAAGAGCAGTTAATTATTGAGAATACTCTTTCTGCAGCAGCAGATGAGGGTTGTACTTGGAGAAACTTTCATGACCGCAGACGACCAATGTGGCAATCGATCTGAGTGCTGTCGCCACTACTTCACTTTGTCCTCCAGGCAATTGTGACGTTATGGGCCGCAGCAACATATTTAGGCAGTTCCGTGATTAAGCCGTTTTATTACATGGTTACTGTCCAAAAACGGAAATAATCGTAAGCCTTGTGCAGTTGCTGGCGTCGGTCGCAGCGATTGCACAGCTCCCGGGCACATTACTCTAGCAGCCTTGAATGGGCTCAACGTGTTGTACAAATCTGCATTGAATTTTCGCAAAAATCACTGAATTCCAGGCACGACACTCCTTTTGGTTTCCTGTTCCAATGTTGCAACATTTTTTGTGGGATCTCCAGCCGCTATAGCGACAGCTACTGCGTGGACATTTCGGAAATGTGGCACCTGACATGCATTCGCAACCGTTTGTAATCTCTCGATGCACGAGAAGACTAGTGGGCCATCTCCCTTTAAAACGTAAATGGCTGTGACGAAAGGTTCACCCACATGAACGATAGCTGCTAGCTCAAGCTTAAGGCTCACAACTTTATCTAGACCAGACAGGAAGTCGTTGAACATTGTTGAAGGCGAAGTAATTGGATCTTTAAGAAAAGTAAACCAAACAAAAGCAAGCAAGTTGGTTGTTGAAGGACTCGAAGAAGGATTTGTTAACCAAATAGCGCAGTTTACCTTGACTACGAGAGACGCAGAAGGAAGGCAATGTTACAATGAAGATGATCACGCAACGGTGGAGATCATGAACGAACAAGGACCAGAATGCGTGACGGAAGAGCAAATAGTTGACAGCAGAGTTGGACTCTATCACATCAGCTATTCTCCCAGAGATTTAGGAAGTTTTAACATGCTAAAAACAGCCCTTTTACCATAATGGTAAAACGATTTCAGTTTACAGCTGTGTTGTCTTTCGGAAAAGAAGGTTCTGTAGGAATGTTTCGTTGTCCTTGGGGGGTAGCAGTGAATGCCACGGATTGTCACAACCACAGAATTCAAATTTTTGACAGAAATGGAGATTATTTACGATCATTTTGTAGGGAAAGTAGAAAGGCCGGAGAATTTAACTATCCGAGGGGAATAGCATCTCATAACAATGGGAATATTTTTGTGGCGAACCCGGATAACCACAGAATCCAAATTTTTTACGGGGGAGGGTCAGAATGTGGACAGTTTTGGTGGGAAAGGAAACCTTGATAATCAGCTCAATTTTCCTTGAGGTTTATCGGTAGACAGCGACGGAAACGTTATTGTTGCTGATACAGGTAACAAAATGATTAAGATCTTTTCTTCTGATGGCACGTTTCTAATAAAGATAGGTGAACATGGCGCTTTTACTTTCCCTATCCACTGTGTCCAGTACGATAAATATCTCATAGTGTCGGACCAATATCAACATTGTATTAAAGTTTATGACAGGAGTGGAAACCTTCAGTACAAGTTTGGAAAGGAGGGTGAAGGGAATGGGGAGTTTAATTATCCCACATGTTTGTCAGTGAACAAATCAGGACACCTGATGGTATGTGACTCATATAATCATAGAATACAAGTATTTGAACTGAATGGAAAGTTTTTTCAGTAATATTGGAACTCGAGGTGGTAATATAGGAGAATTCAGTTATCCAATTTCTCTAGCTGTTCTTGCTTCTGGGCCAATTGTTGTCGCCGATATGGGCAACAATCGTATTCAGATATTTGAGTAAACTTTAATAACTATAAAAATTGATAAGTTAGATTTCCGTATTTCAAATATATATTCGTAAAATGGCAACTTAAAGGACAAATGTGGCTATATAATCAAGTGAAAAGAATGAAGTTTACTGGGGAAGGGTGGGGCAGAGCCTCTTGGTTAAGGTGAAAATCTCAGGCAAGCCTGGTACTTCAAAACGGTTTTTACATCCAATTAGTTCAGACTTGAAATCTCAGATTTTTGTACCAGTCATTGAGAAGTTAAAAGGAAATCGCTCTAGTTCTGTAAGAAAAGGTTTATATTTATGTTTTCTATGTAAAGGATACCTTCAATATTCTTTAATAGCCACATTTTGAGTTTAAGTTTTTATTTACAGTTTATTGGAATTAACCCTTTACCTCCCAAGATCTCATTTGTAATTCTTTTTACTGCCTGCTACTCAATTCTTATGATGTTAGCACAGATAATTTGATATTGGATCAAATTTTAATTCCCTAATTGACATTTTGCACTTGTCTGCTTGATATTGTATTGATATAGTAAGGAGAAACTCTCTCTTGGTCACTCATGGGAGTTTCAGAGTTAGCGAAGCTTTATATGAGTGACAGATATTAAATATTACTAATAACTGGATGTAATTTTGTAATTACTTAGATAATTCTGATTGTATCAATTGAGTTGATAATGTAAATTAGCCACCGTAAGGAGTTTCAAAGTTAACTTTAACTAACCCTCTTTATTCATGTGTAATTTCGTGCATCGATAAAATGAGAATAAAATTTGTGTAATCTCTCATTTAATTGGAGAGTTTGAGAGAATTTCTTTGTATTGAGGAGCCAGCATGGTTTAATAGTGACAACACCCACTCATTACAGTGTTGATACCACCGAATCTTCAATAGTATTTCCGGCGTGGATGTACATAGATTCTTCTGATTGGGCTTTCGCAATTTCTGTTTTAAGCTCTTGACTGCTCTCTTTTTCATTCGAACAGCGAGATCTTCCATCTGCAACGCCTGTCGATTTTCCAGGCTCGTAGCCTTTCTTTATTTAATTGCTATTATCGCTGTAGGTTTTACTCGTGCAGATAAAGCTGAACTGGCGGCCTATATATTTTGAACGATTGGAATAGACTGGACTTTGACCGACGGAAGTGCTTAGAGCCAGCATAGCTGATTAATAATGGTAATAGAACCAAGTGGATTCCAATTTGGTCTGTAATCGTACGATTGATTAACAAAATCGGACGACACGAAGTCTTGTTACAAATTAATCACAACCGTTACAATTTCCGAAAAAAGGGAAAGAAAAACTACATTTAGGACAAATATCTCCGGTAGAGACAATGTCTCAAGCAAAAAATTCCTCCACTTTGGAAATTCCCCTTTTTTTGCAGGATTTTGCAGTGGTTGTTGCTGTGGTTATTGTGATTAATTCAATTATTGGTGGATTTCGCTGATTTATGATTGGCTACTTCAATTGTCCGATTACACGTGTCCAATTACAGCCAACTGTCCGATTACAACTGTACACAGTGATTAGTGAAAAATAATGCAGCAAACGGTTACGATGAATCCAATGTTAACATATATGCTAATTGTCCATGCTCATTGCGGAAACACAAAGATCCGATTACTGGCGACACTTTGATTGAAGCTATACAAATACTGATCTGCTGATAGAGATTTGACACATTTGTTAAGACATAACCATTAACTAACAAGGCATGAACCAAAACAAAGCATTCATACAAAGTTATTATTATCTGCGCAGACTCGTAGCTTGGTCCCCTTAGTGCTTTGAGATTTGTTCGACATTTTCCCTTACAGGTCAAGAAAAACAAAACATTAATACAAAGTAAAAAAATGAAGTGTTCCGAAACTTAGAAAAGGAAGGTATCAGCTTGCAAAATCCTTCACAAAGAGATACCTTTTCCTTTCTCCTATAAAATGTCGATGAACTTGCAGCAGCATTTGTTCCTCCATCATTTTTTTCGTGAGTTCAGTTCACACTTGTTATGGAAAAACACGGACAAAATCGCTGCTGGTAAATTCTTATGCACGCTTGAATTGTCACAACAGAGGAGCTTCATCAAGAGCGGGGTCATCTGAGTAGATCAAGGCTTGCCAGTTTAAGAATTTCACTGTCGGCAAATAAGTTCGAAAAAAATTGATCGTGGAATGGTATCGTCAGCAAATGGTTCGTTCCTATATTCCTAAATAGGATCGATATTGGATCCGAAAGGTTCGAAAGGGGCCCAATTAACGAGAAAATAGGAAAATAGTCGTGTCCTTCAAAGATTCCTTCAGAAAGTTTAACGATTTCATCAAAGTCGTTTCGCTCAGCTAAGCGGAATGTTATGTCTTTTATTGAAGAGACGATTTACACATGTAAATTCTTAAATTCCGTGAATTCCAGTGACTGTTGAGTAACGAATAGCCCATTTCCGAGTTCTCTCCTGATTGGATCACTCTGCTTCGAATATTTTGATATTTATAAAGTGGTCTATCAGTCAGTCGCCCGTTGCAATAACGGGAATCACAATCGAAGTGATGTCATATTTTATTTTTTCTTCTAGCAATAGGCTTGGAAGTTGGGTGAAATTCTGTCGCCGGGCACAAAAAACATTTAGCAGCGGAGGTAGGAAAGAGCGAAAATTTGAAGATTTGCAGCGCCTAGAGAAACCTATAGACAAAATTTAAACGGTTTGCGAGAAATATGCGAAACTGCTCAGCCACTGATGAAAAAAGGGAAAACTTTTTAAAGAAACTGTTAATTCAAATTTTGGAGCACTGTTTCGCCATTTAAAAGTACTCCATGTAGAGGCTCAAATTTTATGGGGAAAAAACCTCTTCTTTTTAAAATTCATGATTTAAAACAAATTACGTCTTCACTTTTTCCATTCCCGCTCCAACAAAATTTGGCGAAACATGTCCGAAATATTTAGGAAAAGCGTTTCGTAGAGCAGCTGTTAAAATGAAATTCAGTCCCTGTCTTTTCTTCCCTTACCAAGAACCACCCCTTCATAAGTTGGTGGTGTCGTTACTTCACCGTTAAATTGGCAAGTGCGTTTGAGATTGTGACGCAAGTAAGGGAGTCGCACAAAAAAATGTGCGTATGGCATATCCTATTGAAGGTGCGGCTCGAGTGAAGAAACTAGAGAAGTGATAGACAATTTGGTTTCAGACGAATCAGCTGGGATCTAAACAGGAGATCATGAAGAAGAAGACGAAGGGGAATTTAGAGTGAGGAGAGGCAGCATCCACGATACAACGTGGAATAAAATAGTTCTTGAAATTAGCCCTACAATCATCCTTCTGTATATTTCCTACAATTTGATGCAAATTTCGAAATTAATTTGAATTAAACAATTCGATGCATCACAATCAGATCACTATCATCAATTTTTTTATTCTGCCAACATATCACGCTGAGGCAGTTTGTCTCATTTGCAAAACTTTTTAGTGCTTGTTACACGAGGTGGTTCTTGAAGATGGTCCCCACCTCGAAGTCGTCTAAAGCCTTGTTGTAAACTCGATATTCATCCAGAGTTCCCTTAGTTTTCCAGCCGTAGAGGTAACCGAATATGAGAGGTCTGGTGTTGTCAACGCTGCCTTGTACTGCTGAGATGTCGAGGTACTTGGACTGCTTTTTGCCGTTGATGTAAAGGAAGACTTTCTTCTGCTGTTGGCGATCAAAGACAACTGCATAATGAACCCACTGATCAAGAAGATGATGTTGCTGAAAGTCATCGTCAAACTCGATATTCTTTCGGGTCATTCTGAATTTTTTGTCTCGTATACAAACGTCAAGTCCTTTGGCATTGTAACCGTGTCCTATTTCCCAACCGGCTTTCGCGCCCGGACGGTCTGGGGGAAAATAACAGCCATAACCCTTCTGGACAGCGAAGGTTGTCAGAGGGTAGGTGACGTCCAAAATCTTTATCCATCCAGTCACGGTGAAGCTTGACACCCCCAAATTCAATACCGGGGAGTTTGGGACGGAGATGAGTCCACTGGAGTCAAAATGGCGACCACATGTGAACTTGGATAACTTAGGCACTGGGACATCAGCCGAGCCGTGGTTCTCATAACCCGAGTCATCAGCCACCTCGTCTCCAGTCTGCTCGTTCATGCGCCAATGACCAATCAGACCAGGAATACGGTTGTTATAGCAACCCTTAACAGGGCTTCCTAGGGGGTAATATGGCTTCCATTGGTTGTTGAGGCAAAGGCTTAGAAATTTTTGACCTTCAGTGGAGCGCACCATTCCTGTCCTAACCGCAGTACAAGGTATTGTTTGAAACGATAAGTCTTCATCCTGGATTGAAGAAAAAAGTGGAACATGCATGTCTATAAAACTCAAGAATTGCCTTAAAACTGAAATCCTACTGTTTAATTTTAACATTTCTTTACCAAGATCTAACTGTGAACCACTCAAATATCAACTAAAATTATTTTCAAATTTCTCTGCCTGCTCATGATAGATTTGAGCGAGTGGTCATTATATATTCATCACCTTACTGGGGCAGTCAACCTTCTATAGTCCCCTTTATACTCTGCTGATGACGACTGATCCCCCACTGTTCCAACTGAAACCCGTGCAAATCCCGCCAGAAGTCTTCCGACTCCTTCTTCCCCTCTCTTACGTGTACCTCAGCTGCTAAATAACGACGGACTCCTAACATGAATTTGATTTAAATCATCTCTACATCCACGATATCTGCATGATAGTTTCTCAATTTTATTAAACTTTTCTGGATGCTGACAAGCAAGATTAAGCTTAGAGCCTGTTCAAGGCCACGGCAATACATCATTGCGGTAGAAAAAGAGAATTACTCAGATAATCACTGTCCTCTGTTAGAGAACTTGAAGCTTTCTTACAAAAACTTGTCAGCATAGTTGTAAAATCAAATTTTACCTCGTTAGAGCAAAAATCTTCACCAGCTACACTTCGCAGCATTCCGTCGAAAAGGGAGACTAACAAATCAAATCGACACAGAATCTTTTCATTGTGAAAAAGACTCAACTTCAAACGAATCGGACCACCTATAAGAGATCGTCTGAGAAACATTGTCTCACGTCCGTAATTTTGTTGTATATTCAGCTCTTTTAGGATTGGTCCGGCGTAAATTTAATGAGATATGTAATCAGGTGGAAAGCAATGCTGAACAAATATATTTTTTTTAGTCGATGGCCTGAATATTGTCTTAACATGGATGATTATATCTAAAATAATTCACCTTTCGAACCTCTACACTCACATTAGGTGTTTGCCTTTATTTATGTAACATGCCATCGTTCCAAACCTGGTCGACAGCAACCCGATAAAGGAGTTTGATAATACAGTAAACTCTCGTAAGCAGACGCCCTCGGGAAAAAGTGTCAGTTAGTAGAATTTCTGATAAGCGGACATCAAAGATGAATTGGGTAGCATCCGATAGAACGTAAAGAGAAGAAAATTTCAATTTCTGTTTTCAGAAGTGTTCATTTGCGAGAGTGTGTCGCTTACGGGAATGTTAAATACAGAGTTTGACTGGGAGGCAAAACGGGCATTAAAAAAAAGTGTCCGTAAGTAGAGCTGAACGTTTATATTACGAAAGTGTCCAGTGGCGGATGATTAACTGCGCACACCTTGTTTCGTTGTCTCGTTCGGCCAAAGGTCATTTAATGTTAGTAAAGCTGCACTAATCAGTCACCAATCATGTCAAACGGTAAATAAAGCTAAACTATCACTGAAGTGTGTTGCCGTGGGTGTTCTTCATGGGTTGTAAACATCCATACAAGAAATGAAGATAAGATAGCGATTAGGCCATCAATTTAAAACATTAAACCTTTGTGTGCCATCAATTATAAAACATTAAACCCTTGTAGGTGTTTATTTCTAAATTTCACACTTTTTTCACAATCTAGAATGTATTAAGATAACAACAATTTAATATATTCTTATGTATACTTAAGCAGTTCTGTAAACGTGCAATGACGATTGTCTTGATTACGATTTAAATGTAATTCTGGCTATCCGCTAAAAAAAATCACCCTTAACTTAACCAAAACCTAATTAATTTATATGAATTGCGTCTAGGCAGAGGCTATTAACTGCCGTAATTCTGAGAGTATTTGTAAAAAGATTGCCTCTGCCTTGGGTGAAATTAAAAGAATAAGGCATCCGGTTCCTTTTGATGTTCCTATTGATTTGCATAACAGCTTAGTCCAGCCACCCTTTGTTTTAGCGCTTTTTGGGACAACTATGGTATCGGTCTCCATCTGAAAAGCTGCAGAAGCTCCAAAACCGGCGCACAGTGCGCGAGCAATGAAGTCGATATTGGTAAGCTGTTCCAGGCACTCGGCAGGCGAAAACTTAGTCATCAAAGTGTAGCAGCCATCTTTGTTATAATGCTCAAAACTTTACATGGATTTACTCCTAAATAGCTATAATTTCGATTGGAATATCGAAATGATATTACATATTACTGCGAACCAACTGAGGAATTCTGAAAATAACATGGCTCGTCCACAACCCCGCGTCAATTATTTAAAGAAACGTTCTTCCTAAAAAGGTGCTGTGTTGTGGAACAGCCTTTCCCATGAACTTCGATTATCGCTTGAGGGAGGGGAATAGGAGGACTTTTTTTCGGGGGGGAGGGGAAAGGAGAGGATCGCGTGGTTTTTAGGTGGAACGGAGGGGGTCAGCAATCGCCAGTAAAGTCAAAGGGGAGAAAATATAGATAATTGACTACTAATTAGTTCCCACTTAAAGGGGATCATAACGATTATAACAAAGCCTTATGTAGGGACCTGGTAGAACGTCATCGACCTCCCCCCACCTCAACCTCCCTTAAGTGATAGATGACAAACGTAGGAACTTGAGATTGGCTCAAACAACTTCCATCAATAATTTTCCTATTCAGCTACTGTCGTGATACTTTTCACCTATTAGTATATACCACACAGATACAAAAACAAATAGTTTATTCTTTTAATATACCGTTGGTAATTAAACTCTTGTGGGCGATTTTAACTCATCGGCTGCTAGGAGGTGAATAGAACTTGCTGTTCACTTCTGACCAACCCAATCAGCGCGCGCAAAAAGCATTTTTCACCTTTGCGTTAAATACTAAATAACACTTAAGGAAAGAGCGAATGAATACAAACTTAATTTAAGAACAGAAAGTCGAACAAACGTGCTGAGAATTAGTATTTTAGTGTCATAACTCCTACAAATAAATCCTTTCTATTGGATCCGGTTTTCAGTTCCTTTATACTTACAAGCTAATCTCGAATCTGTTCTAACCGTGTAATTGCAACTGATGTGTCTTGTAACCATTTGGCCGTGAAACGTCTGGCTTCTACATGACTTACACGCTTGACAACCAACTAATCGGTGAAGGTTATTAATAACATTAGGGCCAAAAGAGCTAAACCGTGTTCACTAAGACACACTTTCTTAATTTCGATTCCTAAAAAAAATAATAACTAAACCCACGTCTCCTATTCGACTTTGCGTTCTAATTTTCATCCTAGCTCATTTCGTGACACATGCAATTATTTATGCGTCGCGTGACGGTCAAATACGATATCTGGGAAGGGATGGCTAAATTTAATACTTATTCAAAAGCGTTTTAGCTCGTTAAATCTTTCTCATATAGATACATCGTCCCTTTTAATCCATGAACTTTTAACTGTAGTTGTTCCTCCATCACGTTTTTAGTGAGTTCAGTCCAGCTCTTGTCATGAAGAGACACGAAAACAAAATCGCTGCTAATGAATTCGCATGCACGCTTGAATTGACATAAAAGATGAGCTTCATAAAGAGCAGGGTCATCTGTATAAATCACAGCTTGCCAATCTAAGAACTTCTCTGTCGGCAAATAAGTTCCAAAACTGAACGATCGAGGCATAGAATCATCGCCGCAATCTTCGCCAAAAAGTTCGTTTCTATCTTCCAAAATTTGATCGATATTCGATCGGAGAGGTTCAAAAGGAAACCAATTCACGACGATGACATCTCGAGGAAAAAGTTTTGCTCTTCCGAGGCTAGGAAGAATAATATCCGTGAAATATTCACGTGAGTATGATTTGATCTCGACCGATTTTTTCATGGGCGCTGGCGCCTGCCTGCAGTATTTTATCTCAACCTCATATGCAAGAATATTCCATTCCTGGAGTTTTCTATGATGCTGAGAATTCACATTCTCACTTTTGGTCGTAAATCGTACTCGTGTTAGGTTTGGAAAGCGCTGTCTGGCATGGTTTCTCGCATATTCCCTGAGCTTTCTGGCAAGACCCTGGCCACGAAGATCTTGATGAATGCGTTCTGCGCGGCGAACAAATGTTTGATGATCGTCGACAATGGAGTATGCCACTAAACCAATCAGTTTGTTGTCGCTGGAATGAGCCAGAATGACGGCCATATTGTTTGTTTGAAGCCACTTGTGAAACTTTAACGGTAGATAGTCGTGTCCTTCATAGATTCCTTTAGAAAGTTTAACGATTTCATCGAAGTCGTCAGGCTCTGCCAAGCGGAATGTTATAGCGTCCATTGTAGAGACGACTTACACACGCAACCCTTAGGATTCCTCTCTAAAATTCCGTGACTATTCCAATTACTGTCTGATTATAAATACTCAAAATTTCCGCATGATAGGAGACTGGTGCCGAAATAAAGCACAAGGGCGAAGACAAGCGAGCGAAGTCACGCTTGCTTGGCGGCTTGAAATATAATGGCGATCAAGTGGTTTTAGTTGCTTATTAGAAGTCACCTGTTGCTATTTGCCTTTGGACAAGAGGCCGCGAAGTAAGTTAAGATTCTGTCGCTGGGCAAACAAAAAGTTTTCAGTTTTTTTTATCGTCACGCAACAGATATAAGGCGACACTGGGAGAGCCATCGTCGTTTTGTCACCTTTTTTCCGCATTTATTTTTACAGAGGCCTGATACCCTGTGTGGCGGTGCAAAATCTCTACTTGTATCCATACAGGAAAAATTTAGTCCTGTCCAAACAACGCTCAAACGTATGCGCATGTGCGGACGTTCTAATGACTAGTAGCGTGCTTTCAGGCTGACAGTATAAATTTTTATAAACTGTTTAATCTTTTGTCTCACGATCGAGGTAGTCACTTGAGATGTAGATCGTGACGTTTCAATTGCTTACTGCTAGTCTTCATCAGGCGATTTGGGCGACTGCTCACGCGTTACCTTTTGTATCACGGCGATCTAACGCGATTGGCGGATGTTGATTCCCATTGTTGCCGTGAGTACTGGTTTTAGCGATGTTGAGGTGTCCCTGTTAAAGAAAAAATGTAAGTTTTCCGTGACTCCTGCAAACATCCCAGCTACCAAGATCATCGCTAATGTTGAATCAGCAGTAAGACCGCTAAATGCGGAACAAGGAGCCTTCAACAATATCCTTCAACACGCAGACCCACCAAAGCCGAACATAACGACAGAACTATGCGACGCCCTTAAGAGCCTTAAAGAAGACAACTCCTTCTAGATCCTCCCGACAGACCGTCTGACTCGCAAACTGTCTGTCCTTAAAACGGAACGGGCGCACATCAGAGGCTGTTTATAAGAAGATCAAACTGCAACACAAACAATCACCTAGGATCTATGGTTACAAGGCAAATGTACAATTGCGGCCTACTGTTTCTTGCGTAACAACTTTTGCGTATGACTTGTCTGCTTTCTTAGCTAACAGGAAATTCAGATTTTACGGTGACCAACTCAGCTCACCTCCCTGCCGCCATCAGCAGCGAGAAGATTCAGGACCACGAAATCATGGTGTCCTTCGACGTGGAGTCATTGTTCACCAACGTCCCAATCAAGGGTACTGTAGAAGCCGCACGACAAAAGTTAGAGAGTGATGCAAGCCCTGCAGACCGCACGACACCAACACCTGCTCAGATAGCGGACTTCACAGACTTCATATTGAGATCAACATACTTACAGTATAACGGTTCGATCTACAGACAGTTAGAGGGTGCAGCCATAATTTATTTACGGTAATAAACATTGGCATTAAAATTCGGAAAAGACAAAGTTGGCTCACAAGTCAAGGCATAATGCCAGGTAGTCAATTCTGAATTATGCAAATCTCCAGAGAAAGAGATCATAAATTTTTCCTTAGGTAATTCATTCATCAATTCCTCTTACAATTAAGGAATAAGGGCTGTGAGACCCCTATGTTTTAAAGACTAGTGAAATCCCCTCTGACGTATTCATAAACACGCATGCCCTCGAACTGATGCAAACAATGTCTTTGAAACAAGTCCTTGGATGAAAATTTCCTCAGAGAACCTATAAATTCCATCGAATTCGCCTGGTGCATTAAGTAGAAATGCTCAGAATCGTAACTTCTGTTTTTGTCATTAAAATTGAAGGCCACGGAGGGTTTATTCGCTGGCTTCTATACAGAATATTTAGTGTACATTCTCGAAAGCCACACCCCAAATCGGGCAGCGCTCTGTGTCAAAGACATCTACCCTGAAATGCCTCTATATTCCGCAAGCTATGTCAGACTTTCATTTATGCAAATGAATGCCGCGAGAACAGTATTGGCATTCTGCCCGATGGGCAAGTATCTTTTGAGCTAAAGAGAAGATTGCATGGATTCCGAGTGAGATCTAGAAAAGAATTCAGATAGTTGTTGCACAGCCGGCTTACTGATTGTGGTAAACTGTTCATAGAGGCGCTAATGTAATGTTAATGGCGACGCGTTTATAGATTATTAAACTTCTGAAGGCAAAGTATGGTTCGGTCGGTACGGTCGGGAAAACATCATAAAGAAAATACCACGATGATATATTTTGACCAACTTCAGTTTATGGGGAAAGAATAGAGCAGAATTAACGTTCAATTAATAACGTTGAGGATAAATATTTTAGATGGCTTCAGCTGGCGACACGCGATTCATCATTTATTTATTGGGTATTCAATGCCACTTAATTTGTGCAATTATTGAAATTTCTTTCCCGACAACAAAAGAAATCAGAATCTATTGGAATACTGAGCTGAAAGCCTTCCCTCATGGTACTTTCGTTGCAAATTACCACTGTTGAGGGAAATAAATAAAATGCTTTCCTCTTGAATAAATAAAGTACGTTAAGATACCATAACTTGGTATGAAAATAAATAAACATGTCCTTGTTGAATTTCCTTATCAGTTTTTTTGCATTAAATCCAAACAATATTTGTCTTCTACAAGCTGATGAAAACCGCAAAATTCGTTTGACGTCGAACAGTAAACATGTTGTAATCACAACATGAACTTCACTCTACAAACTCAAATAGGCGTGCTGTTCAGCAGAAAATCGAACATTTGTGAGGTATTAAAAAATCTGGATATCTTTTTATGTCACAAAACAAAAGTTCAAGAAAAACAAAAGGTTTTTTTTTCTATACTTTTATATTTGCTGTAACTTTTCTGAATCTTAATTTGAGCTAAATCTAAGTTTCTATGAAGGAGGCTAATACTATTTGCCTTCGGTTAATCAGATGCCGTTAGTCATAAAAATTTCAGTCATCATAATTATTTAGTTCTGGTGTTTTTGCTACATGTTTCCTCACGCTCAATTTCATCGCGAGTGAGGGCTTTTCCTAAATTTCAGTGACGTTCTGTTGTACTAAATCCAACTCATACATATTCAATCTCTTCTCGCTGATATTGTCTGACACTTTCAGATGCAATTTCTCTTCCATCAAACTCCTTCCCTGCGCGCTCATACTTTCACTCATTACTGATGATACGAATATGAAACGACTTTTGATAGATTTGCAAGCAAGTTTGAATTGGAACATCAAATGCTCTTTGTACAGGCTCACGTCTCTGGTGTAAATATAAGTTGTCCAGTGAACATATTCAACTCTTTGAGCGACACCGCCGAAGCTGAATGATTTAGGCGAAGAGCTGGCTGGGTTCTTCTCTGTGCAAAATGTGAGACTGTCAAACTCTTGCACAATATGCTCAAAGTTTGAACTACAAGGCTCGACTGGCACTCGATCATACAGGAGAATATTGTCTGGAAACAATTGTTCGACCACACGACTAGAAAACAAAACATTTGAAATGTAATCTTTAGTACAAGTGGCAATCTCAGTTGATTCTTCATTCCATGTTTGGGATTCACGGTACTCCTCTTCGTCAATGTCATAGGACAAGACTTCAAATTGTAGAATTTTCTTTAATCTCAAACTGTCGCTAAATTTGTTATATTTTGACACGAAACGCATTCGCTCAACAGTTGGGAAGCTAAAGCGCACATATTCATCCAATGCATCCGAGAGCTTTTGGCTGATTCCTTGTTTACGGAACTCTGGAAGGACGCGCCCAGCTCTTCTAATGTACGTCTTCCCGTCATCTATAATATAAGCGGCTCTTGAACCAACTATTTTGTCACCAGAAAGAACCAACATGATTGCCATGTTTTCCATCTTCATCCATTTGTGAAACTCAATAGGTAGGTAGTCGTGCCCTTTATAAATTCCTTTGGATAAACTTACAATCTCATCAAAATCACTGAGCCTCGCCAGGCGAAAACTGAGTTCTTCCATGTCAAATGCGTTTGGTGTGACTAGGATGCTTTAAAAGTTGAGACAATAAATATTATTCCACGAGTAGAAGCCTGTGGTATTTCAAGTGATTGGGCCAACGAGAGACCACAATAGATAAACAATAGCCTTTAACTGATTTGCTGCTCGAAGGGACTTTTGTTACCGAGACAAAACGGTGAAAAATGTTGTTTGAATTCCTATTTAATGGCTCTCCAATGGTATATAGTTTTTTTGAGATTGATGCGAGTTAAAACGGCTCTGAAAGATCTTTCCAAAAATTAATCTTTTTTGGCGCTGCTTTTTGTTTGTGTGTTGCTTTGTTGTTGTTGTTGTTTTTTTTTATGAGAAATAAAAGGTTTACCATGGACAACGAAAACTCTGACAACCTTGATAATACCCTCTTAACAGTCTCGCGATCAACACTCCAGCTTAAGTGAACTCAAAAGTTGTTGTTTTCTTTTATAATGTATGTTTAAACTCTAAAACTTCATTCGTATTGTGTTTAGTTCGAACCATCATATCTTCCATGACTAGGACTGCGATTATTGAGAAACAAAGGCGTACTGTATTTTCTCTTGCCAAACGGCAAACATTTGAGTTCGCGGGTAAAATTTATGCATTGCTATGGTAGACCTTCAAAACCTAAACTGTGAGATAAAACTCACTTATTGGAAAACTCACTTATTGGAGAGTTATGGACAGTTAGTGAAAGCATTTAAAAATAAAAGGTTTCTTCTAAAATCGATTAAGATCAGAAATCAAACCCCTTAGCGAAAGTTATTCTTATGTAAAAAAAATTAATTATAACTGCGGTTCGTATCGTTTTCTAAAAATGTACTTTGAAAATTTGGCAAGGACTTCTCTGAAAGGATTTCAATTATTGCCTACAAGGTTTTGACAACAACCATAGTTTTACTTTTTTCGCTTTCATCGTGTGGTGTACCTATGTTGACATTATGATTTTTTAAATAAATAGAAAAATACTTTGAAATTTTGGCGAGGACTTCTCTGAAAGGATTTCAATTATTGCCTACAAGGTTTTGACAACAGCCATGGTTTTCCTTCTTTCGCTTTCATCGGTGGGGTGTACCATGTTGCCATTAAGATTTTTGAAATAAATAGAAAAATACTTTGAAATTTTGGCGAGGACTTCTCTGAAAGGATTTCACTTATTGCCTACAAGGTTTTGACAACAACCATGGTTTTCCTTCTTTCGCTTTCATCGGTGGGGTGTACCATGTTGCCATTAAGATTTTTGAAATAAATAGAAAAATACTTTGAAATTTTGGCGAGGACTTCTCTGAAAGGATTTCACTTATTGCCTACAAGGTTTTGACAACAGCCATGGTTTTTCGGTTTTTGATTCCTCGGTGTGGTGTACCTATGTTCCATTATGATTTTTGAAATAAATAAAAACATACTTTGAAATTTTGGCGAGGACTTCTCTGAAAGGATTTCAAAATATTGTGAACTAGGTTTTGACAAAAGCCATGGTTTTTCTTTTCTCGCTTTCCTTGGTATTGCGTTCATGTGTTGCCGTTATGATTAATGGCATAAGAACCGCGAAATTACGCCAAATTTATAGACGGGGAGAATCTTGCAAGGTTCAGCAAAGTGACAAGAGAGTACAGAAGGTAATTTTTAGCGAGCTGCAAAATGATTGTTATCGCGTTGTCGATAAAAGGAAGTTTTCAAAAGACTTGTGAATAATTCAAGTCCTCACAATGAAATGAGAGTGAGCTCTGAGGAGTATTCTAGGTTTCATTATAGATTCTATCTGCACACTCTATTGTTAATAAACGTTTTGAAATTTTGAGGTTAGGCAATATTTAAATTTTAGATTTTGTTTTGCTTTCGAATGTGTTTGATTGTAGATTCTTGTCAAATGCCTTCGAGGCATTATTTAAGCACAATCTAAGCAAAAAAATCAGTCAGATTATTTCAGTTTTTTTTTTCCTTTTGTTCAATTACTGAAACTGTTTTTCCACAGGAAACGGTATTTTTGAGCTCGATATTTTTTGCCTCTCTTTCCTCTCCGTCTATTTTTCTGACACTGGGATAGATGCGCTTATCATAATTCATAGATGTACACAATGCAAAATTCATAAGTCTTCATTTGCATTCATTGTAGAGATTGTGACGGCTTTACAGATAATATGGATCACCTTTCTCTATTATTAATGCGAAAACGTCTTCTATAAATCATTTCTATTCAAAAAAAAAAAATTGAATTGCCTGAGTGCCAAATATCAACAGCCAGAGAATAGAAAGCACGTTTTATGATGAATCTCCTGTCCACGACGGGAAGGGGGAGGGGGTAAGGGGGAGGGGGTAGGGGAGAGAGAGTATCCCTGGTCATTGGCTAGCTAATCCAGCAATTGCCGCCGAGTAGGAAAGACTATCAAAGCCCCTGGGATGACAAACATCAGAGATCCTTGATCTCTTATAGGGTATTATTTTTGGGTGAAATGGATCACCGGTGGATCAAACCTTTGTATGAATATGTTCATTGCTTTGAGGATGATGCCCGAGCTCATTCTTTCCTTCTTACTGGCTTAAGCTTGATTATGTAGGATACGGATTCAGTAAACAGTCTTGCGTTTTAGAGTCCGAATCGAAGGGTTGCTATGCCTGTTTCTCCAAAGTCTCGGTAGTTATTTGTTCAAAGAAAGTTCATCTTTGTTGTTTGTCACAATCCCATTCATGATCGAGAAGGCACTAATTTTGAAATTAAAGCTATAAAAACATCCAGGGAAGAAACGAAATGTGAGCTAGTTTATGAGATATGACCAGCACTACTACATTCGATTTCGATTTTAAAATAATGGCCTTAGGTTCAGGATTGGCCCCTGGCTATAGTTTAATGCTCCGTTTTCCGAAATACGAAGCATTAACCCATAGCTTTGGCAAGACACTTCACTCTCCAGAACAACTTCAGAACGGTAAAATTAAATTGGGTACCTTACGACCGGTAAAGGACTTAACATGTGAAGTAAATAAATTAATATGTTCATGTCTTGTTCAATGACGTTGCTTGACGATTAGTTATTTACAAGTTATGTAACTGGAATAGTCTATCATATTTGAAAAGAAACCAAACGATTCAGAAAGTCGTTTCTGGTACTCCTGCGGTTGTCTTTTACTGAAACAAGTAGGATTTTGTCACAACCATTAACCGTGCCGCGTTTACTGCTTATTCTACAACTGCTGTATAAACCCTTGAGAGTATTTTTTTTTTCCGCGCCTCTGAGGGTAATTTCGCGCGAAGCCTCGCTCTCGCATTAATTTTAGCACCAGTCTACAGTCATGGTGAACTCTGAAATGAGCTATTCCTAAATCAACAGTCGCTCGTAATCCTGAGAATCGTCTCTGCAATGGATGCCATAACATTCCATTTGGCTGAGCCAGACGATCTCGACGAAATCGTTACACTTTCGGAGGGAATCTACCAAAGACACGACTCGTTGCCATTGATGTTTCACAAGTGACTTCGGACGAACAATATGGCCGTCATTCTGGCTCAATCTAGCGACAACAAACTAATTGGTTTAATTGCATACTTCATTGTCGATGATCGTCAAACATTTGTCCGCCGCTTTGAACGTATTCATCAAGATCTTCGTGGCCAGGGCCTTGTCAGAAAGCTCAGGGAATATGCAAGAAACCATGCCAAACCTCAAACGAGTGCGATTTACGTCTACCAACGGCAGTGTGAATTGTCAGTATCATAGAAAACTCTTGGAATTGAATATTCTTGAATATGAGGTCAAGTTACTGAATCTTGCAGCCAAGCCTTAGCTGCTATGAAAAAATCGATCGTGATAAAACCATGCTCGCGAAAATATATCTCCGATGTTATTCTTTCAAGTACTGAAAGAGCACAACTATTTCCATAAGACATAATTCTCTTTAACTGGGTTCCTTTCGAACCTCTTCGATCTAATATCGACCATATTTTGGAAGATTACAACGAACTTTTGCCGAAGATTGTGTGGACGATTCCATTCCACGATCGATCAGTTTTGGAACTTACTTACCGACAGAGAAGTTCTTAGATTGGCGAACTGCGATTTACTCAGACGACCCTACTCTTTTTGAGGCACATCTTTTACATCAACTCAACCGTGCATGTGAATTCATCAAAAGCGATTTTGTTTTTGTTTGTTTTCATGACAAGAGGTGGAAAGAACTCACGAAAAAGTGATTGAGGAACAACTACAGTTGAACGTTTATCATCGTTATGTAGGACAAGGGAAGATGTATCTCTATGAGAAGGAATTTACGAGATAAGATACATTTGAAGTTTGTGCTATCTCTCCATCACAGACATCGTGTTAGCCCGTCACACAACGCCTTCTCTGCATGTGTTGCGCGATGGGCTTCGTATGAAGTTTTGCATAACAGGACAGTACAGCAGAGAAGATTGGAAGCATTTGAAAGTTATCATCATCACATATTACCGATAAGATTGTACGTTTTTCAATGATCAAATTGACAAAAACCGGATGGTAAAATTTCCGCACAGGCCCATACTATTGTGAAACAAATCCGTTTTCCCAATGGCAATGTATTGTTTTGGTCACTGTTTTCTCTATCCAAGAGATGAATACATAATGAATTATGGGGCTGTGCGGAAATTTTACCCGCAAAGTGAGAAGACTACATGAAGGCTTGAAATAATATTAAGAACGATTGTGATCAAGAAACGGGCAAGGAATATTCCACAATAGTGCAAATAATCGGGAAAGATGATCGCGGAAAAGTGATTTCGTGACGCTCGGTAAGTTGTAAGATGACATGTGATTACTTATCAGACGTAACAAAACAGTATAAATTCGCAGTCTGCGCGCATTTTATACCAAGTCTGCAGTCTACAGTTTGTATTTTGTACCCGGTCTGCAGTCTGCATTTTTTACTTAGTCTGCCGTCTACAGTTTGTAGTTTGAAATTTTTTGGCACTTTTTGGTTGATAGCGGTATTCAAAATTAGAAATAGTTGACCTAAGCGCCTGGCTAGTTCTCCTTGACCATTTTATTGTGCTTTGAAAGTACGATTTGGTGGCCAAAAGGTGTCCCCATTAAGCGCGCGGCCAAAACGATCGTTTTACATCGTTGTGACGTAGAAAACTGTGAAGACACGTCGGGAACTATGGTAGTCAGCCTTATGCTCCCTACCGGCTTCGAAGACGTCTGTTACGAACACATACCACCAGACAAATCAGGGAAAGATAACCAATGAATTCAGCTCAAAAAAATACTGATTAAGGAGCCTGTTTCCATACCGTAAACGATTGTTCAACATTCTTTACGGCTGGCATGTCGCGAGCGTAGAATGGTGAGCCTATTGTTGTCTATTTCACGCGCTTGAGATGTACTCATACTCCTTGTCTTTCCACATGACTACATTTGTGCTTTTCTTATTGTACGAAAATGCTGCCAGTTGTAGTTTCAATCGTATTTTGTTACTAGAAATACATTGTTTGTGACAAAGTTAAAGCCCTTTCCTGAATTGACCGATATCCCGTTGCGTGAACAGAGCGAAACCTCTGGTGGCTATTGGTACAAACACAAGCTCGAAGGCCGTGTATTCTTCTCACCTAAGTTTCCGAAAATGCATCCCACGAGCCATCAATTCCCCCTTGCCCTCAAGGAACTAAAAATAGCAACAGTAGCAATGTCATTGTGATAACAGTACTGTAACGAGACAAATGAAGAAACATTCGCAAATTTTATTGAATTAGATGGTAGTGAATCTAAGTTCTGTGTGAAAGTTGATGCATGCGAAATATTCTTTCACAATACTGATGTCAGTTACTTGCCATTAAGCGGAATGGGTTATATGCCAATGCTGCACTTAAACTCAAAAAAGTTTTTCTTTGGTAAAATCTCTATTGGAGATTAACTTGAATCAGACGACTATAAACTCACTCGTTTTCCGTTTGACTGGCTCGACGACGATAGCCTCTGCTTTCGCAATCTCAAGAGAAGGGAGCAACTTGCAGTGAAACTGCTCAGTGACCTCTCGGCGAAAAATCATTGTGTCTCGTGATACAGTCGATTCTTTCGTCAAAAGTTAGACTGTGGTTTTCTGAAAGAATTACTCAACGAAACTCAAGAGCATTGACCAAAGGGAACCTTCGCCGCACTTAGTGCGAAGGAATAAAACGTTATGTCAACAGAAAATTAAAAGAAACACAGCTACCCATTCTTAACATAGACTTCGCCATAGAAATCAAAACACAAACGTAACAAACTAAACATTCAATAACGGTGGTTTTCTGTTCTAATCTTGACCTGAACACCGCACGCGAGAAACCGTCTCGGTCAGTCTTGGTCGAAATCTTCGTTTGATTCACGCGGTTCTCCTTCGTAGGGCTGAATAGTACTCCAAACTTCCATTTCCTCTTTACTACTTGAGTACGGAATGTCAAAGTTATCGGCAGAGCTTGCTGAAGGTAGGTATACATCGCTATCGCACATTATTTCAAGAGTATTTCAACGCTGACTGATAGAAAATTACAAGAGATGTGAGAAATTTGTAAGTGTCAAGTGTATCTTATCTTCATTTCTCGTATGGATGTTTGCAATCCATGAAGTACACCCACGGCAACACACTCCAGTGATAGTTTAACTTTATTTACCGTTTGACATGACTGGTGACTGATTAGTGCAGCTTTACTAACATTAATTAAATAACCTTTGGCCGAACGAGACAACGAAACAAGTGGAACACAGTCAATCATCTGCCACCGGACACCCTCGTAATATAAACGTTCAGTTCTACTTACGGACACTTTTTTTAATGCTCTACTCGTGGAAGAATATTTATTATCTGAACTTTTGAAGCCACGCCAAACGACATACAAAGATATTCAGATGTTTTAATGCCTCACAAATGTTCGATTTTCTGCTGAACAGCACGCCTATTCGAACTTGTAGAGTGAAGTTCATTTTGTGATTACAATATGATTACTGTTCGACGTCAAACGAATTTTGCGGTTTTCATCAGCTTGTAGAAGACAAATATTGTTTGGGTTTAATGCAAAAAACTGTTAAGGAAATTCAACAAGGACATGTTTATTTATTTTCATACCAAGTTATGGTATCAGAACGTACATTATTTATTCACGAGGAAAGCATTTCATTTGTTTCCTTTAACAGTGGCAATTTGTGACGAAAGTACCGCGAGGGAAGGCTCTCAGTTCAGTACTCCAATAGATTCTAATTTCTTTTGTTGTTAGGAAAGAAATTTCCATAATTGCACAAATTAAGTGGCGTTGAATACCCAATAAATAAATGATAAATCGCGTGTCGCCAGCGGAAGCCAGCTAAAAAAATTAATTCTCAATGCTATTAATTGAACGTTATTTCTGTTCAATTCTTTCCTCATAAACCGAAGTTCGTCAAACTATATCAATGTGGTATTTTCCTTGTGATGTTTTCCCAACCGAACCTTTAAACCATATTTTGCTTTCAGAAGCTTCATAATCTGAAAGCGTTGTCGTTAAAATCACATTAGCGCCTCTATGAACAGTTTACCACAAACAGTTAGCCAGCTGTGCAACAACCACCTAAATCCTTTTCTGGATGTCACTCTGACTCAATCCAATTTTCTCCTTAGCTCCAACTATACTTACCCATCGGGCAGAATGGTTTATAAAAGTTTCTACTGTCAGCCTTAAAGCACACCACTTAGTCACTAGCACGTCCGCAAATACGCATACGTTTGAGCGTTTTTCGGAGAGGACTAAATTTTTCCTGTATGGATACGAGTAAAGATTTTGTACCGCCACCCAGGGTATCATATAATGTGCCACCATTCAGTTGAAATTTATCTCAACCTCGAGCTCTGCAACAAGTACTAAAATTCAATTTACCAGTCCTGCAATCAGTACAGTATGAACAGGGTTTAATCAGTTGCTGAAGAGCACTTTCTTCCAACAGCTTTGTTAACAGCATGTTTCCAACGAAGGAGAAGTCCGATCAAGCAGTATTCAGTTTCTTGGACCTCATCTTACTGATGCCAGCTTCCTTCGATCGGTTGACACTAAATTACTGTAACAAGAACCCACCTGACACTCCAAGTATACCGATTGAATCACTCGATATGAACTCAGATCTGAATGTCCTCTTGGAGCGGAAGGCATTATTAGCCGCTGAAATCTTCTTCCTCATATGAGATCGAAAGAAGGTCAAATCCTAACTCAGCCCTGGTACATACTTCATGAAGAATATAAACCCCATTTTCGGAACCGTTAAAACGTTGAGCCCACGCAACCGATTTCGAATATAGGGCGGCTACCAAGCGTTTTACGTCGATCGCGTTCCTCTTAAGAGCTTAGAACTGCAAGATAGATTCTAATGACAGACACTTGAGTATTTTATAACTGCTCAAACCTCCAGATAAGTTTTTCGCTTCGAAAGGTATTAATTTTGTTGTTGTGAATTTTCTCACGAATTTTTCATATAAATTATTGCGGTTACGACATCATTTTTCGCTTTCCCAGGGAATCGTTCATTTATATTACCTACTCCACCCGGCGCTGTAATGTAGCAAAGCTTAACAGGCTACATTAGATGTTTACGTGTATAATTATCAAAATTCCTGGCGATAAAAGTTAACTAAATAAAATTTTCGTTATAATAATTCTCATTGTTGTAACAAAGATTCTGCCTCTTACCTTATGAATTCCTGAAGTTGCGATTCTTTTCATAAGATTTGTAACTGAACACTCTTTTCAGCAGACCTCTTCTTCATTGCCTGCTACAAAGAATTCTCGTTCTTGAGAAAAGAATTCCCGATTCTTGTAACAAATTTCTGAAATAGAAATTTTTCTCAAGATATTCAGATGTAATGCATTCTTACCAGTAAAATTCTCAAGCAAAGAAATGATCATCCCAGGTGGACTGGAATTCAAATAATTGCAGTAAAGAAGCGTGAGATAGTTTAAGCTTCGACGGGATTCGTGCCTCCTAGATGATTTCTTTATATTATTTTCAGCCGCAGGTCCAATGAAATTATTTCATTTAGCCAAGAGATTATAACCTCTGGCCAACGTGGTTCTTCATTATCAACCACGCCGTGAGCTGTTACCAGAGGGGACGATTCTAAAGAAACTGTGGCACTGTGTCGATGGGAAGTTGTCTGTTTACACAGAATAATTTGACATCGCGCAGAATGCTGTGACATATCCGGGACTTTTTAAGACTGACCAGGTTTAAATTTGAAACTCAATTGGCGAAACGCGCGCCACACAAGAGAGAAAATGGCCTAACAGTCACAAGAGAAGTGCATGTTTTTCTTGTTTTCACTAAAATCACTTTGAATAAACTACTTTTACCATATGGATTTTGAAGAAGAGGGATTATAAAGGCCGCCAGTACCTTTGCTGTTTCTTTAGGACGTCAGTTTTATCAACTGAATGGATTATAGGAGTTTGCCGCTGCAAAGTGTTTCTATAAATGATCTTTCGAGCTTTAGCACTTCTTCAGATTAAAGGACAAGGAGCTAACGCTTTGACGAAAAGCTAACGCTCGAAAGATAATTTTTAGAAACTCTTTGCAGCGGAAAAATGTTTGCTATACCCCCTCTGATGATGAAAACAAATAATCTTGCAAGGTGCTACGGCAAACTTATGTTCTGACTTATATTTAGTTCGTAGACCTACCGTTAGGCAGAGAACATTGAATTCAGCAAGGCATGTTGAGCAAACAGGAGACGAAAGTTTTGAATCCGTCTAAATTTTCGCAAAAGTACACCATCCTTGAGTGTTTTGGCCGTTATGTGCAACCCTCTTCTTCCCCATGATACAAATTGTCACTGACGCACTTTTAGACTTTTTAGTATCATGATAATGAATTTCTAAATAATAAATTGGTTATCAATAAATTTTAAGGCCCTACGTGACGTCACTCGACGCGTGACGCACTCATGTGCGACGTCATCCAGCTACTGAGCGTGAGTAGCGCGAACGACCTGCTAACCTTGTCCAATATTTCATCGTTTCGTGGATATCATTATTATAATTGAAACATTGAACAGAAATCAACTGCTATCTCATTTAGGGAGAGATCCCGAATCGCAAGCGGGATAGAGTGAGTTCGAAAAGAAGTCGTCAGCTTCAAAGTTTCTAAGATGAGTCGAGTTGCAGCACTTCTAATGTGCGTCAAAATACTATCTTTTGTGGCAGGTAAGTGTTCAGCAAGATATTGAAGTGACTTTTGAAATTAACTTTATTGTTCTAAACACTACTGGGAGACGACTTTTGAAATACGCAAACGCTCCGGGCTAGAGTTGAATGTCAATGTTATGTTATTGATCAGAAGCTGACAAGGATCAGTTACGAAGGTTTTTGTTTAGTTCAATATTCACCATGAAATTGTTCCATGCGCGAGGAACAGAGCCTTAGTTACGAGTAAATTAAGAGAACAACCAGATCTAGAGTGAAACATTTTCATATTATTACCATATTATTGTGCATTTTCGTTGAATCATTAAATATTTGCGTATTAATATACACACCTAAAATTTCCACCGATGATAGGAAGAGCGCTATCGGAGCATTAACTTTTTGAAATATAATCATTCGATTATTTCACTTTTATCATGTTCGAGTTGTTCACCATTGAAAGTCTCACTTATTTTCCGCTACAAACGAAAATTTGTGTAAAAAGTCAGTCACGAACATGAATTGATCAGAAAATTTTGTGTCAGAGTCCCTCTCTAGGGAAAACACACGGAACAACAAAACAAACATATTCACAAGCATGACGCACAATGATAAAGCTCACGTCTCCTTTAATGCAAGAGCATAAGACATGTTCGACTTTCCAGTCGTCAATTTTGGTCTCATTAACAATTTGAGGGCGAAAATAATTTTGTTCCAATGCTTTCAACAGCTTAGCTTCACTTCAAGTTGTGCCATTCGAGCTGTTTGTTCTGTTCTTTGATTGGAAGGAGTTGTTGATTGCATGACTACGCAATATTTAAAAGCAGGATAACGATTTAACGACTTTAAATATTCCTTAACTCTTCATAACTTATTTGTAGTTGCACGTTTATCAGCTCAGTATTCGACCCAACAACGGATCGGAAAAAGTTATTAGAATTACAATTCAAAACCTGTAACTTAATTAATTTTCGAGCGCTAATGACTACCTTTTCAAGGTAAAGTTTATGTTAATCATTTTGTAATATTAAACGAATTCAGTGCTTGTTAAACTAAACGGTATTGAATTTGTACCACGAAGGAAATAAGAATTTGACTCAAAGTTTTTTTTATTTACAAGTACAATAATTTCGAAAATATTGTTTCAGTGCCGCAAGTCATTCTCCTAAACTGTTAAACTTTCAGTTGGACCGCGTTAGGACCAATATTGTTTTTTCCATGTCGGAGGTCTACATCATGCTAATGAATTTGATATTTTCAGGCTGAAAATATTTCTAGGGGTTCCACATTGTTAACACCTTTATTACAAATATTTGGCTCGAAGCAAAGAGGCATCGCTGTGCATTTATACGGGAAGTTTAGAGTTTTATTGCCGGTGGTATCTTCAAAACCCATTGTAGGATGACACTTGTTTTCGCAGCTCACAACTTGAATGGCTGATTGCGTCGTTCGCGTAAATAAAATAACGGTTTGTACAAATTGAAAATTAAAGATTGGCAGAGGTCGGGATAATGAATGTATTTGAACGTAGAGGTTTTTTAATTAATAACGAGGGATCTAACAACAAAAACATAACAATTTGCGGGAACGTAACTACAATGAATTTGTTTTGTTATTCTTCAAGAACCCGTTCTGCCTTAAATTAACACAATTTTAATTACAGTTACTGTACTTTCCAATTTTAATTTTCCCATAATAAGACTAAGAACGCCAAATAGACCTCATACATCTTTTCGCTGAAGAAAGCTCGGATCCGGCGTTCAAAGAAAACGCAGTTACTTTTAGCAATTCATTTATTCGAGCCGGTGGCATCTTTTTAATTTCTCATGAGGTTTTCAACGCGTGCCTTCTTTGGTGTTCGACTGTGGCAAGTTACCCTTGCAACTTGGAAACATGTTATCAACACAACAAATCTTCCACTAAAAATGCGACATCAACTGTTTAGCTTAAAGGTTTATCTAAAAGTTCTTGTCAAGTTTCAGATTGTTATTGCCTTGACTCTCTATTTTATTTCATAAACGCCAGTTCATGTATCCGAACAATCATCGAAGCGATATTCTTGGAAAGAATAATCGTGCTGTAGAAGTTTTGCCAGGATTTTAAGATTTCGTAGTCAGTTTAGGGGAAACTTAAATGCTGCTTCGAAAGATTGTTGATGATGAAATCAATGCGTCTCAAAAACTCACTGAGCTGCCTGAAAGTCGATTAAAACTCTGTCAGACTTCATGGGTGATGAACTTTAATTGATATGAGCTTCAGGATAAAAAGAAACGATTCATGCGTCATGCTGCTGCATAATTATGAAAAGCTGCCTCAAGGTTTACCTTGTACATAATTAATGAGTTCGTCGCTTGCGCAATTCGGAATGACGAAGCACTTGTAATTGTTCTCAAAAAGTACAATGTCTCATAATGCCTACGGGCTTATGTAATTTTGTTGGTCTTTGCAAAAGGTGACTTGTGTTCATTCCAAACTGGATTCGAAATGATTTGAATATCTGTACAATTAGTTATCTTCAACCACCTTTCATACCTTTAAGCACTCCTTTTGCGTGCAGGTCTTCTTGTCTGTCTATCTTTCCGCTCCTTTGCCTATCCATCTGTCAGATAGACAAACGGTCTGTCTATCTTTTTGTCTGTCTGCCCTACTGTCCGTCCGTCCGTCTGACAGTCTGTCTGTTTATCTGTCTGTCTGTCTGTCTTTCCGTCTGTCTGTTTGTCCGTCTTTCTGTCTGTCTATCCGTCTGTCCGTCTTCCTATCTTTCTGTCTGTTTGTCTGTCTGTCCGTCTATCTGTCTGTCTGTCTGTTTATCTGTCTATCCTCTATCTGTTTGTCTGTCTGTCTGTCCGTCTGTCTCTCTGTCTATCTGTTTCTCTGTATGTTTTTTGACTTCATGTCTTCCCGGCTGTCCGTCACTTGTCTGCCCAAGGTCTTTCGGTCTATCCACGTGTCTGTATGTCTTCTGGTCTTTCTATCTGTTTGTCTCTCCGTCTGTCTGTGCGTTTATTTTGTCTCTCTATATCTGACTGTATATCAACTGTCTCAGGGTCTGTCCCTGTCTTTCCCTCTTCTACTTGTCAACTGGTCTGTCTTCCTGTCTGTCAGTCTGTTTGTCTTTCGGGTCTGTTTGTCCATCTGTGTGTTTAAATTTGTCTATCTTCATCACACATTCCATTTCTTTTATCATTGAATGTACTCGATTTGGTAGGTTCTATAGGTTCTACGAACTCTTCATGGGAACATCTTATCCGACAGGACCTCCTCAACAATTACGATAGGAAAGTCCGCCCAGTGCTAAGAGGCAAAAAGAGCGTGAAAGTTCAATTTGCTTTAAGAATCGGCCGACTTGTCAAAGTGGTAAGCAAAGCCTATAGCTATAAGGTTCCAATTAGTTGAAATTCTGTTTTCTGGGCGTTTTTTTTCTTAAAGAGCCATAATAAAAATTTTAGTAGCAGTCATTGGCCTGGAAATGTTCTGTTGTTTTTATTTAAGTCAAGCAAATTTGTTGTGGTAATTAAGGTCGGAATGAAATTCAAGATATATCAGGAAGCAACTGGATTGTCTAGAGATACAAGAGGGCTCTTTTACAATCACACTAAGGGTAGGGCCTCCTTCTACCCTCGACCCCCCCCTCCCCTCACTTCCTCGCCCTCTTACCTCTATCCCACTTCCCCCACCCCTCTCACCTTTCACCCGTAACTCGCTTCGTTACCACCCCTCTCCCTCTTCTTAGCTCAAGATCGCTTCCATACTATGCCCATTATTCTGCCCCCCCTTTAACTTTGCCCCCCTTACCTCTCCCCTCTCATAACCTATCACTCCGCCCTCCTCGCCTAGCCCCTTATCCTGGCTTCCTTACCATGCACTTAGTCTCGTATCCGGACCTTACACGGCCAAGCCAAGCCACTACCAAAATTTCAGTTACACGTAGGATCTGGGTAGGAGATTACCTCGCTCTCTACCTTACTCCCTCCTCTTCACGCACCATTTACTTTTTTACCTCGTTCCTCCTTCCACCTTCGCCCCTTTTGCAGTCTCCTCAGTTGGATCATCTTTGCAGAGTAAATTATAATTCAGTTTTATCGTCTAACTATTTCGTTTCTGGCTCGTCCCAGCCGCTTTTTTTCTGTAACAAATATTTCTCCACTGCCTAGTCGATATGATATTTTAATGTCCACTTGCTCTATTTTTCAAACAGGATAATCAAGAACAGCTAGTTATTCTGGACACTTGGGTCATACAGGTAAGCGTGTCACACAATCTTATGAGGTGCTGTCTAGCCTAAAGTGATATACCCAACACGAAGGGTGATTTGGTGGATTGGTTCTTCACCAATGTCCAAATGTGGTTAATTTAAGCGGCGTATGAAATGATACTGTTAATTGACGTGCAGAAAAACACGCGGTGCATCGTGGGTCGAAGTGGTATTTTAAAGAAGAACAGTGGATTATTCCAAGAGATTACTGTCAAGAGTTTTTTTGGAGGGTCGGGAAACTGAGAAATTCCGAAACAACTAAGAAAGTACGGTATCTAAATGGGGAACCTATTATAAGATGCAGTGAAAGTTTGTTAATCAGTGAACAGTGAAAAGTCGTCCTGCGTGTTTGTATTTCCCGAGAAACAAAATTACCGTTTCAATCCATAAAGTGGGTAAGTTTCTAAAGAAACTGTGGTGCTGCGTCGATGATGTACTTTTCAATATTGGCGTCTCACTTTCTTTGCAGAGATGGGACAATGAATTCTTAACTTGGAATATTAGTGATTACGGAGACGTGGATCGTGTTCATTTTGAGCCCAGGGAAATCTGGGTTCCTGATATAGCCCTGTTTAACAAGTAAGAATATTGCCTTTCCTTAATGCGCGTGGCTAGAGTTTTGAATTGTTAGTTTCCCTAAAAGGAATGGACAATCATATCCTTGAATTTTTTAAGAATTTTTTTTTCTTTGAAATCTGTCGATAGATTAGGGAATGATTAGGGTATTACTTGATAACGTTTCTGGAAATATCCAATAACACAAAATTTTAGAATTTAAAAACAACACAAAATCTTTACGAACACAAAGCTTGTTCAAGTCTGGGTATCTTGTTGATTTGAGCTTTACCAAAAATGTTGTGCGCTTTAAATTGCCGTGAATTACTGGCTTATTTGAGACACTTTGACACTGAGAGCCTGAAATCACTCCACTTAGTCAAGGTTTACCGCTGTGTTTGTAATCTGCCATTGTCAGTTGGCGGAGTTCGCTTACAGCATTTATTTGTCTTTAGCGGTGACGATGATATCAACTTGGCTGGTGGACCTAGCAAGTTTGTCACCGACGTTGCTGTAGATCATACAGGAAAGTGTTCTTGGGGTGGACCGGCAACATTTAAAGTCAGTTGCAGAATGAAGATAGACCTGTGGCCATTTGATCAACAGGAGTGCCAACTTGCCTTTGGCTCGTTCAGTTATGGAGAAAACCTTCTGAAGTTAAATCTGTTTAAGGACCAAAGTAACTTTGCAAGTAAGGAATTTGACAAGTGCTACCTTTAAGGACGTTCCAAGAGTGTTTAAAATTGAAATAACCGACTGGAGATTTTATGAACAGATAGAAACCGTTAAAAGAAGTCTTCAGCTCAAACTAGTTAATGAAATGTATTCTCTGTAGCTTGATGTAGTGTGTAATTTAATGCAATTTGATTAGTTTTTGTTTGAATGTTCTGTCGTGCTGTTTTTACCGTGTTGTGTAGCCTGGTTTATGGATTTGATGTAGTTTGGTGTAGTTATATTGAGTAGCTTGTGTAGTTGGTGTAGTTTGGCGTACTTTGGAGTAGTTTGGTGCAATTTTGGTGTATTTTGGTGCAGTGTGATGTAATCTAGTGGAGTTTAGTGAGAAAAAAAATCACCAAGCTACATCAGACTACGTCAAACTATTTTAACTATTTAACAAATAGATTCCAAGTTGCCGTGCGTCTGTTCAGTAATAGATCACAGATGACGTCAAAATGTGTTAAGAACTAAAAAGTGGAACACGAGGCGCAGCCGAGTGTGTCATTGATGTTCTTACCACATTTTGACGTCCTTTGGGATCTATTACTGAACAGACGCACGGCAACTTGGAATCTATTTGTTTTATATAATAATGACTTTAAAAAAGTTTTAATGATGACGTCATCTATACGTCGGTCCTCCAATAGATCATAAGTGAGAACCAATCAGAATGCGTGCGTAACTGAGCTTAATATATAAATGGAAATGGACACCATTACACCAAATTGCACCAAACTTCACCGAACTGATCTACTAGGTTTAACCGGCCAAGCACTTACATTCTACAGTAACTGTTTTACGATCATATTCATTAGAGTTTTATTATAATCTCTTTTAGCCCGTTTCGTTGAGAGTGGAGACTGGGAAATCAAAAATATTACGGCCGCGATATCAAGCACTGATCACGGCGACTGCTGCCCGTTTAACTTCAGCGAAGTGGTTTACACCTTAACCATGGAACGAAAGTCACTGTACTATATGTTCTACCTCACTATTCCTTCTGTTTTACTGACGGTCCTCGCACTAAGCAGCTTCCTAATCCACGTTGAGAGTGGAGAACGTATTGGCTTTGTGACAACGGTTCTCCTGGCCATGACAGTGTTTCTGCTCGTTATCCCATCCTTCCTGCCTGTCACTTCGGACGGACTCCCAATCTTGGGGGTCAATCTCCAGGTCACTATGATCATCATAGCGTTAGTGTTGTTCGCCAACATATTTGTAGTGAGAGTGTATTTCAAGGAAGGAACCCCCCCTGGCTGGATCGAAAGATTCTGCGACTTCTGCAGCATCAAGAAGGGGAAACGGGTGAGGAGGATAAATGTATCGCGGCCTAACAGTGGGTCTCCTGTGGCTCGTGGACGATCCTCGGTAACAGTTAACGGTGTTGAGATGATGGAGTCAAATGACAAGAACCCACCACTAGATGACAGGATAGACGAGGAACCAGAGTACACGTGGAAAAGAGTGGCTAAAAGAATGGATTACATGTTTCTTCTGGTTTTCCTTATCATTGCGACTGTGGCATATATTGTCACATTTGTATCACCGATGTAGACCTCTAACAAGCCATCCTAAAATTGTCACAGTGACAATATTCCTTGATGTGCTGTAAATCGAAAGTTGATGCTTGTATCCTTGATTTAGTTACAACTGATCAGAGCGAGCAACTTTCATTAAATTGACATATAATAAGAAGCTAGAGTAAATGACATAATGTACCAATCAAACCTGTATCATTAAGACTGCCGTGATATTTTCCCACGTGTTAAGTTAACTGTTTGTGCATGCGTACGAATCGTGCGTATATCTATTTACTTCAGCAGTACTTTTTGTAGTCGCACAAGACGGATTCTTCATAACACAATAAAATAAAACGTGCAGATCGTTTTCCGATAGAAGGATAATAACTAACTGAAAATGGCAACTAGGATCCATTTAGGTCGGCTGTATTTCCATCAAGTTAAAAATCAGAAATGAATGCTCGGATATGTAACATATGTTGTTACGTCGCATCGCCCACAGCGCAGTCTTTTGAAATAGCCATTCATGCTCCATAATCGTTGTGATACTTGGAAGAAAATCATTTCATTATTACCATATGTCAAAATATTATCAAATCATTAATCAATCAGTTAATGATTCATATGACAACTTAGTTTTATCAACTAAGTTCACATTAAAATCCTAAAAATATCTCAAATCCTGATTGCTAAAATCAACTGTAAAGGCTAATTTTACTTTAAAAGTAAACTCTGTGAAATCTTTAATTTTACTTAATCTAGAGCTGATAGTTCTACGTGGCTCAGAAGCAATATCAGAGTATTTCGATGTGATTGCACTCCAGAGGACTACCCCTCTATAACTAATAGATTGCTGTAAATAACGAGATGTAAATCTAGGTACAACAATATAATCAGTCCCCCTAAATGCATAACACGACACCCTCTTGTTAATGATACTAGTACATAGTTGTTTCGGTAATAAGCCATTATAAGCACTATGCATTAACTTTGAGAGTTTGTCCTTGAAGATGTATGCCAAAGTCTGCCATTTGGCTATCTTTAGGGAGTCTTCGTTCAACGTGTCCTTTAAATCATAAATAATCCTTACTGCACGACTATCGAGATTCTCCAGCGTCCCGAATAGCTCTGCATTTACTGCAGTTTACCCAAGTGATCAGACTGTAGGTGAGAGATGGCAGAATAACACTTAAATAGAAATTTTTAGTTCACTCTTGGGAAGAAATCTTGATTTTATCAGCAAGTTGAGCTTGCTTACGAAGCTCTTTTTCACTTCTGATAAGTGTGGTGACCATGTCAGGTTGTTGTAGACCGTTACTCTTAGTAAGCGCGATTTTCAACCCATGTTATCAAGGAGCCCCCAATAGAAACAGGCGGAATAGGTCCGATAAAATTAGACCTAGTCATGAGCATAGCCTCGCAGTTTTTAGGGTGTGGTGTGAGCCTTTTTATGAGACACCACTCGTACAGCTCTGTTAACGCTCTGTTTAATAGTGAAACCGCTACATCCCTATTGATCCCAACACAGTGTACTTTGGTATCGTCAGTGAACATGTATGTCTCTCCCGAAGCCACAGAGGATGGAGGGTCGCTGGAAAATAAAGCAAATAATGTCGGTCCTAAAACTGAGCCCTGTGGGACTCCAACTTGAACTGACTGGGTCTCAGATTCGGCTCCGTTGACCACAGTGAACTGTTTTCTGTCACTTAGACAGCTGTTTAACCAGTTAAGCAAGAGACCACACACACCAAAATTGCGCTGTAACTTTGTAATCAGGAGAGAGTACTGGACGCAATCAAAAGCTTTCTTGAAGTCTATAAACGCAACTGCAATGGCTTTTCCCTTATCAATCTCTTTTTCTCCAGAGTTCAGTCAGCTGTGTTAGTAGTAACTCAGTATAATATTCTTTGCGGTATGCTCACTGTCTGTCCGAAGCAAGGTCGTTAGCTGTGAAAACTTTATCAACTAATGTGTCATTCACAAGTTCTTCAAGTATCTTGCTTGGTTTTCTCAGAAGTGAGACTGGTCTGTATTTAGTGATATCTGTCTCATCGTCCTTTTTGTGTATTGGCGTAATCCTTGCCACTTTCCATTGCGAAAACACAGCTTCACGATCAATACTGTGCTGGTATAAGCTGACTAAAGATGGGATCACTGCGTCTCCAGCCACTCTTAATAACTTTGGATGAATATTTTCCAGCAGACTTTTTCACTTGCAATGAGTTAATCTTCCTGGATACCACTTCTCTGTTTAAGACAACCTGAGACAAAAGTGGTACCTTTTTGTTCTCCAAAGTTATAGGTTGCAGATACGTTGATGTTGGCAGTAAGTTATTTAGCTTATTCCCTACGTTAGAGAAGAATAAATTGATAAATTTAAGACGAGATGATTCCTTTGAAGGAACTGTGCAGTCACTTAAAAATAATAGGTGAGAGACTGAGACTTAGAGCACCTTTTGGTAAGAAAATAAATAAAGATGAACCACGACTGATCTCAGTATACATGTATTTAAGCAGTGCTGACACTGCAACAGAATAGGGGCGCTTAATGGAATAAGGGCGTTTGTAGAAATGAAGGTGCTTACGCAATGGGGGCGCTTATTAGGACAAGGATAATTATTAACAAAAGCCAAATTCGAGGGCAGCCCTTATTAGAGAAGGGGCGCTTACTTGAATGCGGGTGCTAAATAGACTCATTAAAGTTTTACCGTCATTCATTTAATTATTTATATAACGTGTATCATCTCTCATATTCTAGTTAGGGTGTACTGCATAGTTCCTGGTATCCAGATTCTTTTCCTGAACAAAAAATGCCAATTTCCCAATCCTTTTTTATCCTGAGTCCCATTGTTCTTCTCCATCAAGGAAACTCTTGCATTCTTCATTCTTTTTCCATTGTTTCTTCCATGGGCGGAGATAAAAAGAGGACAAGTGATCAGGAAATTGAATCGAAATGATTTTTGAGTAAATGAGAACTCAATCTACCTTTAAATTTGTCCGCGCTATGAACGCGCATTGGTCCCAGTCCATTATGAAATACTTCTGTTGTGCGCCGAAAAAGCCAGCGGTGTATACTGAAGTCGCTAGTTGTCATAGAAACAATGAAAACTGTTAAAAAGTCAATATGGCGGTTGTTTTTGTGCATGCCTGGAGAGGTTAACAGCGATTAAAGACGTTAGAAAAAGCTTAAAATCTCAGAAAATAGCCTTTTGAACAACAAAAGCCTTAAAAGATGGCCAATGAAGAAGATGCCGCAAGTATCAGACCGCCAGAACCGGTTACAATTGTCGTGGTTCGATGCAAAAATCTGGTAAGCGTACGTACATGTAAGCCTGTTTGTATTTCTTAACGAATCTCCAGTTCATTAAATTGTATTAAATGAAGAAATTTCTAAAAACCAAGAATTTTCCATAACGTAGACTTTTTAAGGGAAAATTTGTTTGCAAATGTGGTTATATTCTTTCATGTGTTCATTGATATCAATTGTTTCAGACGTCGGACATCTGTAAGCTTTGCAATTAAGGGGTCTTGGTTAATTCGAGACACAACATAAAAACCCAATCAGCGTTTTGAAACTGAGTCTTGTATGCTTTCCAGCAGGACATCCTACAATTTCAACCTCTTTCAGTTTGGAAATAAAGAGAAAAAAAAAAGAGAAAAGTCGTCATCTTAAACTACAAAATACAGGGCCGTGCACTTACAGTATTTACTTCTTATTGAATCACCATACATCATTTTGAGTTCTTCCTTGTTCTTCAAAGCATACCAAAAAGGTGGTCTGTATTGTGTAGTTGCCCTCATTACAAAAAAGGTCAAAAATTGATTTCTTAATTTTTCTTGAGAGGCCAGCAAAACCTAATAGTGGCACAAACATGTTTGGGAGACTTCTCGGAAAGGCTGATGATATTTGGAGATCAGATTCCATTTCCCACTCCTAGCTCTCCTTGACAATGAAACACCTCAGAAGGTTTCAGTCATTGGCCCTGAACAGTGACAGAACCTTAGACTATTTGATCCAAAATCTGTGCAGCATCCATCTGCAAATTGTCTCTCCTCATTACCTAAAACCATTTATATGATAAGCTTAACCCTTTAACTCCCAGATCAAATTTGTAATTCTCCTTACTGTCAACTATACATTCTTATGATGTTAGTTGGGAGAATTTAGTATTGGATCAACTTACCCCCAAATTGATATTTTCTTTATTCTCATCACTTATCTGGTTGATATTGTATTGATATTGTAAGGAGATATTCTGTCTTGGTCACCCATGAGAGTTAAATATTAATTATACATGCATTTGATTCATTCTTACTTTTAATACACATCAAAAGATGATGTCACCCTAAAAAAAACATTTGCCCTTTTCATCAAGGAAAACAAAAAGGTTCTAGCTATCTTGTTGTTGATCTGTGTAGTATTTGATCACAAATGATGTCAGAATGTGTAAGAATATCAATGACACACTCTGCCACATCTTGTGTGCCACTTTTCTGATCAATTAATGAACAGATGCATGGCAAAATGGTATTAATATGTTTTTTAATTATTCAGCTTAAAAGTGTTTTTCTTCTCACTTTCTAGAAAGGGTCTAAAGGTGATTCCTTGAATTCCTTGGTGAGGCTTGAGTTTGGTGCTAATCTGCTCGGAGAATCTCCAAAAGTTGAAGCAAACACAGAGACCCATAGCACAGAATACAACTTTAATGCATCATTTGACTGTACATTTGAAGATGCTACTTTTTTGGACTCTATAGCATATAAGCCTGTGATAGGTAGGTATTGATTTTCTAGTTTGACTTTCATTAATTATACTGTACAGTGTACATGTACATAGCATTACTGACTGTCTTGTTCAAAACTTGAATTTCTTGAGTGGGAGTTTCTTCCTGTCTTCTAACAGGAGTGAATGCCCCCTCAAAAAATGCAATTTTTGCTTGTTACCCTTGAAAGCTACTAATGATGTGTGCAATTTTAAATATAATTGCAACTGTATGATGTTGTTTACATTATTTTTTGAAGATGGGTAAAGACATCATTAAAAATTTACATCAGTATCATCATTAACCATTTACATCAGTATTCGTAAATTATTCTCCATTCTCCTCTACCCTTCCTCTGGCACTGACAAGGCAGTGCTTTCAATAAGATTTGAAGTAGGTGGTGAATGAACTTGCTGGTGAATTGAACTTGCTGGTGAATGTATGTAAAACAATTTCCCTTTTGTCAGCCCATTAGTGCAATTTAGAATAAACTGGCTTCAAACAGACCTTTCTGTGTTTAACTTCAGCAAATGATCATGAAGTATTAGCTTCCTTTGTAACAGTTGTTTAATTGATTGTTTTATTTCTACAGTAATCAAAATCTTCCATTTGCTGGCAATGTAAACTTGCTCCCTGAGTTTCACACAAAAGTCCTCTGAAAGGACAAATAGTTACTGGTTATTGCAATTTGAGTTAGTATTTTCATAAGTAACTGCCTATGTCATACTTCTACTTCATGTATGATGAATTTATGTGGCTAGAACACACAAAACAAGCGGATAAAGAAGACCACCACTTTAAAGAATGAATGAATCAAAGACTGCAGAATTTCAAAAATAAATAAGTTGAATACTCCAATACCAAATTGTGTTATACATGTAATCTTTTACAGCATGTCGTTTATTTATTTTTTTTTTTGTTCAATAATTTTGATTGGGACCCTGCAGAGTATACCCAACAATTCACAACAGAGTAGTCCTGCCAGAGTTCTGGCAGGTGCCTGGTCTTATTGAAAGCGCTGAAAACAAGAATTTGTCTAGCAATCAAAAGCCCTTGGGTTGCAATCCAATCATTTTCTTAACATGTAGATTCTGGTCACTTCTAGTTTATACAGGGTTAATACAGTTGCAAAATAATGAAATAAAAAGTTTCAATTGAAGGGAAGCTGGGAGGGTGCCATCAAAGCAATTGTGTGTGGGGGGAAGTCACTAGTTATTGAGACTGCCCTGTTTTTAAAGTGCTGATATAAGTACATAGTCCTAAAATATCTTACAAATATAATTTTTGAATTTCAAAATATATTTTTTTTTTGTTTTTCAGTTACTGTTGTTGAGGTTCTTCCTAAAGACAAGAAGGGAAAGGAAGAAAAAATAAATATTTTGGGCCAATCCTGTATTGATTTGCTGCCACTTCTTCATGGTGAGGCACATAATACTTGTAGATACTTGTACACTTAAACCATGGTTATATTTTTGTTACACTGTTATCATTTTGGCATTGTAGATGCTGTAAAAAGTCATTTTAACAACATCATAATTATATAATTAGTAATTTGTACATATAGCCTTGTATTTTTATGAAGATCCTCATTTTGTAGGATTTAATCTTAAAAGAAAGGTACCTCTACCTGCACCTGCTGCATGATGGTTTTTCATGAAATTTATACTTTCTCAAAAATAAGTAATTTTTTCTTCACTTGGGAATTTTTAAGAACACTTGAGAAGTGCGAAGAAGCAATTGCTTTTGGTTCCTTCTTCTTGGCACTTCTCTTGTGTTCTTTGAAATGATTTGCAGAATTTCATAATCAAACAAGACCAAAATTGCATAACACAAAGTTCAATTACTGCTTTATTACATCTATTTTGAAATTGCAAATTTCATTTATTCACATACAGGTTTTTTCAGTCTTTACAAATATTTTGTTGATCCAGTACTGAGCTAGTTTTATGAAAAGTTGCAAAAGTTGTCTTTCATTTTCCTGCAATTTGATTGGTTCCTTTAAACAAGTCTTGATATCTGATTGGTTGTTGTGTTTTAGTAAAGCTGTCTCATAAGCTTGCACTGATGAGAGAGATTGCAAGGATCACACATGATTTCAAAATGAATGTAAAAGACTCAGAGTTGCTGTTATACATGTCCTTTTAACCATTTAAACCCTAACTTTTCCCTACAATATCACCCCTGAATCACGCATTGGGTCATGAGAATAAAGGAAATGGTCACCAACAAGAGAAGCATTTGATTGGTAAACAAATTCTCCTTGTCAGCACCTTAGGAAATGTATAAAGAACAGTATGGAGAATAAGTATATTGATGTTAGGGTGTAAAGGGTTAAATAAACATTGATCTCACGCAACCAATTATGGATAACAGAATGTGTTGAATTTAAGGGATATTTCTCTATTCACATTTAGATTTAGCTATAGTTATGTTTTTATATTAATAACTTTATAATACTGCATTTTCCCATCTGGTTAAAGGGGAAACTAAATTCAGTGTTATGCAGTATGTTCATCCTGTCACTGTTCCAACTGAACCAGCCACAACTGAAAATATTTTGGTAAGAAAAATCCTAATTTATTTTTTCCTTTTCTTTTCTTCCCTCGATAATGTTATGCTTTCATAAGGGACTTATACTGATTTCTTGATTTGATCTGTTATTCTTTGACTTAATATATAAATGATTTTATGTTTACCAGTCTAATTGTTGTGATGAGAATAAGTCAGGCAATGATAAAATATGAAATAACCACATTGATACTGCCACATTATTCTTCTGTTTGTGACATATCGTTTACCATACATAATGAAACCAAGTCTATAATTATACACACATACTATGATGATTGTATACGCTTAACTGAAATAGATCCTTGTATTAGTGAAACTCTCCCAGTTATCATTCTTAATGTAACAGTTACTGTATATTAACAAGTATAATTAATAATAATAATGTTATTATTATATTTTTATTATAATCTATTATATAACAGTATACTATTACTTATTAATGATTATTTATTGAGTTTTAAAATTGTTATGTTTGCTCATTCTCTCTTTTTTTTTTTAGCCTGAAATTGAAGTGCAAGTTTCTGTGGCACAACCTCTTCTTACAGAAACACAGCTCCATAACAGGTTTGAACAGGCTCTCAAATATTGATTACAAGACTAACTCTAAATCATTATAAGTATCAATAAATTTTGTTTTCAGAAGATATCAATGGCTGTAACTACATGCATGGGACAGCATGTTACCAGCACAATTGGTAACAATCTAGGAAGTACATGTATGTGCAGGCACATGTATGCAGTTTTCATGATGGTGTGGATGTGCTGCTGAATTCCCTTCCTTAATGCTACTGTTGCTTCCTGAAACAGGAAGCACTCCAGCATTCCTCCCCAAATATTCCACTCTATGGTTTTCAGTAACATTTTCGATATTAAGCAGCTGTTGGTGGTACAGTCTGTGACTGTGGTGTAAGGCAGAATTTAAACAAAGGAGTGTACTCACTGCAAGGCTAACAGACAGTGACAAGGGATGCAGTATTATAGGTGGCAAAACAGTGCTAGAAACCAGTTTTTATATAAACTCCCTGCAAATCCCACCAAGCTTTTACAATAGGCTGTCAAAAACATACAAGCAAACTTTTCATATCAACATTACCCTGCATCTGTGTGTATGAAATTCGTCTGTGCAGTTAACGTATAATTATGCGAGCGGTACTGTACCAAGATCCCATTAGTAATTCTCCTTACTTTCTGCCAAACATTTCTCATTATGTTAGTCTGGAGAATTTGGTATCAGATCAATTAGTAATCCCATAGTTGATATTTTGTTCTCATCACTTGTCTGCATGATATTGTATGGATATAGTAAGGAGAAATTCTGTCTTGGTCACTCACAGGAGTTAAAGGGTAAATTGTAACTACAAATATTTTTCAATGTAACTTTTTGAAAATTAGTCATTGTAGAGAATTCAAGCTATCTATTTTGAATTATTTGTCTTATCTCCCTTTTTTTTTCATTTTAATTTTGTTTTGATTAACAGCAATTTATTGAGTGTCCATCTAGACAGTGCATTCTCTGTACCAGACTCCTGGCAGATTCAGATGGCTCAGCAGTTTAACTACACTGCCAGCTTGCCTGTTCCAATATCCACTGAGGTGAGAAGTTCACATCTAAATGGATGCTAAGTTAAGTTTAACAAATGAGATTTATGTTTCTCCTCAAGAATCTGGGTTTATCATCAGTGATTACTTTGTATACCAAGGAGGGAAGAGCCAGCAATTGAATGCAAAGCTGATATATGTAGATGCCCCCCCTCCTCCCCAATGAAGAACAGTTTCACCCGAGGTACAGGGCGGAGGGAGGGGGGGCTGGGAGCATATCTTACAGAGTGGCTCATCAGTTGTAATGTACATGTATGTGCTACCAAAAGAGCAAGATCTACTTTGAAAAAGACACTCGCAACTTCAAAGAAGTTTCGAAGACGATTGGTTCTTTGTGGCTAAAAGACCGCTCAGCGCTAATGCAATTTATCTTCTCTGGAGTGAATAATTACTTTTCTTAGTCTTCTGATGGTAAATGTAATCGTTTCTCACATGAAATGGTTAAAATCATATTATCTAGAAACTTAGTACTTTATTGAGGTAATTTGGTATTATCAAAAGTGACACTCATTAACAACTTTTGCAATGTGCCTCTGTCTTCGTTGTATCTTTGAAACATCGATTCATAATTGCTAGATAGTTTGTGTAGGTAAGAACATGATTTCGGTTGCAATTTAGTGTTATGGGTACGAGTAAATTTTTGTAAAGGCGAAAAAATTGCACGAGCCCGTAGGGCTTGTAAAATTTGTAAAGTTTACAAGTGCTTATTTTCACCAAATTGCACAAGAAATCATGTTGTTACTTCTTAATAATTTACATGAAAAAAGCTTCACAGAAAGTCAAAACGGACGAAATTTCGGTGATACGCGCTATTTGTAATTTGCACTCGACTAACAACTTTGCACTCGTAGTACGTAAAAAATGCAATCGTTTTCGGCCAATCAGACGCGCTTAATTTTCTCATGTTTATTATTATTATTATTATTTATATTCCCTACGTTACAGAAAGAAAGTACAATAGTGTTATCCAACGGACTGCTTCGTGCACCAGGCGAAAAGGTTAGACTGTTACCACTTGTTCTGTCATATGAAACAAGCACGTCAACCCACTGACTCCTGAGAGTGACTAGTATCCAATTTCTTCCGAATCACACATTAAGGTCACGAAAATACAGAAATGATCACCATTTCAAGCAGCCCATGACTGTTAAACAAATTTCTTCTTATCAGCACCTTAGGAAATTTATGTGTAGAGAGTACTATGTAGAATATTGCATACTGATGTTAGGGTGTAAAGCTCGCTGGTTAATACGCAGGGAATTTTCAGGTGTTTTGTTGACGGAGTGTTTTTTGTTTTGTTTTTTTTTCTGCAGACTTGCTGAAGATTTCTCTTTTTTGCATATTAATTTTTTTTTTTAACTTACTAGGAAACTACAAATCATCGGAAGTGGTCCGCTGCTCCGAGTGCCTCTGGCTCCTGTCTATACATTACTGACAGGTAATAACTGCAAGTAGTTAAAGTGCAATTTTCAATCGCGTTTCGATACTTATTGGGTTTTGCTTTGCCATGCTCTGTAATTAGTCTACAAAAATGGTGCCACCCTCTCCACCAATCAGAAATAAAACTGAAGCCGATCAGTGTTTGGTCACGCGCGTTTTCCCGCGTTTTATAGAATCTGCTTCACTTTGACTTTGAGTTGAGCTTTGAGCTGTGATGACGCATGCTAAGATTTGAAGCAGCTTTGTCGTGATAATTTGGGTCAGACATGTATTTATCAGTTGCTATTAACTTCAACTTTCCTCTCTAGTAACATCGAAATTTTGCCGTTCGAGGACGAAGATGGTGATCTCAGAGATAGAGAAGATATCGTTTTTCGTCAGGAGGCTATGAATGAGAAAAATCACGTCACGTGGAACACAGAAAGACGCTGTTTCTTAAATGCAGAGGCCGCTGAAAGGTGAGATCGTCCTTCACAAGGGCGTTGTAAAAGAAAAGCTCTTCGTGACTTTGCCTCGAACCAAGTGAGCTTCTGTATTCCAGCAGTGCTGAGTTTCTTATGTATTCTTTAATTGTACATGTGATAGCAACTCAGCCCCGCTGGAATATCGGGGGCTCATATGGGATGAAGCAATGTTACGTAGTTCTTTCCTCAGTAAAAGGAAAGGAAATGCTTCCCAGGTCTATGGGCGGATGCGACGCAGTACCACAGTTTCTTCTTACCTCCTCTATTCATTTGTGTTGTTAGTTCATGAACACACGTTCACTTAATTTAGTGTACTCATTTATTTATCAATATATTCATTTCCTTAGACTTAATTTTTTTTATCTTCTAGTTTGCAGAACAAGATCGCGCAGAATCGTTACTGGCCCTTGGAAATAATGAGGACCCCAATACAACAAGCCACGAAGACAAAAGGAAAACAGGGCTCGTTAGAAGAAGATATTCCCATATCATTCCACGGAGTAGCTTATGTTAACATGGCGCCCTTACTCTACCCTGGGGTGAAAAGGTTTGTTTCTTCGCATTCCACTTCAGAGTCTCTTTTAAAGCAAGTTTCGTCTCACGAGCAGGGATTCTTGTCTTTGGATAAGCGATTCGCATATGTGTGTCTCTTGAGAAACGAAACGCATTGATCGGATTCTTGCATTTAAGAGTCCTGTAATAAACTATAGTTAGTGGCAAAAGTATTTGGCACGCCTTTCCTTATAAGGAGACTTACCATAATAAACATAAGTCTAGTAATTCATCTGTAATAAGTCACTTGAAAGTCCTCCCTCCCCCTCCAAAAAAAAAAAATGTTGCCCGATGTATGTGACCACTATGTAGTACCAGGTAACAATGAAATGGGGAAGAGGGGGTAATAACTTAAAAATGAAAAACTAAAAATGAGTTAAGCGTGCCAAGACTTTTGCCACTCACTGTACGTTTTACCTGTTAATGTTCCCATTGAGTTCGATGAGAGGGGATTCTGACACTTAGCATTCTTCCCCTCGTCGTTTTAGCGACATGTAACGCGTTGTTTCTTCACCCAGAATAAGAGGAGCATACCTTGTGAAGCCTTTCATCGAGAATGAAGTGTTTGATAAAACCAAGCGCAAAGGTACACTGGCGGAAGAGGCTGCCAGAATAGCCAGCGGAATGAGCCGTACTCTCGCCTCAGCCATGGCGCAGAAGGCCCCTCCACCCTCCAAACAAGGCAAAGCGGATGCAAAAACAAAGGTACTATTACTGTTGTGTCTTTAGAGCACATTTCGATTGGGTGTTATAAAACTAAATAACAGTAAATTGTATCAAAGATAAATGTCACAAATAACCAATGAGAACTAAAGCTGAAAACGTTTTCATCTGATTGGTGGAGAGGATGGTGCGAGTTTTGTAAACCAATCACAGAGCGAAGTAATGCAAAACCAATGCATTCCCGAATTACTTTTGACACTGAAATGAAATGAACCTCCCGAAGAAGAATCAGAACCTTTGCTAAACCGATGACTGTGGATGAAAATCTCCCAATTTCACACGTTATAACAGCAAAAGAAGTCAACAGCTTTTGTTAGGTAATGTTGGCAAGTTTCGTCTACTCAAGGATTGTTTCAACCGAGAAAATGTAATTTTGAACTTGGAAACATACAGGCAGTATATGCAGTTTGGCTGAAAATATTTGCCAAAACTGTTGTCAAACAACTCTTTAAATACGAACAGTAAGTTTGTCTTTTATTCCCGTAATTAGAGTTCATGTAGCTGATATTTTTAGCGCGCAATATTTCGACCAATTACTTTCTAGGTCTGGGGATTGTCTTTCCTAACGACAAATTTTTGTCTCCGCTCGCCATTTTTGAGAATGTTTGGTCTACCACGCTCTAGATCTACGGGAATGGCTGCAAATTTACCCGTTTTGTCTGCAAACATCTCAACTAAGACTTGATGTTTCGTGAAATTGCCAAAAAACCGAAAATGAAGGGAAATTTACTTAATTTACGACTTCTTGAACTATTTAGCCATCAGGTGCTGTTCTCAAACCAGACGTTTTAGCAGAAGGAGAGGGTAACGAGGCCAAAAATCTTGAAGGACAGGTGAGGCTTGATATGCAATAATGAGTGAACATTTATTTGTACAAGAAATGTCTGTCGATAAAGAAATGCAGACTTCAAGTAGAGTTTACCACAAACATTAATCAAAAAGGTTACTAGGATTTCTCCTTTTTTTCGGGTTCCAAGTCTGGGTTCCAAGAAGAACACGGACTTCTCGACCCTTCTGTTAATCCTTTAACTCCCAGATCAAATTTGTAGTTCTCCTTACTGTCAACCAAACAATTCTTATAATGCTAGTTCAGAGAATTTAGGATTGGATCAACTAATTATCTCCAAATTGATATTTTTCTTTATTCTCATCACTTATCTGGTTGATATTGCATTGATATTGTAAGGAGAAATTCTGTCTTGAATACAAATTGATATGAGAGTAAAAACAATAAAAACTTGCCTACGGCTCACAATAAATATCTACAGGACATCGCTATGTATGCTAGTGTGTAAGGTCAAGAACGGTCTTGGCGAAAGAATTCATTACCAGAAATGGATACATAGTTGAGTCTTTTTATTTACAGCAATATCTGGAGTCACGAACTTTTATCACCTTGGAATTTGTCCTCGACAAACCGCTTGTTCCAAAACGGCCGCCATCTTCGCTTGCAAGAAAGTAAGTTAGCGATACTGAATGATGCTAAATACGTTGCGTTGTGCCTCCTCGACTTAGACTTGCAGTTTGACATTTTTTGGCCTAATTAGTTAGCAATATATTTGATCCTGTACATAACCGATAAGCAAAATCTTTAAAAACTCAAATTGTCTTAGAACCAAACTAAATTGAAGACAATGAAACCAGCTGACAAAACAAAACGAGCGTATAAAAAGTGACATGTAGACCGTTACAAGAGAAAACTTTTAGTTGCAACGTAACTGTGGTTTCCTAACTCAATTTTGAGTAGTGGCAAGAGCTCCCAGAAAGCCTATCCACGCCTGAACGAGGTTGTGCGCGAGCCTACGTTAAAATCCTGTTGTGCGCGCTTATGACATCAGCAAACAAATGCCTCGCGATTCAAAAATTTTCCTCTACGCTTGACTGCAAAGTTCCCGTTCAGCTTGTCCGCGAGTCTTGAGATTTTCAAAATTGTTTAAAGGTTCCATCCCGACTGGGATAGACCTATAAGAGCTCTTAATGAAGTGGAAAGGAAACGGACATTTAAGCCTTCAAAGCGACGAAAAGAGCTTTCGAGTGAATAATGCTACAATTCTCAAACGCGATACGAATGGCTGGAAAATGAAAACTGAATTTGCTGACATCATTGGGGCTTCGCCAGTTTTGCACCTCTCTTTGGCTCGATAAGTATTATCTTTTGTGCAACTTCATTTGTCTTAAATCTGACAACTTTCAGAATTTTCAACACAACGCTACACAATTTCTTGGCCTTGAAGTCAGGTAAACAACGATTCAAGCATTGCGCGGGCCGCCTGTATGCGAGCGATTTTGACTTTTTCGCCTCCTAATAACAATTGAAGTATTTCTTTGAATAACGCTTTTACTTCGAAACATTTCTTTGTCATTTTTCCCCTAATCAAGAAGCTAGAGCTGTCTCGGCTACGCCTCGAACAACACTTACGCCCCCTTTGTGCTCTCCAACCTTCCAGCGTGCTTCATACCGCTGCAAACGCACGCTGGCGTATGAACCAGTTATTTACAATATTGTCAATTTGACTTGTACTTTGTTCATTTTTCCCCGCTTGTAGAGTTGCAGAATATATTCCTCCACGTCCAGTTTTTGCCCGGAAAACAGGAGGCTCCAAAAAGGTAGCATATCATGGAATGCATTTAGTTTTGCGAACACTGAAGTTGACAACGTTTTTTTCCACTCCTTAAGTGCCATTTTTAAGATTGTGTTTGTTTTGTCTTACTAAGTGGAAGAAGGGCAGCGAATTCAGGGATTTACAGGGATAAGGAACGCAGCGCACTGGGGAAATAAAATTTGTTACGTTTTGATTGCTTTATAATAATTTAATAGTTTTTTTACTTCGTAAACTTTGATTAAAAAATTTGTAAAACTATCTGTTTTGTTACAGGCTGTGGAAGATTTCCACAGTCAGTTGACCACTGTTGCAAATTCCCTGCTCGAGGAATTCAGGTTTGTAACTATCGTTCTGAGGAAAGCAGCAGTACTCTTTTTTGGTTCTCGATTATTTGATTCCTGTGCACGAGATTCCCAAGTGGTTTCGAATTTAATCTGCTATACGAAAAGTTACACAACCAAACCTTAACGGTATCTTGCCTTTTAACCAAGTCTCACAATAGAAAATGGTTTTTCGTTACAAACTCGAGAAGTTTAAAGTTGCTAATCAAGCACTATCTCATCGTCTTCGCTTGTAGCCAATCACTCAACTTCCTAAAGACACCCAAAGCTTCGAATATGATGAGCAAATCAGAGGATGAACGCGAAACTTTCGGCATCTTACACTTCTTACAATCATCTTACGACCAATTTTCTTCGGTAACATCTTGTGTTTCTTGTTGCAGGCAAATGTACGGCGATGATCTGTTGAAGGGAAGTCTACCGCAGTCAAATGATGCTATGGACCAGAGGTGCATATTTTTGCTTTCGCACGCAAAATAAGGAAGAAGGAAAAGGAGGCCTAATAATTAGCTCTGAAAATCTCTCATTTTAAGGTCTAAAAATGAAATATTATTGTAATTGTTATAAATTATAACAGTCAGAAAGAGATTTTCCTCTCTTAAAAACCACATGTATTTTTAATCGGTGTGAGTTTGGAGAATTTGGTCGATGCACGTCTACCTTAGTTGAAGATTTTACTTTCGCCTTCCTCTCCTCTTAAAATTTTTGTTTCAGGCAGACTGGTCATGTTTAGCCTTGTTCTGATGGGCCGTTTTCAGGTTGCAAGTACTTCGGTTCTGCAACATCTATTTTAGGGCAATTCTCAATTGAGTGTTAGGAGTAGTCCGGAAATGCATTGGCTTTTATTTACTTCGACTGATGATTGGTCCGGAAAACTCGCGCGACTCTCTCGCCCAATCACTACTTGATCGCCCACGTTTTCCCGCGGTCATATTTTGAACTAGTGAAAGAAATAACGTTGGTTCTTTTTTTTTGTAGGAGGCAGAAGTTTCTGTACGAACTAAATACATCCGGAAAATATTTCGCTTTTAAAGAACAGTTAAAGGTAGCACAAACGATATCGATTGTACAGTACATGCAATAAGTTGACTATACACTGCTTGATTTAGTCTTGGCATCTGTTTTGTTTTGTCTTTTGGTTACTTTTTCTAATATTGCCTTTTTCTTGAGGCTTATCCATCTAGTCATGTCTTGTTATAAGTAAAATGGTTGATGATGGCTCCAGTCGCAGCTGTTAACATAACTGTAGCTTTAATTAGAATACTTTGTTAAATCTGAAGTATTTATGGAAGAAGAAGTATGCACTAAAAACTGTATGAATTTTGCTTCCACCAAAAGAAAAAGGAAAGAAAACAAATTGCACATTCAGTTACAATTTGCCGCGTCTTGCGATTCCAAAGAGTAACCTTTTTACTCGAAGATCGTCTACAAATAGGCAAGTTCATTGGTAGACTAAGTTAACATACGTTTCCCTTTGATTAACAGAATAGCGTCATAAAGATCGTGCGAGAGAAGTATTTAAACACCACAGCTTTTACAGACAAGGAAAAACTACAAGCATTCCTCAGCGAGTTGTATGTGTTTTTAATTGACCAGATGCACGTGGCTCTGAACAAGGTAATGTTTACATCATTTGTCAATGGAATGTTATACTCTATATTTTAGGCTAATAAACTGTTATAACAGAACATAGAATTGTGAAGTCTCTTACTCGAGCTGAGTGTTTCTCAGCACTTACAACCGAGTTCCCAAGCCAATCATGTCTTAGCAAAGAACATCATGTTATGATCTTGGGTATCCAGAGCTCAAACCAGGAGGCTTCAATCTCTTGCTCAGTGCATCCACCACTAAGCTACCGCACCTTCGCATGCAACTTACCATGTTGCATGAGAATTTAGCGGTTTTATTTTGTGGATTAGCGACTTTTTGCGGTTTGAGGGGTCTGAAAGTTTTGTTGGTGGACTAATTTTTGCGATTTTCAATTCAAGCTACAACAAATTTGAAGGAAAGAAAACGCAGTATTTAAACTTTTACTACTTTTTGAGTTACAATGCACTCTAAAGACATGTCAAAGAACTTACTCAATGACAGAATTAAACAAAAAAATTCCCTTCCCCAATCCCCGACATGAACAGCAAGAGGGTGTTTCAATACTGCGTCATGTAACCAAAAATATATCCCTGTTTATACCGAGCTGGTATCACAAGTTTATTGATAGGTTTATAAATGTGTCATACCCTAACGGTATATGCGTTTATTTTGCGTAGTCTGAGACTGTTCCAGTCATCTTACATCGTTTCCTTGTTTCAATTTGTAGTTCCTCACAGCAGAAGAAGCCCCAGAGGAACCACCGCCCGTCACTGACTCCGCCACTCTGAAACACTTCGCGAGAGAGGCTGAGGTACGCTGAAACTCTGAAGTGTGGTGTGATAGTTTATCATGTCACGCTGTATTCGAAAAATAACCTGTTTTGTCTGTTTTGTTTCAATGTGCTTCCTAAGATGTCATTATTGACGAATGCTTTTCTTCTTATCAAAAGGTGAACCAGAACTTTGAACTAGCAGCGAAATATTATCAAGAGGTAATAAAAATCTAAAATAGACAATTTAAAGATTTTATTCATTTACTAGCGTTCCAGCAGTATAACAGAGAAGCAAGTAGATCTGCCTAGATGTGACCACTGGATACCCCCTTCTAACCTTTCCACAAATGTCACTGTGCCCTAATAGGCCATTTCCGAATTACATTTGGCCTCATTTTCAAAGCGAGTACTGGTGCTCATTCCTTCATCTGATTATAAGTTTGCATTCACATGCAAATTAAACTCGTTTCCAGACGAGTGGTTGAGCACCAGTCCTCGTTTTGAGAAAAAGGCAAAAGGTAATTAAGAAATGGCCCATTCACATGTAATCCTCTACGGATTTGTTCAAATTGGTTAACTCCGGGAAACAACAGAACGACTTTAATTGTGTAAACCTCAAAATGCTGAAACATTCAAAAGCAAAAGTTTTGATCTCCAAAGTTTCTCACCGGAGCCTGGACCTGCGCGGAGTGGAAAAAGAGGCTCTTCAGGTGTTCAAACCTCCTTGCCCGCCTGCTCACTATTCTGAATTGCTCATTTGTTTAATTTGTTCCCGAAATCATTTCTTATTTAACTTTTTTTCCTCTTTTATCAGCGTTTGTCTCGTAACAAGAATGATCCTGATCACTGGTTTGATTATGGAGCGTTTTGCTTGCTCATTGGCGACTTTGGGAAGGTACGAATTCTAACAATGGTTATATTCGGGCGTCAAGTTTTGTCATGGCTCTTGAATCATGACGAATCGAGGCCTTTTCCAGAAACAAGAAAATCCTGAAGCTGAGAAAAAAAATCATACAAAGAATTTTCCGAGACCGTCATCAAAAACTGTTGAATGGGATTTCCTATAACATTAGCATAATAAGATCGATGGCTGCAAACTTCAATCATTCAAACTTCAATCGTTTGGTCAACACGTGTGTTAGAATCATGCGACTGGAAAGAGGGAAAGTTGATTTTTCCAACGTTTTGGATATAATCAGTCAGACCCCTGGAAAATTGTTTTAGGGTTAGGGCAAATATTGCAAAGGAATTACTAAAGTGATGTGTCTCTTTCTGTAGGCTGAGGAGTGTTTCAAGGAGACAGTAGCTATTGCGCAGAAACACGTACCAGGGTGAGTCGGATATCATTTTTCTTTACTGACCCTGAGTGTGCCAGGGATGTTTAGCCGCCCCAGTCCTCTCTCTACTGATCTAGCTTTCTCTTCACAGTCTTCTGATGCATGGCTGCATGTCTCTGATGAATGAGAAGTACGAAGAAGCCGAGACTTTCCTTGAAGCGGCAACATGTGCTGAGAGCAAGAACGTCATTGCATGGACCATGCTGGGTAAATATGTCATTATTTTAAGGAGCTCTCTTGTAAACTTTAAATCATTTGAGAAAAGGAAAGAATTGTCTTTCTGTAAGCTAGAATAAAAGCGAAAAAAGGAAGAATTAAAGACCAGCAGGTACTTACTAGTTTGACATTTTTGCACGACAGCGAGACTGTATCTTCATTCATGTTACAGGTTTGTACTATGACAGCATTCAAAACGACATCGGAGCTGAGCGTGCGTTTCTAGAAGCCAACCGCTTAAATGCGGCAACGTCGTCTTCTTCTGAACTGATAGCCCCAGTAGATGGACCGGGCGAGGTTGAAGATTCTGTTTCGGAGACTATTGCCGACGAACCTGCTGGAGAAGGGGCTCCTGGAACTGCTGTGTCTGAGGACCAGAAACTGCCTGAGGTCCATGGTATGTTTGAGGGTCTTTTTGTTTTGTTGTTTGTTTGCTATTGCTCCTTTTTTTGTTTTATTATGTTTTCCATTTTTCCTTTGCTTTATTTAAGAAATAGAGCATTCAATCGCGAAATATTTAATATTGCGTAGACTTAGCGTAAAGCTAAAAAACGTAAACCATGGTTAAGAAGCGACAAATGCTTTATCTCATAAGACAGCAAAATCCTAGAACTCTCAACAGCTCGAATAGCTTAGGGAAGGTTTTTCAAAACAAGTCGATCATTAAACAAGATGATAAACAGCCTCCACTGGCCAGAATTTTGGTCCAGTAAATGACAAACTTGCAGACTGTTTTGCATCTCTAACATCTAAATATCTAAATCTAACATTCGATTAACTATTGTCCACGGCTCTCTCCAAGGTTAACGTCAAGAACACACAAGCAACGCCGTATCACCAAATATGTGGCGGTTTAAACTTCTCTCTCACTCGGCAATAACATGCGGGAAGAATAGGCCAGCGGTTGATAGGTTGCGCATGCGTAAGGGATGACTATCGGTTGGTTTGAACTTAGGTCTGTAACTCACGGAATACAACTTGGATCTGAAAGCCTAAAAATACACCCTCGCTTTTACGATGTCAGCACACGCAGGCGTTTGAGCTCTCTGTTGACCTATTACTTCTTCCTGCTTGTCATTGTCACGTGAACAAGAAGTATAAATATCGTTACCTCCTTTTTTGAAGTGATTCGGCGATGTGCATAATGATAGGCCCGCAATGCGTGAATGATAGCTTCAAGAAGGTCCAAGAATAGAATAAGTGACAACAACTGTCTAAGAAGAGACAAGTGACAACAACTTTTTTCCAACAGCGACCGAAATTAAAAATTTATCAGCTTACTACACGGAATGTGAAAAGTGTATATAAAAGGAAAGTTATATTTGTTTTTCTTTAGTTGATGATGTACTACGTGAGGAGCCTGGGTCAGCGAGTGGAGAAACCATCGCCCAACCTTCCGCCCCGCCAACTGCAGCCCTCCCCCATCTGTAGTAATCAGTTCTGCAACGCCTGTTGGGAAGCTTGGAGTGAAACCTCAGACCCAGTCTACGACACAAATGACATCCAAACAGAGCTCGCGTGTTCCAAGTCCTGCCGGCTCAAACCGCCAATCACCTCCTCCGACGGAAACTGACCCTGTAGCGCCTGCAGAGGAGAAGTCAGCGGAGGTCAAGCCGAATGATAGTATTTTCTTACAAGTGGCTGCTTTCTTGCTGGAAGTAAATGCTCTACAGGTAGTGTTTTGGTGGTTTTTCTAAGCGGTAGTGATAATGTTTTTGCGTTGCTGTTGTCAAATGTTTGCTCTACAACCCGGTCTGAAATGTTGGACACACTGGTCACCAATGGGACTGAGAATTAATTGTTCCTCACTATAATTCTAATGCTGGTCCCCTGAAGGCAACTATTTTGAACTCTTGTGGATGTTCTTCTCGTAAATCAGCAATCAACACCCAAGAAGGAAACAAATGTTATCTTTTGCTGCGGTCATCTGAACTTAGCCGGTGATCGTTCAAGCGTTTTAATGTGTTTTATGCAATGAAACGTCTCTAGATTTTTTTTTTTCAGTTCGAAGTGAACCAAAAGAAGGAAGATAAGAATCAGAATTTATTGGTGACGAAAATGATTATTCCCTTTGGCGATTAAAGCTAAATTTGTCTAAATTCCTCTAGGTGCTCGTATAGATAAACTTAACTTCGGACTATGGACATGCAGCCTTGTTACCTAACACACCAAATGTAGCGACCTTTTTTATCGCGGTTTTCTTTCGATCCCACTCTGGGTATTTTGTTGGTTGGAATTTAAAATCCTTTCGTAATAGAAGCAGTAGGCTCGTGAATAGTGAAGTTCTACGCTTATGCCCTGGCTGGGACCAACACACTGGGGAAAAACACACTGTTAGTTTCTTTACCCAACCACTCCCCGTTGTTTCAATGAACGTTTGTATTTTTGTTACTGGGTACCAGCTGACGGACGCGGCATTGGCGCACGAGTTGGTGGCAGCCAACGGAGAGCCTGGAGCGAGATACTATGTGCTTCTTGGGAGGCTGAAGATACAACAGAGATCTTTCATCGGGGCTGAGGAGAATCTTAAACAAGCTGTCATGTTGAAGCATCAGGTGATTTGCGTTAGGGGCTTTGTTGGAGTTAGTTTCAATACATTTGTGTGATTTGCTTTTAGTTTCCAACTTGGTAGAACAACAGCATGTGTGTTCTCTTCTCTTAGATTTTATCCCTGGAATTTTTCGAGAAATCTTTGAGAGTTTGATTTTGTTAACTTTTCGAGTTTGCATCCCCCATTTGTCTCCCTCGCCGCAGCCGTCTTGCAATAAGTCAAACTGAAAAAAAAAAAAAAAAAAACAAAAACGAAAACGAAAACAAAAAAAGCGTCGGGTAACTTTTGTTAAAAAAATTCTAACGGCTGTGAAATAGACTATTGATGTTTTGGCCCATTGAGCTGAAAACTTCTTGCTTTACAGAAAGATTTACTATAAGCATGAAAAATGTAAACGTGCCTGCGACTTAGAAACTACAATGCGGACAGTGTGTGAAAATGAAAACCCTCTGGAATAGGGAGGCATGTTGTCTTATTGAGTGTGATTGAAATTTACGCAGTACCAAACGCTGAAGTTTGTCTCTTTATTCGATATCAGAACCCAGATGCTTGGGGCTTGATGGGACACCTCTATTATTTGACAAGCCGCACTGAGGAAGCTCAGGACTGCTATGAGAGAACACTGGCCTATACAACCGAAGCCTCAGACATGCACGCCATCTATTTGAGACTTGCCTCGATTTACTTGGAGAAAGGAGAGGTTGGTGCAACGTTACACTATCTAAGTTTTTAGTTGAAAAGCTTTCGATTCACCGCTTGTATCCCATTCTTTTGTCCACTTTCTATGGTTAGCATCTAGAAGGTTTCACTATTCTTCTATGTTTTATGTTTGACGTTTAATGTTTGACATTTGACGTTAACGTCTGACGTTTGGAGTTCGACGTTTAATATTTGACGTTCAACTTTGACGTGTAACTTTTAACATTTTGACGTGTGACACTTCATGGTTGACATCTAATGTTTGACTGGGACGTTAAAATTTTGACATTTTACCTTGTTGGTTGTCTCCTCTCTTCAAATTCAGTTTGATAAAGCGAAGACAACCTTCTTGAAAGCCTGCATTCGCTCGCCTTCCTGTGTTTCGTGGCTTGGAGTTGGAATTGCGTGTTACAGGGTAAATACTGTAAACAACTTTACTGAGATACCACTCTGTGTTTATTAAAAATTCCCCTCTACTCTTCTGTACCCGCGCATGTATCATTTTGCACAAGTTATTAAATTGACTTACTACGAGAAAAGGTTTTATTGGTATCACACGATTGTAGAAGAGATTAAGCTTGAATCTTTGAATGACTTGCTTTGCAAAACTTAAACGTCAAGCGTTCTTTGCCCACAAGGAATGAAACAAATTATTGCGATGTTATAAATATACCATACTTTGTCATATTACTTTCATTCGGATTTGCGACTGCCGTACACCACGTAGACTGTATGTGTTAATCACTGACTTTTGGGATCGTGGCCAGAAATTTGACGTTGCGAATTGGCGTTGGAATTAGTGCTTTGATCGAAATCATTTTATCCTGACTTCCACCCTTGATTTATTTTAGCTGGAAGATTTGGCCGAAGCCGAAGACGCTCTTTCTGAAGCAAATATATTAAACAACAAAGACGCCGAAGTATGGGCTTATCTGTCCTTGGTGTGTTTACAGGTAACTTTAAATCAAATTCATATTTCTGTAAGATTTTAGGATTTGCAAAAGTAGAACGACTCTTTTTTTCTCGCTTTCCTTCCAGTTCTTCCGAGCATGGTCTAAAGGCAAGCTAAGTTATTGTGTAATCCTTTGTTCGAGCTAGACACAGACTCTTGCGGAAGAGTGAATACTTTACCCTGCGTAACATTATTCAGTAACACTATTGTGTCGTCTAGTTTTCTGGCGCTAGTTTACTGGCGTGTTTCTATACGTTTGTGCGCCACTTTAGATCGCTTAAGAGCCTGGAAAGCATTTTGATTTAGGAAAATCTTATCCTCTGTCTATATTTTCTTGTAGACCGGTCGACAGCTGGAAGCCGAGCAGTCGTACAAGTACGCTCTGAAGGTAAAAAGCAATTTATCAACCGTCTTGCCGTTGTGTAATCTGAAAGAAAGCTTCTTGGATTAGGCTACTTCAGGCTGATAAGCCTCCTTTTCTTTAAAGACCCCTTTTTAAATGTTTTCTTCCCTTTTAAAAGCCACCTCATTGAACTCCCTCCCACTCTTGAAGAAGCCTTTTTTCTGGAAATCCTGGACATCAACGCCTACTGACAATTTAATCCCCACAATTATCTAATTTCTCCCCACGGTATCACCCATGTATGAAACATTTAGGTCATAAAAACAAAAGGAATGGGCACCGAGCTAAGCAGAATATGCTTACTGACGTTACGGTAGAAAGGGCTAGCCTCGAGACCTGACAAACGAAGTTGAACACTTTCGTAGGATTTTAATGTATTTTGTACAACTTTACAGCTTCGACATCAATCCCCCATTTAGAGCTAAATGATTCTCTAAGTTAGGGAGAAAATATGTATGGTTGATCTTTCCTCTTTTTCTATTTGCAGTTAAATCTACAAGACAAAAACCTGCTAGGAGAAATTCATCAATTGCAACAAAAAGTCGGCTTTGGAAATCCGATGGTGGCCTAGAATTTTTTTTCAGTGCAGTTAGTTTGTTCCATTTTTTGTACCATTGACATCTCCATCGAATGTTCTTTTCAAAAAAAATAGTGGAATGCGCATAGCTTGTTGTTTTTATGTACACACTTCCTTGTTTTGTTTGGCCTTTATTTATTTGTTTGTTTGTTTTTTATGATTATTGTAAAATGGAGCGAGAGATGTTATGATTTGTAATCTCTCTTTTTCCAGAGTAAGCGGATTTGTACAGTTAACTCTGCGCTCTTTGCGCCATTCTAAACGGTAACTTTTTAAAGTCGTGGATGTGTCCTCCCAGCCTCGTGCATGTGTGGTGTATTTTAAGGGATGTCATTTATTAATATCGTGTTAGATCTCAAATCTCGACTTGAAAGTGCTGTAAAAATCCGTCTGAAACGTCTTCAAAATATGAATGTATGTGCTCAGTTCCATTTTATTTTTGTATGAAGATTTACTTCAAAACTAGAATTCTGAGTGAGGATTTTGAAGGCAGTTTATTCTCCATAGGCGTTTATAACATAGCGCGTAAATTTGTCTAATCAAATTCAATTGCCCGAGCGTGCTTCATATTCCTATTGTGCACGCTCGTGACGTCAGCAAACAAATCCCTCGCGAAAAAAAATTTTCCATCGGGTTAAAAATGTTATAAAATAATTGGTTCATACATCAGCTGTGCGATCATCGAGATATGAAGCACTTGGGAAGTTTGGAGAGCACTCAAGAAGCTAGAGTTGCTCTCGGCTACACCTCGAGCGACTCTTACGCATCTTTCGTGCTCTCCAAACTTCCCGCGTGCTTCATATCTCGATGAACGCACGCTGAGGTAGGAACCAACTGTTAATTAACGCGAAAGGATAGTGGAAGTATTTACATCAGAAATACCAGTTTGCCACCGTCAAAATAAAGTAATAGCTGGTGACCATGGAAATCTTGACTGAACTGAACTACAGTTTCAGGGCAAAAGCTTCCTTCTCCAAAGAGTGAATTTAAAACAAAATCCTCCATTCAGTCATGAATGCGGCTTATGCTGAATTCTAAGATTCTGAACACTGCACCGCCTCATCATATTGTCTTTTCTCAGCCGCCTTCCATCTTTAAGGCATGGGAGGTTGTAGGAGGGAAAAGAAAATCAACACTAATGCAATCCAATTTGAAAACCTTCTAAGCCACTCCTTAATTGTTGAGGTAGCACAACAATTAATCCCTTGTTGAAGAAAGAGTCACTCATTAGAAAGGTTCAAGAAAAAAAGCATCATGATTACACCAATTGTAGTCTCACGTGAGTAACTTTGAGACGCGGTTTAGAAGAACAGCATCGGTTGTTTGACGCCAGCTCGGCTCATTAGGTTCATAATTAAAACATTGTGGTATACAAACATCAACTTACGCCAAATAACTTTGAGCTTCCACAGTGACATATTCGACCTGTCATATGCTTAAATTAAGGCAATAACTGACAAAAGATAATCGAGTGAAAGCACCAGTTACTAAGATACCTAAAAGTTTTTACTTTGAAAATCATATACTTTTTCTTCCATCCAATTTATTTCTTTACTTCACCTTTACACCACACGACTATTGGCTTCCACAAACACATCCGTTCAACATTATTAGGAGACCAGTTTTTTTACAGAGATACCTTTAATTTCATTCCTTAAAATTGATACCTTTCTTCAAGTGACCGGTATGCACCATTCACGTGATTACTTTGAAATAGGCGTCTATATTAATCAGGGTGTAACAATGGATGGTAATTTGATCCACTCCGCAGTTATTCACGAGAGGGCTTTGGCTGTTTCTAGAATTTTTACATTCACGCAAATTATTCTATCACTAGTATAACTACAGAACAGTTTAAAATAAAACTTTCTCTGAGCAAAATTACAACCTTAAAGATATCATTTCTCCGTCTGAACTTTAAGATTAAAATAAAAAACAGAATTTGGCTGAGAGACAGTCAATATTTGCTGGTCTAACGATCTCACTGTTATTTTATATACTGAACACAATCTGTTTCATAGAACCAATTGAACTTCCACAATCTTAAACACTCCGAAGGTACCCGGGCATTAGATGAAATAGGGGTAAAGCTAAATAAGGCTAATGGATAAAGTTATAAACAAATCATCTTGAACTTCCACTGAATGATTCAAGGAAGACACGCCTCGTTTCATTTTCAATTGAAAAACATAGGCATTGGAATTTTAAAGACGTTCTACCCTGATTTGTGCACAATTTCATTTTAGGGTTAAAATTTGATGAACTCTTCAGAAACAATATCTTTATCAATATATTTTTTTTTTAGTTTGTTCGCTTCTGGAGCTTGTTTGAAATGGAAATAACTGCTTTGACGCGGAGCAGAAGTCCCTCTGTCGAGTACATAAATATCACAGAGCACTTGTTTACAACTTTGGAAGAAAGAGCAAAGCGTCGTTCGGAAGTAATTATCGCAAAGACCTTAACACAAAGGGAAGTTTTAAAAAAAAAACAGAAAACAGGCAAAACAGACCAATTAAGAACACAAAGAACCTTTGAATAAATCCATTATTTTACAAGGGAAAATAATTTATTTTTAAACATCTTAAAAGTTCTGCAAATATCTTTACTATTTGACAAACCTACTGGTCGAGTTTAATTGGTAGTTGGGATTAATCATTAGAGAGCCAAATTTTAATTCATTCACTTGGCGTCGATTCAAATTATCGGAAACTTTGTGATCACAATGTATATCTCAAAAGGTTAAAACGAAGGTTCAAACGTCTTCCTGTTTGTAAGCTTGGTAGTTTGTTGGATAAATCTTCCTTTTCCGGCGAGAAAACAAAATAATGATCAATACTCAGGCAATATAATTTGAAAATGAGCAGTACGCCTCGTGAATCATTGATGTGACATATAAATACCTGCCAGAGGGAAAAATCACTATGTGGAAAAATAGCGAAAAAAAAAGCACGGTTTGAATTTTTTTAGTAGTCTCACGCGAGTAACTTTGTGACGCGGCTCTTGAAAACTGCGTCGGTATTTTGGGTTCACAAACAGAAAAATAACTGACGCCATGCATGTTTCAGATTTTATAAAAATTCATTTGACACAAACTCAAGAATGCTGATCTGGTTAAATTAGCCTTATATCCTAACATTTACATCGAAATTCCTGTCCTCTTTCGATTGGCCAGTGGACTTCATTACTTGATGTGTGCACATTTGGTACTCTTAGACTTTTCAGCACATGTTAATGTGATCCACATGGGATTAGTTTATGAAGGGAGCGGGGAGGTATAGTCTTCACATTAGAGTCTCGGTTCAGAAGGAAATGAAAATGAGGTTTTTTTGTTTCCATTCATTGAAATTGCAAAATGGATTACAGTAGGGGCTCGGTTATCTATCTTCTGCAGCTGGACTTTGACGATCCAGAAAAATTAAAACCCTGAGAATGTTATTACTAGGTCATGCATCCCACTGAATTCCACTTTTTTACAGTTGACCAGTCACAGTGTCGTTAATTATTTGTAGTTTTGACAACATTACACAATGAAAAGATTCTAAAGTTGCTTAATGTAAGTTTCACTTGGTTAACCTTTTTATTGCAACTATAACAATAAATTTACAAAGCGAGACACGTATCAATATATTGGCTGTTAAAAATATGAAACAAATAAAGATAGAAAATTCGAGTCTGTTACACAATCAGCCCTTCTTGAAAATATATTTACAAAACCTCCGATCATTTCGTACAAAAAGGGAAAATCCCTTAAAGACGTGCTTGTGAGAGCAAAATCATAGTTTGAAGGCAATAATGCGACGCGACCACAAAAGCCACATGGGGAGTCCTTGCCGGTCTGTCTTTACCTTTATTCTCATGTTAATACACATTTGATATAAAATCCTCGAAATGAATGGAATATAGTTCGGACTTAGCTTCCAAAGTCTCAAACTCACTGAAATAAGTTGACATGAACTTAGATAAAAACGTTGATAACATGTTGTGTAGAACTTTCTAATAGTTTAAAATAGACAGACACTGTTCCCTTTCATTCCAATGATAATAATATAAAAAAAATTAATGAATGGCCGGGGGGGGGGGGCTTACACTGGTATCTGTGTTCGTTTTGAGGTTGAAGTTTGAATTTCACAACAATGAGACCATGCACTTTCATTCTGTTCAAAACCTTGGACTTAACTGGTAGAGACATTTCTCACAACCAAGGGAGCTGCAAATGGAACATTCTTTTCGACTGATTATGTCAGCAGACACTTAGAGTGTCGCTTAAATGCATCTAGGCTGTCAATTTCAACAGACGCATTCATTGGAGCAGTTGACAGGTGTTGTAAAAGGACGCCCCGTGAAAACACTGACAAACAAAGAAAGACACTCAAGTACTCAAGCAAACAATGAACTTTAAGCCTCTTTGATCAGATTGATAACCATCTTATAGCTTTGCACATATCTTCAGTGCACCAGAAACTCATTGCATCTCGTACAGTGTGGTTCATTTGACGTACAATTATTTATAAAATCTTGTGCGACTGCAAACTCGAGCGAAAGTAAGAGAGGCAGTTATTATTCGTTCTTCTCTCGTTTTTCAGTCGCTTTTGCTTTATATCAATACATTGTTTTTTACTCATTGGTTTTTGTCTTTCAGAAAATCATGACTGCTTTGTTTCGTTTGTGTTTGATCTTGGTTTTGTTGGGAGCTGTTCAAGTACTGGGTGCACGGCGTGGCCAAAGTCACAGACATATGAGCCGTCTGCATTCTTATTTCAAGCGTCAGCATGGTGAGCTTTTTGCTATTAATCAAGTGAAGTCAAAGATTTGTATAAGATTAAGGGTAAGGCTACAAGGACGTGTTCATACTTTTGTTTCCAGTCGTCATCTGTGGCTCGTTGCTTGGTAGCGGAGTATGTGTAAAACACAGTGAGCCTTGCCCTCCCTTCTCCAATGAGGAATGTAGAGATCACCTATGTCTATTTGGCTCAGGAAAGCGCTGCTGCTGCCCTGGTGCAGGGTAAGTATATAATGATTTGTATACCTGTTGGACAGTTTTATATATGATCCTGACTGTAAAGTTTCGTATCATTTCGCTTATATTCTTACATACACTGAAGGTTCCCTTCGCATTTTCAACGTATCAGCGATGTGATTATTTCTGAAGAAAATATAAACATGTGTGTGTTTTTTTAATCGTCTCTCTAAATAACCCTTTTTTTCCATTTTTTCCAGCAAACGATAAACCTTTTTGATGATGAGAATGTTGCCTGGTTGGCTCTCCAACCGTAGCGACAAAATAACGAGTAGCAACGATAAATGCAGATGAATTGAAGCTGGACAAAGCGGAATCTCTTCTTAGAATGCAGTCACTTTTAAATTGTCTCAAAAGGGAAAGAGCTTTTCCACAACTAGCGATAAAAAATAAAAGCATTTTTATTGCATATGAATGCTTGTCTGTCATCTTTTCTTTCATTAAAACTACTCCAAATATAACTCTTGCCGACGAACCGTAAATTATTTGTCTGTTGGAAGCGAAACACATGTTCAAATATCCCTTTGATAAATTGAATGCTATCAGTATAGTGGGCTATTGAAAAGATACATTTTTGTATTTTAATCAGGCCCTGGTTTTTCGAAGGATAGAACACGCTCTCCACTGAATAAATCTCAATGTGACAGATAGCGTAGCGGAACTAGTCCAAGATCTTTTTCTCTTACACACGTGCATAAATGCGTACTTCCTTAAAGCAAGATATGCAAATATTCATAGCGCTGATAAATCATATGACTCATGAGCTGTCTTTCGAGAAATACGTGTTTGTTTTGGCCGTTGTTTTGAATTAATGTTTTCAAAGAAATGAGACCTTTTATCATTGAAAAACCAATCCAAAGTGACTTATTATGGATTGTAAATATTCCGAATAAAAAAATAAAATTACATTTTAAAGACAAGTCACCGAAATTCAGTTTTTAACTTTAGCTAAGATGTGTCACAAAGGTTATGATTAGTACATATTACTGATAAGAACACTCGATGAACAACCAACAAATGATTGAGTGGATGAGACCTGAATCAATCTAGGCTAGTCTTTGGTTCTTTGAGCATCTCAAACGCACTGAACTTAACCGACAAGAACTTAAAATAACGGAATATGGATGCATGTAGTGTATGCTATGAAATACTGTACACAACTTTCAAATAACGCAGTCTAAGAAGACTCATCACATTTCCATTTTCGGATAAATGCAAGAACATTTCATGAAATTAATAGCTCACTTTTGAGACTCGACTTTAATGAAACTGTATTTTAGAATTATGCAATTCTGTTCTTTAGTGAACATGCTATTAAAGGATCTTTCGAATTAACTCTTCCATGGAAAAGACGATGCGAGCGCAACTCATAGCTTTGTGTGAGAAGTAAACTTACAGTTTCGACACTCATCAAACACGACACGGGATACTCAGATCAAAACTCGAAAGTCTCGGCAGCTACTAATATTAACAGCCCCAACACCAATGCAAACTATGCAGTTCCTTTGGGCATGGAAGGAAAAAAAGCCTCTTGAATAAGTCACAATATTTCCGTTTTTTTTTTCGATCCCCAAGGGTTCAATTCATTAACGGGTCTTAGATTTCAATTTCGGTGTCGCCAAAGTTAAAGCTGTATTTGTTTTGTCTCAAGCATTCTAAAAGAGTAGGGTGAGAAAATAGCGAGAATGTACTCAAATACGGAACACAAAGTATATTGCATCGGAAAGATCGGAAATAGCGCGTTTTAACTTCAAAGACAACCTAATTGAAATCTTTAATAAAGTTGGCGAAAGTACAAATTGTCCTCAATAATATTAATTGGGAATTTTCTATTGTTAGTTTCTTTGCATTTTCTCATGCTTTGAATGGATAGGATCGATTTCAGTAAGAAAAATTTCAGTGGAAAAACTGTTAATTTCATTCTGTTTAGAAGCGTTTGGGTAAGATAACCATAAATATCTTTTGACGGAAGTCACTCGTAAGAAAAAAAAAATTGGAGGATCTTACTTGAAGAAACACCCGCTTCGCAGCAATAGCTGTTGACTTAAAATTGCCATAAATAAACAGTTAACATTGAAAAGTCAGCTAGTGTTTGATAATCCTACGAGTACATCTGAAGGCTGAAATAACAAACATTTCGAAGGGAAAACGAAAGAAGAACTGATTGCTTTGAATCCTCCAGTTTACAGTGCACTTCCTTACGATGAACAACACCTCGTCTCCTTACTTAATCTGCATCAATGCGGAAATTAAGAATGGATTTACAAATTGCACTAAGAGCAATGCAACGGTTTCCCTTCCTATCAAAAATATTGGAAATCAAGCTGTGGCTCAAGAACCGCTAATTTCAACGGTTTTCAAAGTGCTGGCCTTGGTGATTGTCATAATACTTTCGCTTGTCGGGAATTTTCTCACAATCGGCTCAATTTACCAAAACGTGAACAAGCGGATGCGAACTCTGAGTAACTACCTGATTGTCAATCTCAGCATTGCTGATCTGCTTATTACTATATGTAATATGCCTCGAATGATACTTATTCTCCTGGTGGGTTTTGAGTGGCGCATCGGGGGCAACTTTGGACTTCTCCTCTGCAAAATAACCAGCACTGTTCCTTCGTTATCTTTGCTCGTTTCCACATCGAGCTTTGTGTTCATCGCTTTGGATAGATTCCTTGCCGTATTTTTTCCGCTGCGACGCCCCATGACCAGAAATGTTATGGTTGCAATAATCGCCTTCACATGGATTCTTCCATGTTGCAGTTATTCTTTGCTATTCCACTACGCAACACTGAAAAATATATACGGAAAGACATATTGTGTCACTTCTATCCAAACAGATCTCTTGAAAACCCCAGAATTATTTCGTACCTTCTTTATCCTCGATTTTATCATCATGTCTGGAATTCCCATCGCTGCTACCACAATTTTATACTCGGCTATTGGGCTTAAAATGTGCACTCGAGTAACCCCTGGGATTCAAACAGCTTCCAATGCCGCCCGGAATCGTATGGTCAGTCGTAAAGTGATATCAATGCTCGTTGCAGTCCTTATAGTATTTTGCATTTGCTGGATACCAACCTGGGCTTCCTTGGCCTGTCTATATTTGCCACAAAGGGGATTCTGCAACAGTTATGACTTCTTTTACTTCAAGTTTTTCATGTCATACTTTAACAGTGCGGTGACGCCTTACATCTACCCTGTCTTTAATCAGAACTTCCGTGAAGGATATCTGTACATTCTGAGGCAAATTACTGGGAGTTGCTGTTTATGGAAGATGTGCCGCTGCTGCAGTTATGCTCAAGTGCTCCCTCAACAGGAAGAAAAGCCAGGCACAACTTCGATTAGAACTGAAAGATTGTGTTTAAACACAACTGAGCTCTGATGTAAAAAAAATCGATAGGATTACTTCAGAATGCTTGTAATTATCTGATGGGACTCTTGACGAGGTGCTTAATTGCAATTTGAAAAACATGAGAGGCCCGGAACAAGCAAAAAATAAATAGATAAACATAAAAAAACCAAAATTTCCATAATAAGAAAGACTAATGGAATATTATATTCTCCTGATAAAGCAGGATAAGAATAAAGCAAAAAAAAAGCCAAAAGGGAAAAAGGGAAATGTGTTGATTTCCACGGGTCTTTTATTCATGCATATTCATGTAAGTAATATTTATCAATTATGTTATGTATATTATTATTATAAGAGAGGTAGCATCTGCTCACTATAACAGACAAACGAGCTACTTATAAGAAAATTATGAAGCTCCTTATAGTCGAAAATAAAGAATTAATTATCTGTGAGTCTGAATGGAAAGTTTATTGACGATTTTGAAGAACTCTGGTGGCGTTAAAGAACATCGGTGTTTGTTTTCTTTTGTTTTAATTTTCTAAAGTATTAAGGTTATAAAAGGAAATAACTCCTAAGAAAGATCTTTTTTGCCTCAAGAAAGAGCACGCGCCTACGCGATTTTTGAAAGAGTGTATGATAATGCTCAGAAGATCACAATGCTTTTGGAGACTCCTGAGTGCACAAATATTTGTTTTGTTTCAATTTTCTTTTTCGATAAGGCATGAAATCGATAATGATGTTTTTTCAAAACTGAGAACACATTCAATAGCAATGAATAAATTAATAAAAGGTATTAAATAAGGCAGTTAAATTATGATGAAAACATTATTAAGAACTCTTTTAAAAGTGCGGCAATAGATGAAGCTAACAGTTCTGCTCTTGCTTTTGCGTGCCGTGCCGTGCTCTTGCTTTTAACGTGCCCGTTAAATTTTGTTAAGGGTGGCCACAATGATATAAAGGTCAAAAATAAACTATGTGTGACGCCTTAGTAAATCAATGTTTTTGTTTGTTTGTTATATTTTTTTATTTTTAATATTCTCATTCGATAAGGCGCGAAATCGGTGAAGATGTCTCATAAAACTAAATACACATTGAAAGCGTGAAAGAAATGAACAAAATGTCTAGAATAAGGTAATTAAACTTTGATTGACAGCACGATTAAAAACTACCCTTAAAAGTTGGGCAACAGATAAAGCTAAAAATTATCATTTTGCTTCTCACAGTGTAGCAAATGAAAATTATTTGCTTTTAAGAGTTAATGATGTAACGGTAAAAAATATAGATGATTCAACATCTCTAAGCTCGGTTTCCATAACTTTGGTGTCGCTTTAAGTATATTAGTGTTTGTTTTGTTTCAATTTTTCTATTCTATAAGGCTAGATATCGGTCATGTCGTCGCTTTAAACTGATAATACATTAAATAACGTTGAAGAAATCAATAAGAGGTCTGGAATAAGGCAGTTAAATTCTGACAACATGATTATTTAACAACTCCTTTAAAGTTTGGCAAGCGATGAAGCCAACAATTAACATCTTGCTTTGTGTTGACGTATTGCTTGTCCTCACCATCAAAGCCATTCAATGTAACTCATATCTTTATTTTTTCTCGAGCTTTGAAGTCTGTTAAGCACTAACAGCTTGAGTGCAAAAGTCAATAGAAAAAGTGTTCTCAGCAAAAAAGTTAATATACCTATGATAAGTTCTTTGAAGTTTTTTGAAGGTTTACTTGGTTTCAACGAATGATTAAATACAGATATGATGTCTTCTTTTGATAGAAGTGAGCTGCCAAGACACAAAGACTATCGTTTCACAAGAACAACGGCTTAATAACTGTTTTCATATGATTGTCATTAAAGAGCAGTTACCGTTGTAATTGCAACCACAGTTTAATATTCTGTTGACAACATCTGTTGGCTGAACTAGCAGCTTTTCAAGTAACAAGACGGGAAGAAATTGTGTCGAGACCTTTGTTTAAACGTTGTCTTTCGAGCAGTGATCATGAGTTTCGCCATCCATGCATTTGCTGAATCGTTTTCTTTATTTTCGGATGTGTCGAATGGATCTTCAAATTGGACAAACAGCAATGCTACGGTTCCTCGACCATTCCACGATTTTTAAAGTTCTAGCTTTGGCAATCGTCATAATTCTATCCCTGGTCGGGAATTTCCTCACAATTTCCTCAGTTTATCAGAATATGAACAGACGAATGCGAATTCTGAGCAACTATCTGATTGTGAATCTAAGTGTGGCGGATCTGCTTGTTACTGTATGTAACATACCACGTATAATTTCCATATTGTTGGTGGGTTACGAGTGGTTGATAAGAGGAAAGTTTGCTCTTTTCTTGTGTAAAGTCACCAGCGCTGTACCTTTTGTTGCTCTGCTCGTTTCTACTTTGAGTTTTACGTTTATCGCTTAGGATAGATTCTTAGCAGTATTTTTTCCACTCCGACGCCCCATGACCAGAAAAATTATGGTTGGAATAATCGCCTTCACATGGATTCTGTCATGCTGTTGCTACGCTCTGGTATTCCATAACGCAACACTGGTAGAAATAAATGGAAAGACATATTGTGCTAACCGTATTGTGAGAGATCTTTTGAAATCACAGGAAAATTTCCGTACTTACTTGATCTGCGATTTTATTCTCGTGACTGGAATACCGATTGCTACGACCACAATATTGTACATCGTAATTGGGGTGAAAATGTGCACTCGAGTAACTCCAGGGAATCAAACTGCCGCCAATGCTGCCCGGAATCGTACAGTTAATCGTAAGGTGATATCTATGCTTGTTGCAGTCCTCATTGCATTCTGCATTTGTTGGATGCCAACTTGGGTTGCCTTGGCCTGTTTGAATGTGCCACCACCGAGAATGTGCCACAATGATGACTTCGCTTACATCAGGTATTTCCTGTCCTACTCAAACAGTGCAGTGACACCGTACATCTACCCTGTTTTCAATCAGAGTTTTCGAGAAGGTTACCTGCATGGTTTGAGGCAAATTGCTTCATGCTGCTGTTTTCAGGGGATTTGTCAACGCTGCAGCAATAATCAAGTGCTCCCGTCAGAAGAAAGAACGACAGCTACTACTGCTTCTAGAACGGACAGAACGCGCTTTAATACCACTGAGCTGTGAGATCCTAATAAGAACCTAATAACATATGCAAGACAAAAACTAATATAAAGATCCTAAGTTGAACTTTTGAAGAGCATTTTAAACACTTTGAGATTATCTGAGTTTCTAATGTATGACGGTAGCTTATTCCACAACTTGCAAGCTATAAATGGAAAGGATTTATGCATCCACTTGACAAGCTTAGCGGAAAGTTAAACCGACACGAGTAACTTAGTCCTTTCAAAGATCGTATCTCTGCCAATACTGTCCATAGGGATTTACCTGATGGTAGTAATAGGATCGGCCTTACCCTGCAACCAATTTTTGTCAGTAGAAAACTAGACCTTACAAGATCTTAGGCCAAAGGAAGTCAAGCCTTCCATTGTGAATCAACAATGAGTTGTTCACCACTTGTCGTGTGATCTGTGCGATGCAGATCATGTCGATGACACAGCCCGACACTGTTGTATAACGCGTTGCTGAACAGTAAAATAAACAAAAAAGAAACAACAACAAAATAATCAAAGCTTTAAATTTCGGGTGGAATTACACGCGCCAACTCCCCGCATGGTGTTGTTTGACAATTGGGCATAAGCAAGAGACCATAAGCTCGTGGACAAAAGTAACAACCTTCCTATCGATCCACTAGAGTCCTTTATTTGCTCAGATGCTCTTTGATATTTGATACTCCAACTTAAGGCTGTTGGCAATTAGGCTAACAACAAAGCGAGTTAGGCCAGAATTGATTAAAAAAAAAAAGGGAGTGCCTCAAAGGCCGACAAGGCGAAATTTGGAAACTTTTGTGTTCGAGCGAGTGGGCAGTTGCTATTCGCCTTTGGGGGTAGCAATTTGAAGAGATCCGTCAACTTTTATTGAATTTATTGGCCCTCGAGTGGCGACGGTTGGTTCTCAGGACCGCTTCCGACCTTCCTTCCCCACCGCACAACACGCGGTTGTGCGGTAGGGAGTCGACAAAATAGCGTTAAAACGGTCGGAAGCGACAAGGCGGCAACGGAGTAAAGGTAAGGAGAATTAGCACGTTACATTTCTTGTTTCATTATCATTTCTATTTGTTTGTACTTTTTTTTTCTTTTTTTCTGCTCTTAAAATTCATTTTCTACTCCTGTTGATGACCTTTAAACCTAAAAATCTCACAGTGTACCCTAGGGCCGCCGCGCTTAGACCTCTCACGCTAAGTGACCATACACCACAGCCCTTATACTCCGCTGGCTGTAGAGAAACAAAGGCCTGAAAAACATGGCGGATCTTTCGAAAGATCTCTCTCTCACATTTCGTATTGCAGAACCAAGCGATTTTGACGAAATTATAAGGTTATCAAATGAAGTTTTCCCAAGTGGAAATGACTATCTTCCGCACAAGATCAATAAGTGGCTTCAGATGAACAATTTGGCCATATTGCTTGCATTTGTCGATGAGAAGTTAGTCGGGTTACAAGCTTGCTTCATCGTGGATGAGGGACAAACATTTGTTCGTCAGGCGATGCGGTTCGCTCCAGACTTACAAGGCAGAGGTCTCTCGCGAAAACTTTCGCAAGCCATGGATGCCTACGTTCGGAAGAACTTCCCAAGTGTTCGGAGGTTGCGTTTTTCGAACTATGTTTATCGCGAATACTCGTCTGCTACGAAGATGGTTCTAGAGTTGGATAAGTTAGGGTACAGAGTGGAGCACTTACCGCTTGATCCTCACATGCCTTGCTCAGTGAAAAATTCAGAGCTCGTTTCATGTTCTAAGAAATATTTCTCAGAAGTCATTCTGTCTCGCGCATTTTCACACAAACTCTTCCCACTTAATGTCCTAATTGTTGACTGGTGCCCTTTCGAGGCTCTCTGTTCAAATATCGATTACATTTTACAAGACGACGATTTATTACTGACCGAGAGATGTGACGAATACGAGATGCCGAGGTCTTTTAGCTTTGGTCGGCTGTCACCGAAAGCAAAAGTTAAGGAGTGGATCGTGTCAGTGTACACTGACGACCCAAGGCTATTTGAAGCTCATGTTATTCAACACTACTACCACGCTTGCAAGATTATCAAGGAAGAATTTACTTTTGTGTCTTTCCATGACAAAGGGCTGAGGAACCTTGGAAAAAAGACACTGGAAGAGAAACTAAACTTGCAGCATGATGAGTTTTATATGAATGAATCTCTTTTCTTGTATGAAAGGGATTTTGGTATGATAGATTCAGGCAATGTTTGTGAGGGAAAACAACTGTGAAGGACACAAATAGAATTATTTCAAAACTCAGCATTGCTAATGTGCAATGATAAAGTTATTTAAATATTTATTTAGTTCTCAACCACAATTTTTTTCATTAGATAGCATTTTCTGTTGCACTGTCACTGTGCAATCACCTGAAAAATGTGGTGAGCATTCAAACTCCTAGGTTGCTATGATGTTTGAAAGTGAAAGCCCATTGTGTATGCAGGAATACTGAAAATAAATTAATAGCTGGTGACGATGGAAATCTTGATCGAACTGAGCTACTGTTTCAGGGCGAAAGCTTCCTTCTCTAGTGAGTCTAATTCATCAGCCATGAACACGGCTAATGCTGAATTCTAAGATTCTGAACACCCCACCGCCATATAAAATTGTCTGTTCTTAGCTGCCTTCCATCTTGAAGGTATCGGAGGTTTTTGGAGGGGAAAAAATTAACACTAGGGCGATACAATTTGGAAACCTTCTAAGCCACTCCTTAACTGTTGATGTAACATAATAATTAATCACTGATGACGTCCTTATGACACCAGTTGTAGTTTCACGTGAGAAACTTTGAGACGCGGTTTGGAAGAACAGCATCGGTAGTTTGACGCCAGCTCGGCTCATTAGGTTCATAATTAAAACATTGTGGAGTATAAACATCAACTTACGCCAAATAACTTTGAGCTTCCACAATGACACATTCGACCTGTCATACGCTTAAATTAAGGCAATAACTGACTAAAGATAATTGTGTTAAATCAGCCGTCACTGAGATACCTGAGAGTTTTTACACTGAAAATCATGTACTTTTTCTCCCATCCAATGTATTTCATTACTTCACCTTTACACCACACGACTATTAGCTTCCACAGACATATCTGTTCAACCTTATTAAGAAACAAAATTTAATAAGATACCTTTAATTTCATTCCTTAAGATTGATACCTTTCTTCAATTGACCGGTATGCATCATTCAAGTGATTACTTTGAAATAGGTGTCGATATTGACCAGGGTGTAGCAATGGACGGTACTTTGATCCACTCAGCAGTTATTCACGAGGGGGTGTTGGGTCTTTCTGGAGTTTAACATTCTCGCAAATTATTCTATTATTAGTATAAATGCAGAACAGCGGTTTAAAACAAAACTTGCTCAGAGTGTTAGAAAATCCCTAACAGTTGGTTTTAGGCTAAGTTATATTTTAAACGATATATATTTGTTTCCATCTGAACTTTGTGATTAAAATAAACAGCAGAGTTTGGCTGAGAGACAGTCGATATTTGCTGGTCTAACGATCTCACAGTTATTTGATATACAGCACGCAATTTGTTACATAGAACAAATTCAACTTAAAAATCTGAAACACTCCGAAGGTACTCTAGTTCTAGATTAAATAAAGGTAGAACTGAATTAGGCTAATGCATAAAGTTATGAACAGATCATCTTCAACTTCCACTGAGTGATTCAAAGAAGACACGCCTCGTTTCATTTTCAATTTCAAAACATAGGCATAGGAATTTTAAAGAAGTTCTACCCTGATTTGTGCACAATTTCATTTTAGGATTAGGATTTGATGAATTCTTCAGAAACGAGGCTCGATACCTTTTTTTATTAGTTTGTTCGCTACTGGAGCTTGATTGAAATAGAAAGAACTGCACGAACGCGGAGCAGAAGTCCCTCTGTCAAGCACATAAATATCAAAGAGCACTTGTTTACAACTTTGGAAGAACAAAGCGTCGTTCGGAAGTAATTATTAGAAAGACCATAACACAAAGGGAAGTTTTAAAATAGAAACAGGAAACAGGCAAAACAGACCAGTTTAGAACACGAAGAAACTTTGAATAAACATGGGAAAATAAATTATTTTCAAACTCCTTAAAAGTTCTGCAAATATCTTTACTATTTGATAAACCCACTGGTCAGGGTTAATTGCTAATCGGAATTAATCATAAGAAAGCCAAATTTTAATTTATTCACTTGGCGTCGATTCAAATTACCGGAAACTTTGTGATCAAAGTGTATATCTCAAAATTTAAAACGAAGGTTCAGAGGCCTTTTTGTTTGAAAGCTTGGTAGTTTGTTGGAAAAATCTTCCTTCTAGGTCGAGAAAACAAAATACTGATCAATACTCAGGCAATACTATTTGAACATGAGCAGTCCGCCTCGTGAATCATTAATGTAACAAATAAATACCTGCCAGAGGGAAATATCACTCAATGGAAAAATAACAGAAAAAAGGAGCACAGTTTGACTTAGAGTAGTCTCACGCGAGTAACTCTATGACGCGGCTCTTGATAAACTGCGTCGGTATTTTGGGTTAACAAACAGAAGAATAACTGACACCAGTCGTGTTTCAGATTTTACATTTGCATCGAAATTCCTGTCCTGTTTCTATTGGCAAGTGGACTTCATTACTTGATGTGTGCACATTTGGTACTCTCAGACTTTTCATTACATGTTAATGTGATCCACATGGGACTAGTTTATAAAGGGAGCGGGGAGGTATAGTCTTCACATTGGAGTCTCGGCTTCGGAAAGAAATGGAAATGAGGTTTTTTTTGTTTCCATTCATTGAAATTGCAAAATGGATTACAGCAGGGGCTCGCTTATCTATCTTCCGCAGCTGGACTTTGACGATCCAGAAAAATTAAAACCCTGCAAATTTTATTACTAGGTCATGCATCCCACTCAATTCCACTTTTTTACAGTTGATCAGTCACAGTCGTTAATTATTGGCAGCTTTGACAACATTACACAATGAAAAGATTCTTAAGTTGCTTAATGTAAGTTTCACCTGGTTAACCCTTTTATTGCAACTGTAACCAACAATAAATTTACAAAGCGAGACACGTATCAATATATTGGCTGTTAAAAATTTGAAGCAAATATTGATGGAAAATTCGAGTCGGTTACACAATCAGCCCTTGTCGCAAAAATATTTACAAAACCTCCGATCATTTCGTGCGAAAAGGGAAAATCCCTTAAAGACGTGCCTGTGAGAGCAAAATTACAATTTGAAGGCAATAATGCGACGCGACCACAAAAGCCACATAGGGAGTCCTTGTCGGTCTGTCTTTACCTTTATTCTCATGTTCATACACATCTGATATAAAATACTCAAAATAAATGGAATATAGTTTGTACTTAGCTTCCAAAGTCTCAAACTCACTGAAATAAGTTGACGTTAACTTAGATAAAAACGTTGTTGATGTATGAAGTCATGATAAGATATTGTGTAGAACTTTCAAATAGTTGCTGCTGCCCTGGTGCACGGTAAGTATCATGAATGATTTGTATTCCTGTGGGACAGTTTTATATATGATCCTGACTGTAAAGTTTCGTATCATTTCGCTTAAATTCTTACATACACCGAAGGTTCGCTTCGCATTTTCAACGTATCAGCGATGTGATTATTTCTGAGGAAAATATACACATGTGTGTTTTCTTTAATCGTCTCTCTAAATAACACTTTTTTCCATTTTTTCCGGCAAACGATAAACCTTTTTGATGATGAAAGTGTTGCCTGATTGGCTCTCCAACCGTAGCGACAAAATAACGAGTAGCAACAATAAATGCAGATGAATTGAAGCTGGACAAGGCGGAATCTCTTCTCAGAATGCAGTCACTTTTTAAATTGTCTCAAAAGGGAAAGAGCTTTTCTACAACTAGTGATAAAAAATAAAAGCATTTTTATTGCATATGAATGCTTGTCTATCATCTTTTCTTTCATTAAAACTACACCAAATATAACTATTGCCGACGAAACGTAAATTATTTGTCCGTTGGAAGCGAAACACATGTCCAAACATCTCTTTGATAAATTGAATGCAATCAGTTTAGTAGGCTACATTTTTGCATTTTAATCAGGCCCTGATTGTTCGAAGGATGGAACAGTCTCTCCACTGACTAAATCTCAATGTGATAGATAACGTAACTTGATGTTTTGATGACATTTATGCACTAAGTAACGGTTTCTCCGTTTGGTAGTGGAACTAGTCCAAGATCTTTGGCTCTTACACACATGCATACGTGCATACTTCCTTAAAGCAAGATATGCAAATATTTATAGTGCTGATAAATCATATGTGACTCATGAGCCGTCTTTCGAGAAATACGTGTTTGTTTTGGCCGTTGTTTTAAATTAATGTTTTCGAAGAAATGAGACCTTTTATCATTGAAAATCCAATTCAAAGTGACTTATTATGGATTGTAAATATTCAGAAATAAAATCTTGAAGTTAGTTTCAAAATTGCATTTTAATGACAAGTCACCGAAATTCAGTTTTCAACTTTAGCTCAAATGTGTCAAAAGGTTATGATTAGTACATATTACTGATAAGAGCACTCGATGAACACCCAACAAATGATTGAGTGGATGAGACCTGAATCAATCTAGGCTAGTCTTTGGTTCTTTGAGCATCTTAAATGCACTGAAATTAACGGACAAGAACTTAAAATAACGGAATATGGATGCATGTAGTATATGCTATGAAATACTGTACACAACTTTCAAATAACGCATTCTAAGAAGACTCATTATATTTCCTTTTTCGGATAAATGCAAGGACATTTTATGAAATTATTAGCTCACTTTTGAGACTAGACTTTAATGAAACTGCATTTTAAAATTATGCAACTCTGTTCTTTAGCGAATATGCTATTAAAGGATCTTTCGAATTAACTCTTCCATGGAAAATACGATGCGAGTGCAACTCATAGTTTTGTGTGGGAAGTAAACTTACAGTTTCGACACTCATCAAACACGATACGGGATACTCAGATCAAAACTCGAAACTCAAAACAAAGTCTCGGCAGCTACTAATATTAACAGCCCCGACACAAATGCAAACTGTGCAGTTCCTTTGGGCATGGAAGGAAAAAAAGCCTCTTGAATAAGTCACAATATTTCCGTTTTTTTTTCGATCCCCAAGGGTTCAATTCATTAACGGGTCTTAGATTTCAATTTCGGTGTCGCCAAAGTTAAAGCTGTATTTGTTTTGTCTCAAGCATTCTAAAAGAGTAGGGTGAGAAAATAGCGAGAATGTACTCAAATACGGAACACAAAGTATATTGCATCGGAAAGATCGGTAAAACCGCGTTTTAACTTCAAAGACAACCTAATTGAAATCTTTAATAAAGTTGGCGAAAGTACAAATTGTCCTCAATAATATTAATTGGGAATTTTCTATTGTTAGTTTCTTTGCATTTTCTCATGCTTTGAATGGATAGGATCGATTTCAGTGAGAAAAATCTTCAGTGGAAAAACTGTTACCGTCGCACACTT